TCAACTTCCCAATAATTATATTATATACGAGCTATTTATTGCGTTTTTTTCGAAAACAAATTAATATTTCTTTATTACACTATACATATCTTAGTTTTAAAAAAATTCTTCAACAAAGAATTTAATATACACACAAAATATCATTTTGCAAAATAGAAATTTTTTATCATGCATTTTTCTAAATACACAGATTAATATTTCTTTAAAAAATACACTCTCTTTTAATAAGTATACTCTCTTTTAATAAGTAAAGCATCAATCAGTTTCAAGCAGTTTTATTTGGCAATATTTATAATTATATTTTTAATTAAATTTATAATTTTATTATCATTTTCATAAACTAAATCATTTGTGCATTATAATATATGCGCAAATGTGATTAAATGTGTTGCGTCGGCGAATTCTTCGAAGTTACGTTCTGTTCGTGGCGTTTATCTCGAAAAATCTACATAATGCGGTTAAAAGATTGCTTCGCGGAATTCCTTGCGAAGTATGTCCCACGTCTTTCCGCCGTGTTGTTCCTGATATAACCAGACCAGTTTATTAATCGAGAATTGCATATATAATAATCGAGAATCGCGAAATCGTATAATTACAGATAAGAATTTATTGGCAAAATTATTATATATTTACCTATTTGTATTTTTATATAAATTATATATTATATATTTTTATTATTATATATTAGTTCTAATCTAAAAACTTTTTAATTAATTTATTTGCCAATTTTTACAAAAATGTAAATATTAAAAAAAATGATATTTAATCTATTTCTATATCGGACAATTTAAAATTTGGTGCAATATAACAGTAGATAATCTACGATACTTAATTCTCAAATTATCTTTACTGCAAAATCACGGGCGTCTTTGTTGCTTCTGTTATTGTTAAACAATATCACAAATTTCAAAAGCTTCGTGCATTTATGATATGATAAATACGTCAATTTAAACAAATTTTATACAATAATGTTTATAATATTCTTTTCTTTTTCTTGCAATATTTGATTTATCAGATAGATATAGTTTTTTACATTTTTTTATTTAAATGCAAAATAAATAATTTTATTTAAAAATGTACTATTCTGCGAGATTCAGATAGTGTATGTTAATTCCGTAAATTCATAATATCAAAAAACACAGTGTATCTTTTTATAAATATATATATATATATATATATATATATATCATAAATGCATATATATATATATACGTATATATGCGTATATATGTATATGTATATATATATTTATATATGTATATAAAATAATAAATATAAAGTGCTAAAGTTTATCTCAAATTTATTATTGGATTTTAATCTTATTTTTATCTCTCGCAAATGTTTTAAAACATTTTATATAATATATTGTTTATTTATTCCAGATTTTCAATTTAAATACAATATATTTTAAAAAGATAAAGTTAATATTCACAGCCACCACACATTATGGAACATAATACATATAATTATATTTACGTTATTTGTTTATATATTTTTTAGCCAATTTATGCCTTTTATATATTAAAATTAATAATAAAATCTCTCTCACTTTCACTCTCTCTTTCTCGCTCTCGCTCTTGCTCTCGCTACACACACACAACGCGCGCATATACATGAAATCTTTTATAGTTGTATATCGGATAAGAATATATTTGATCATATTTTTTCACTCAAACAAATGTTCTATCTTCACGAAAACTTGCATCTTACTCGACCACGTGCTCGCTATTTAACCTTCGAAGACGTGTTTTGAGGACAATAATAGCCGTGAAAAAATAAAATGAAATAACGTGTGCGCGTGAACGTATACATGCGTCATGAAAAGAGAACCGAAAAGAAAGAGGTCTCTAGATGGATGCTTGGCCTTCTGGTATTACGACACTCGACCATTCGAGGTCCCGAGTCCCCACTTCGTGGAAGTACGACTTTGAACGACTCCACGAATACTTTGAAATCAATGACACATGGAATTCATATACGAGAACGAGACAGAACTAACAGGAATGTAATAATACAATAGATAGAATATTTTTAATAAAAACGCTACACGTTGCAATATTAAAAAGTGATACAACTTTTCTTTAATAAGGGCGCATTACGGCAATTTTTTTCAATTTACTTTTAACAGCAGTTACTACAAACAAGTTATTATTTATAAAAAAATAAAATATTTTTATAATTTTATTTAAGACTAAAAGAATTGTAAAAAATTATAAAAAAACTATAAAAAGATAATAGAAATTGGCTTAAATAAGAATTAAAGAATATCCATTTTTTCGTGTAAATTTATTATATGCAAGATATTTTAAAGATAAAATAATAAATACAGAATTATTTATTTTCATTAATACACGACCAAACTAGCTATGGTTACAAAAAAGTAGATCACGACGTTACGACCATTGATTTCGGTCCTTTTCAAGTGAGCTTATAGTAAATTAAATAAATCACGATCACCTGAGAATTCCACAACAGAATTCCTTTCCCACATATTAAAATAGATGTTTCACATTTAAATTGACTTTGTAGAGTGAATCTCTAATACATATATATGTATCTTGAATATTTGTGTATAAAAGATTTTTTAGACTCTTTTTACAATACACGTTAAAGAGAAATTGTATTGCGATTTAAAATAAGCAAAAACTGAATATTTAATTCTTAATCGTTTATTTCATTGTCAGTCATTGTTTCTCATCTAATTTCGACTTTCAATTTTTGATGCAAATCACGATGCAAGCTCAATATTGAACACAATATTGCCCTTATATATTCTTCTATGCTTAGTTTTTCTGCACACTATATATGCATGCACATACGTGATATTGTACATATGTATGTAGGTCAAATCATGATAAAATTCCGCGTATTATAACGCATTATATCACATTCTTAGATACAATTGTCAAGATGCATAAAATAGTATGCGTATATTTACATGCGAATGCGTGCACGTTTATACTCGCAATGTACGCACTCGCTACCTAGAAATCTAGGTCAAAGCAGAATAGAATTTAGACTAATAATGCAAATGCGCACGACTCGGTCAATAAAACTGTTCGCAGATACATGTGAATTTCACGCCTCTTACTGGCATTTTTTATCGGATCCATCCCAAGTGTACAAATGTGTAAATCACGAATATATTAGTAAACAAATATTTAATTCATATAATTTTATAAGAAATATAATTTTATAATTTATATATATATATATATATATATATAGAGAGAGAGAGAGAGAGAGAGAGAAATAATTTATAATATATACACATACTATTATACAGATTATCTATCAATTCATTCCCTACATTTAAAAAAAAAACGGTTCAATATTATGATAAACCGTAAAATACCTGTTTGATCATTTCAACTCAAACATAAAATATTCTTACCAATAAAGACGCAATAAACTACTAATAAATCCAATTGTACTTATTTTCATGCTTGTCTTTTTTTTCAACACGAGACACGTATACTGATTTTACTAAAAAATGGCATTACGAAGTACGTAACAACGTTATGTGTTACATAAATAATTATTTGTTGCGCTACCTATGTTAATTTTTTGAATGGTTGATTCGTTTTTGAGCAAATTCTTGTTAATTTTTTTCTTTTTTTTTTGTAGTCATACAAATATAGTAGGGTCACAATGGAATCGCAATTGTCATCCTATAAATGGCGATTACGAAGAACTCGTGTTGCAGTTTATCATCCTTTTAATTTCTTGGTAAAGATCGATAATTATGAGGGAAAGAATGTTTATTATCGTGACTGATCTTATTATTAGGATGGAAAGTATATATATCTTTTCTCGATATGACTTTCGCTATTTTGATACTGTTTATTCTTATTCTCTTGCTATTCTTTCGTCACGTAGAAATTGTAAAAAAGTTGTGTTTTGTTATATATATATATATATATATATATATATATCCACTCTTTATTTGTTGGGGATATATGTATTTTAAAGAAATATATATCGCAAAATTTTAATCTCAATTAACAATAAATATCAATTCATTTCAACTAACGGAGAATTATTCCTTCCACTTTTTATGAGCTCAAAACACACGTTCTCAAGAATTTTTAAACTTAATCTTGAAAGCTATATTATGGCCCTGGCCGATAATATATTATCAGGAGCAGAAAGAACGATATACTTTGTCTGCTGTCATATTCTTCAGAAGCATCGACACACACGCTACTTTGCGTTACCTCGAATTTTATGATTTCTGAGTATCGTTTACCGTTATTTATTATATAGACTGATAATCTTAATAGAAGAATGACATCGCATTTGTAGTTCTCTTAAATATAAGCGTCATCTGTATTCGTCTTTGAGTTGCTTATTGTTATGTAACGTTATAATCTTCGCTTGCGTAATTTTATCTACCATATCTATCCATCACAAAGTAAAATCTATTAGAACTCTATTATCAGAAATGTACAAAAGTATCTCGCGATTAATATCTTTTCATAGCTCAAGTAAATTACATTATATAATATTCAACGGTGTAAATTTTATACAGCAAGATTAATTTCTTCTTAATTAATTGGTTGCACAAACTTTTCTTATAAGTACGAATCTTTATTATCGTTCGATATCATCGTGAATGATGACGCGTCTGCCATATTTACATATATGTATACTTTACAATTATTTCTTAGTATCGATGCAATCACACGTACAATCTCATCACGAGATAACGATTAATCGTGTGTGTGCATGTGTGTGTGTGTGTGTCTCGCATGCGCATTATATCGTTATCAAGAATGAAATGACTTTGAAACTCTCTTGTATGACGAAACAAATTATTGACTTTTTAGTACAGAATACAAATTCTCTCATTGTAACCTACTTGTAATCTATTATCATAAATGGAAGAGAATGAAGCAGGAATAATCAATAACAAACATTATAATTTCTATCTATATTTTAGCGCTAAACTGTCCGGAAATCTTTAAATTAAAATAAGAGCGGAAAATTCTAACAAAAGAAAAATGAAACCGACTCTCCACAGTATACGAACTATTCAATCGTCTTGCACTTGCTCGAATACTTGCTACAGTAGCACACAAAGCATTGTCATGTAATCTACTTATTGTTAGTTTGACAAGAACGCGACATTAATATTAAATATATGCGTAAAGGGATATCAAAATTAAGACTACTCACATTTTTCATTACACGCACACAAGAGGTAAACACGTGCGCACATAAATATGCATAAATATGATCATCTTTTATGACATACTGTATTTATGCAGTCACGTCTTGCGAAATAAACTTAAATAAATATAAGAAATCTTATTAAGGATGTGCATAGTCATAATACAGATCTTTTTACCAAAGATCTTTTAAATATTTGCCTAAAAATTTACAAGTTTCATTTTCAAGTAATGTACACAAATGAACAATTTAATAATTGCTCCTCATTGATAAATATAATACACAATAAATTATTGTTTATTAATATATTATTTGCTTTGTTATTTCAGATTAGAACGCTGTAACTGTATTATATCGATTGCAATGTTCCGGTCGCGAGTGTACGAAGATCGCCAACGTCGACAATGATGTGTCCGAATTGCCGCCACCGCTTTCCAGCATCGGAATATTGCCAGGAGCGGAACAAAGCAGAAACTAACTTGAAAGAAACGGAGAAGCAAGAAAAACAAAAGAAAAAGGAAGGTGAAAAGGAGAAAGAGACCTGTTACGTCGCTGATCTTCTAGTGTCGCACAGTTATACCAACGGTGACAGCAACTTTATAAACCTGTCGACAATCGTCCATGAGCCTACCGTCTTCCAGTCAGCCCATTGCTGTTCCAATATTCAACTTGTTGACTCTGAGATAATGAAACTCTCTTGTGATGCTCAGATGTCGGCGGAACAGAATCCATTCTTAAAATTACCGATCGATCAATCGAATAATCAAGATTCTTTGTTTATGACGATGAAAAATGTTAGCTACGGAATGACATCTTCGGAAAAACATGCCACGACCACATGCAAGCCCACTGATGACGGCATCACATTTACTACATCACCCAATATATACTCTGGTGGTTGTTTAATCCAGAGCACGGAAGCCGGAATTCTAGTGCAAGCCCCACCCATCGAAATACAGCGAAAATTCACCGGTGGTGGTTGTCTCGTGGAGAAGAAACGTTTGCCTATCGAGGACGAGCGGTTAGCGATGTTTAAATACATGGAAAACTTTGCTCATCAAACATTTGTCACGCCACCAAGCAGTTGTTTAGAATTGCCTGGAAGAAGCAGAAAAATATTGTCTTCATCCAGGACCATGAGAGGAAATAGCGAAATAATAGATACAGGATCGAGGCAGCGGAAGATATCGATCGGAACAAACGATTGCTGCAAATGCTACGGTACAATTCAACAAAACCTTTGCCAATGTCACAAACGATTGTCCGATGCATTCGACGACTCGTTACTGTTTAAGCCCATTGGTAATAGCATACAGATTCGAGTGAACGCCAATTCGCAACTACCCGTAAACTTACGTGAGTGCCGAATAAACATTACGGCGAAAACAGCAATTCCGTCCAGCCAGATCGCGGCAACGAAACTACGCGCTAAGAATAAGCAAGAGCGTAATGATGAAAAAATTAATTCTAAGGAGACGAAAAAGCAGGAGAAACAGAAAAAGGACAAGGAAGAGAAAAAGGAAAAAGAGGCCGCTGTCCATTCATCAGCGTCCATGACAGCGAAATGCTATGTCACTGATCTTTTAGTATCTCACAGTTACACCGACAGTGATAGCAGCAGTTTCATAAATGTTCCGCCAATCATTCGCGAACCCGCCATTTTTCAGACAGCCCATTGCTTCAATGCTCAATTCGCCGAGCCCGAGATAGTGGAACTCTCGAATAATTTCAACGAAACCATTGCTACCGTGCAATCGGACAATTTATATTATGCAACGGAGAATCGAATTTTCGCCACTGGAAATAACGGTTGTAACAACAACGAGCAGAAAGATGAAACTATTTCGGTGCCCCATCCTTGGGTGATGTCTAGTCCCTGGAGTCTAGATACAAAATTGTTGAGCAAAGACATAAGATTATGCGAGATGAAAAGACTGCTGCAGACTTGCGGATGGTACCATGAGAACATTAGTTGGAAGCAAAGTGAAAATCTTTTAAAAGATATGTCCGTAGGACGGTGGCTAATGAGAGATAGCTCGGACAGTAGATACATCTTCGCGATATCCGTGCAGACGGCTAGAGGACCTACTTCCGTCAGGGTTTGCTATTTCCTTCAACATTTTCAATTCGACGCTGAACCAGGACTTGCATTGGCGATTCCGACTTTCGACTGTCCTATTACAATGTTGGAGCACTACGTCGAATATTCGAAAAGGATGGATCGCAGAGAAGTGTGGGTTGATTATAGCGGGCAACTTTACAGCCAAATCTATTTGACCAAACCTTTGATGAAAGAAGTCAAATCGTTGTCACATTTAGCCAGACTCGTTGTAAATAGAAACAAACTGCCCACCGAACATCTGCCACTCTTGATCAGAAACTATCTCGCGGAATATTCGTACACCCTTTAAAAGTGCAATCATATTTACACAAGATCAATGCGCTTACTTTTCTCTTCCGATATCTATAAATAAAAATTTATTTTTCTACGCCTCTACAACAGTAGTTGTTTTTCGATGAATGATCTACAATACCTTGATTATATATTAATCACAAAAATTATGCGATAGCAAAAAGAAATTGCGGTTTGTACAAATGTGAATGAATATTCAATTTGTTATACAATAATTATACTCATGTTCTTATTACTTATACGTAATAAGTTCAATGTCTAATTTTTAAACTTCGCTAGTATTTTTTATTCCTTGAGAGACATTATATGTATACTTTATCACAAAGAAAACGTTTTCTTTGTGATAAACTATAAAAATAAAGTATGAGTTCACTTTTTTGTTATCTATTTGTATGATGATCAAAATTAAGAGCACACTCTTCCTCTATTATTCCAAAACTTTCTCCTATCTTTATTGTATTGTATTGTATTCAACTTGAAGTAAAGATAAATTTAAAATGAGTTTTAAAAAGAAAAAAAAGGAATAAATTAAATGCATATAGATAGATTTATCCATAAAATTTTTAACCATTTTTTCAGTGTTTATTTCTTTATTATTATTATTATTCTTATTATTATTATTATATATACATATACATATATATTCGAAATAGATATTATATATATAACAAATAAAGTATACATGCATCTATATGTATATATAAGCATAATAAATAGAAAGAAAAAGATTAAATATATTTTCAATGAGCACAGAAAATATAATGCTCACAGGCCTCGAAGAATTCAAAGGCAATAATCAGCGAACTTACACATATAAAATGCTTTTTTTGCAGCAAAATAATATTATAATATATTTGTATATTAAATGAGCGTGCGAAACTTAGTTCTCTCGTTCTTACACACATATCTTACATGTATATATATATTAAATAATATAGTACATAACAATATATGTTTCTGCTGCCAAGCCAAGATCGTTGACCGATTCTTGCAAAAATTTATTGTTCGAAATCTATAAGGGTACCATTTACATACCCTATTTCTATAATTAACCTCATATACATCTATATAACATACATCTATATAAAACTAAAAGATTTCGATAATAATTACAGCACTAATAAAGTCATATTATTAAGATGCTGCAAGATATTTAATTAATATATCATGTAGAAAGAAATCGAAAGGGTGATTGCGTATATTTATCTGTACAAAATTTCTGTTGGCATATAGTAAGCAATAATTTATGTTATTAATAAATTATCACATTTGTACACACTATACATATATATATATATATATATATATATATATATATATATAACAATTGATTTAATTAAGTATTATATCGTAAAAATAGCATAACAACCAAAGAAAAATTAATTTTTTTTATTTTTAAATTACGTCGTCGATTGAGCTTTAAATTATATTTTTCTAATTTAGACACGTTATGTGTGTGTGTTAAATAATAATAAAATATTTTATTAATTTTCTGTATAAAATTTAGAAATTGTGTGTATATAATTATAGAAAATTTATTTATACATATGGAAATTATTAAAGCTATAAAAAATCTAGTTTTTACTATAATTTCGCTCATTGTCAGCTATTATTCTATTTAAATTACTTCATATTTTTTTAACATAATTTATAATAATGAAAGAAATATTGATATTTTACAAACCAAAGGTTTTTCTACGGTAATAAACAATCAACGAATCTTACTGACGCGACGCAAAATCCCAAAATCCTAGTATCAAAAAAACAGATGTATACGAAATTCAGGTACAAAGTTACTACATGTATGTGCACCTCGCACATTCGCAGCTTACAATTAGTCGATTTACACATAGATAAATTTTATATATAAGATAGATATATTTTTCAAGAATTATACACTCTCTTAACATAATTAGAAATAATGTGAGTTATAATAGATATAAAAATAAATTTAAAAAAGAACAGAAAAACATTTGAATGTGCCACTTGCAAATATAAATTAATATAGAGTAATATATACACATGCATTATATGAGAATTATTGCACCTTTTAATATGTGTGTATATATATATCTTTTAGACAATTATTTTGAGCCAAATGTGTTTCTATATTAGAAATACACAAACAACTTTGCGAAAAAGTGTAATGTTTATAATACTTAATTACGAGGCGATATAAAAATTGCGCGCGTGTACGTGAACGTGTATATGTTAAAGTTATAGGCACAGTCAGATTGTGAATACAATAGACAAACAATAAAATTACGAAATCTATATGTAGTTGTTACTAGGTTAATAAGATAATTACATAGCTAAAATGCAAATAAATTAATGTACATATTATTTAATATAGCTAATAGATTTCAAGAATTTTTACGCGTACGGACGTCCTTCTTTCCATTTTAAAATCAAAATTTTATCTAATTTTCATAAACATAGTAAATATAAACTGCGCTATATCCTATTGTACATAAAAAAGGCGATTACCTTCGGCTTTACGGTTATGATAAAACTTATTTTTCACGTGTCTATGCTATTTTAATCATAAGCAAAATTCGTACGTCAAAATTGGAAAGAGAATACAATATTTCAGAAATCTATCAATTTTTCTTTTCAATTCAAATAAATAAAAAATAAACATAGACTTCCTCCTCCTCTATCGCGCAAATATAATCCTCTCTAATCTAACATTTGAGCAGAAAGCTAAATTTTCCGAAGCTTTCTTCCTTTTTCTGATTTTGCCACGTTTGATATACACAATATTGATATCACTATATTTACTATGTCTATGCTATGAATAAATTCAAAAACTTTTTCGTTTTTCAAATTGGTATGCAACTACAATTATCAGATGTATCGGTATACTGCTTGAACCAAAAACTGCCATAATGTACAATTTATTATTCATGTGTCTATGTTGCGACTTATTTATATTATTTATATATAGATATATATCATGCGTCCCTTTATATACGAATAAATAATAATGTTGATGCTTTGGAACAATTACAAAATTGGGCCTATCGAACTCAGATATTTATTAAAAGCTGCATAGAGTTGTCCAGCTCTCTCAATTTCCCCGTTTCTGAAAAAATGACACGATATAAAATATAAATATATATAATATAAAAGTTTACTTAACTTTTTCTATTGAGAGAAAAATTATTTTTAAGGATATTTTGAAAACTGAAAGGTATATTATTCTCCAAAAATTGAATTTATCAAGAATTTTTTTTTTTTTTTACATTGTGTACTAAATAAATTTTTAAATTATTTTCTAATAATGGCTTACATGGATTTTTGTTATATCACACAGTAAGTATCTCACTATTGATTCATCTCATGTGTGATTACAATTTATATACAATCAGATAAAAGATTAAAAGGATAAAAATGAGAAAAAAGATTGAATCTTAAATACTTCTTTTAATTGTGTGTTTACGTAAACATCTACACAATACATAGAAATATCGCGCGCACGCATATAGGAAAGAAAGATTAACTGCACAAGAATATTAAAGAACGTAAGAAATCTCTAAACTGTTATGAAAGCAAATCTGTCATAAACTGAATCATGGATATTCATTAAAAGAAACATAAAAATTTAATTATACACGAGTGCATAGATCTTGTCTCATAAATATGTTTTACTTTTATTCACTAAAATTAATGTTAAATTAGCAGATTTACCGTAATTCCGTGAGATTATGTTCCTTGCTAGAAATAATGTCTTGAAGTTGTTTTCTTTCTCTATCGCGATCACAAAGCAGTTCACTGTGAATTATTTGAACTTTGTTCAGTCGTATATTGAGTTCAGTGATCTGTTGATTCATTTTTTCCATTTGAAGATTTTGATCTTTTAATTTTGCTCTTTCCTCAAAAAGTTCTTGTTTTAACTTTTCACTTATCCGTTTCTCCTGATCAAGTTCATCCTTGAGCAATTTGTAATGTTTTTGAGGCTCGATTAACTCGCTCTGAAAACTTGTTACTTGTCGCTGTAAGAGGGACACAGTTCTTTGAGAATCGGTCAATTTCTCTTCCAATGTGTTCTTCTCCTCTTCTATTTTCTGATAATTTTCTTCTAATCTTGTATACCTGTAAAAGAGTATTTAAAATAAAAATTGTAGGAGAAATAGAACTTGCATTCTTTGTTTACTGCGCGTTACATCAACGCATCTTAGTGCTGTTTACTTGAAAAATATTGTGAAAAATCTTGCAAAGTATATATTTTATATATCGCATACCGCGACCATGTAAAATAATTTTAGTAACTCTATATTTTGAATGTATAAAAAATTACAAATAAACTGATATAGACTCGGTGGATTTCGGTATGATTGGTAAGCGAGTGTGTCAATTATAATACTTTTTATATACTAATGAGTTTTCTAATTTAAAAACTTTTTACATTTATATTAAGTTTAAAAGATATAAAACGAAATAAAAATTAGATATTGAACAACCTTAGCATTTTGTGTTCCGCGTCGTTTAATTTTATCTTTAGAAGATCTTGTTTTTCGTATAAATCGTGCGACTCGTTTCTGCTTTTATGTAATTTAATCTGGCAAACTTTAAAAGCTTGTGTGATCTCTTTTAGCGTATTCTTTAGAATGTTGAGTTCAACTTTGTGCTTATTATCACGCTCTTTGAATTCTCTTTTCAGACGATGCATCTCAATCTTTTTCTTCGATAGCAAATCTTCGTACGCTCGTGTAGTAGACACGAGTTTGTCCCTTCGTAAGCCAATCTCCAATAGACTTTTGTGAATTTCTTTTTCATATTGTCGAATCTGTTAGATGTAAATTAGAGTTATCCAATTTAACAATTTAATATTGTAAACTATAAGTATATTAAATATGCAAAAATTGTTTATGTATATAACGCAAATTACATACAAGGATATCTTGTATGGTTTATATTACTGCGTTTTACATAGATTGAATTGTTTCCGAAATTTAAAGATTTTTATTTTTTTGGATGAAAGGATCGTATCGATAAAAGAAATTTTAATTATATATTTTAATTGAAATATTTCTACAGCAATTTTTCTCTCAAAACTGACAAACAAAAAACATTTTTAAGAAATTATAAGTTTTTTAAATTTTACCTTAGAATCTGCCTCTTTTTTCTTTTGCGAACATTCATTGTAATCATTTTTCAAATCCTTGTAACTCTTCTGCCAGTTTTTTTCTGCTTCATGAAGACTCTTCTGCAATTCGGCAATTTCCCTTGCTTTATCCGAATCAAATTTCTCCTTCTCCTCCTGCAATTGATTAATCTCAGTCTGTAGCAAGCATAGCTGTGTCCGCATATCATCCATCTCTGCGATTTTCGTCGTGAGCTCACCAGTCAGCAGATCTATTACTGTGGTACGTTCCTGTAACTTTTTACCGAGATCGACAATCTTGGCATCTGTCTCGGTTGTCCTATTATTATCTTGATCCCTTAAGGAAATATTTACACGTGCGTTTGAACTTTCGTTGTTGCCTTTCAATTCCGTATTTATTACCGAGTTTATTTCTGAAGGATTAATTCGATTGTTAATCTCTACATCTGTAGATGCTTGAAGAATCTCAGTCTTGGTTTTTTCTTTTCGACGCGGTGTTAAATGCTTTTGCTTCGAACAAGTAGCTTCAAGATCGCTAGTAGTTGTTGACATTGTAAAACCGTTTTCCATTAATGTCCAAAATTTCGTGAATTTTGCGTCGACAGATAAAGCAACTTTGAAATATCTATGACGATTTTCTTGTAGCTGTTTTTCAATTGCGAGTATAATGTCTTCAGGTATGCAATTTCCATGCAGAAAAAGATTGGTCATAATCTTGTTCTCACATACCGCTTTTAATAGCAGCCGCCCGCCTTGCAAACCCAATGTATTCCAGGACAAGTCAATACTTTTTAAAACCTTGTTCCGATATATCATTTTACATAGATGCTCAGCACAATGCGGTGATATTTGATTGTACCTGCATCAACATCATTGATTAGCTCTTTTCATTCCTTACTCGATTGATCTCAATTACAAACTATGTATATACCATATTATTGACTCTTAATTTAGTATCTTTATAAAAATTAATTTTATTCAAGCAATTTTTCTTTGCTATGCTTGTATATTTCTTATATAAGTGATTTGTTTTAAATAAATAGAAAGAAAGAGAAAGATGTACAATTTAACAATAGATATTGTTAGATAATTAAGAACAAATTTTGGAGCTGTCACACAAATAAATTCTGTACAATTTATCATTATTAATGTACTTTTACTAATGTAATGTACTTTTTGTCAACTAATGATGTCAAGAGATATTTTAAATCAAATATAATTTTTCTAATGCGAATTCGAGAATAAATATTTAAAAAATATAAAAACTTGACATCTGATATAAATAGTAAAAGATACATGAGTGAAATTTATATAAATGCCACATAAATTTACATACATCTTTGATCCACATAATAGATTTCTTTATTTCAGTTCCACTTTATTTGTATATCTTGTTTTTGCCTTTTGAATAAACCAAATATTATGTATAAACCTGCAATTTCAAATGCAAAAAATAAAAGAAAGCAAAACTAAAACGAATATATTTTCATGTTACCTGAGATCAAGTTGTTCAATGTTGTGATTTCTAGTTAAGCCATCGCAGAAAGCAGCAAATGAATCTATGTGCGATCCTACACTATTCCATTCGATATGTAATTGTTTAAGCGTGTTGTTGTATGCAAGGACCCGTCCTAATTGGGCAACGGAGGATCCATTCACATTATTGCCCTTCAATTTTAGAATTGTCACAGCAGTACCTTCGCAGAATGCCTTGAGGATACTATCAAGACCCTTGGGTAGCAACACACAGTCGCTTATATCAAGCGTTTTGATTGTAGAGCTGGATATTAATGTTTGTGCTATAATCTTGCAAACTGGTATTATTATTGATAGACAAGACAATTGTAACTCCCCGGTGATACTGTGGAAAATGAATTACAGTTGTGTCTAAATTTAAAGCAAATTTTTTTTTCAAATATGTAAGTAAGATAATACATAAGTTTGATCATATAATATATATCTTATACTCAAAAATTTCTAGTAATTACAATTCCCAACTTTGGTAAAATATAATAAAATACTTGACGCTTTAGTATAATACATTTAAAATTAAATTCCAAAATAATATATGTGAGAAACAAGTTTTTCCAAATAATAAATTTTAATTGAAATATTTATATTTTTATTACTGAAGAGAGAAAGGAAAACATTTTAAATAAATATTATCAAGCGCATTTTGTACATATAACTATAATAAAACATAACATTTTTTATTAGATTTTATATTCTTGAGAAAAAGTAAATAATAATCGCTCCATTTCATTGATTAAATTAATTACGTTAACGTCGCATGCGAAAACAAAATGTAGGTATAAGTATAGACATATATATATATATATATATACATATATATACCTGCTAACTTTGATCGCATTTGAGATTTCAGGAAATGAGAAAATCCCACGTTTTTCGCATAAGCGAACAAAAAACTCGTAATCTTGTAACATTATATAGAATTTCAAGTTTTTATGATAATTTTTCTACAAATAATTTTTCTATAAATATATTACGTGCATAATATATATTCATGTCAAATATCATAAAAATTGCTTTTCATTTATCATCCATTTTAATATAAAAAGGTATCGAATGCGAGTTTACGAATGCTTGAAACTTCAAACTGCTCAACGATTTGATTTGTGCAGTGATACACATTCATGTGTGTGTAAAATCATTTTACTTTTTGTGTAGTTTTACTTTGATGACTATTCGTCATGAGACGATAGGTTTCTTTTCACAATTAATAACGCAAATTTTATATAAATAGGAAAACATTAATATATAACCTTAAATATTTCTTGAATTTAAAAATATTTGTCTTATCTTATCTGTCAATATAAGGCCTGGTCCACAATAAGTAATTTAAACGACCAATCAAAGTTGTCAATTTTTCTTCTGAAAATGGAATGTTTTCTTCTCTCTGCTACAACGTACCAGAACCACAGATTAATAGACAGATCGCCAAAGGCCTGTCTAAAGAGGAGACCGTCATTTTTGCCTCTTACCGACACACTTTGCCCCTGGTTCGAGTCCAGGCTAATAAAATCCTTTGACTTTACCAAAAAACTTTGCCTTTGATGCGAGTTCAGGCTAAAATCTTTTTATTTTACACGTATAATCAAAGGAGTTTTTTTTAGCCTGGACTCGAACCAGGGGCAAAGTGTGTCGGTAAGGGGCAAAAATGACGGTCTCCTCTTTAGACAGGCCTTTGGCGATCTGTCTATTAATCTGTGACCATGTGCCATGTGTCATGTGTGTGAGGCCAGAGAGAAAGACAGCGACGTCTGCTAGAATTTGCGCTACTACGCATGCTTGAAATTTGGCCCTCCAACCTCCAATGCTCCAATTCGCAATTCGCAACTTTGCTGACATCACTGGTATCAGGACGCATGCGCAGTGCGGCCTTACGTGGCATCGTTTGCAGTCTGGATTACGTTGACGTACATTTCTTGCAACGTTTTCGTGTAAACATTTTCGGTGATATCAAGTTTTGTTATGATTCAAACATATTTTATATAACGTAAGTAGATTCCATAATTTACGATTATTTTAAATTTTTATTACTTTCATATGTATTTCGTTTTCAGAATTCAAAATGTCACACATACGCTTTTATTACTTGTAATATTTCATGCCTTTTAACGCATATTTTTTTATTTTCTTTGAACGAAAAATTATCACACACAAACATGCATTATTTACGCTATATTATAAATATCACTATCTTCTCATGTATATTGTGGTCTCGCTTTTTTTTCGAAATACATTTTCTAATTATCTCAAAGTTTATTTTATTCACATACAGTGTATGTATATGTGCGCGCGCTTCCGTATGTTAATTCTGTAGTTAGTGAATAATACAGTTTTTCTATGCATATTGGGGGGAATATACACTGAATTTTTGCAACTATTTTCATGTTACTTTTATATATAAACTAATATGAGTAACCTGCAATGATCTTATTGTTAGCGCAATGTATCTTCAATTTATACTTAATTAATAAACTTTGTTATAACAGATGCAGCATATTCAGGAAATAGGCAGGCAGCATCCATACGCTGCACCTGTGTCTCCGATGAACAGTCAGCAAAACTTTTCAAGACCAACAATTGTAGGACAACAAACTTTGACAGATTCTCAAATGCACCCTCACTTATCACCTATGCAACCTGTGAATCACTCTCAAATAACAAATCCTCCAGCAACAGGTGCTCCTAACTCGCAAATGTCTCCACCTTTACCGATGGGTCCTCATGGACAAGGGCAATCTTCTGCAGGTTATCAAACTCAAATGACCAATCTCCCAAATACTAGCCTATCTCAATCTGGAATAGGACCGTATAATTCTGCACCACCATCGCAAGCTGCGACGAATCTGACAGGCTCCATAAATCCATCAGGGTTACCACAATTTGAATCAAAGCAGTTTGCTCCTCCTCCTTCAACAATGGGACAACATGTAGCGAGTCCTCCAAGTGCTAGCCTTTCTCAAGCTCGACAGAAGCAATATTTACAAACTGCACCTCCAATACTAGGCCAGACTACAGCAAATCCTGCAGGACCAGGCCTACCGCAGTCTGGACAAAGACAATATGTTTCTACAGCACCTCCATTGCCAGGACAGACTTTATCCAGTCCTTTAGGAATGAATCGTGTGTCATCTACTCCAAGCTATCAACAACCAACGTACCAACAGCCAGGCTATCATAATCAGATGGTACATCTGTGATTTAAAATTATTCTATTTTAAGATTAAATTAGGTTGTTGATTTATATATATATATATAAAAGGAAGAAAAATGTGTGTGTGACACAATTGTCTTCTTTTTATAGGATATGTATAATAATCAAAGAAGTCCGTATCAAAGCGGAATACCTAATGCTACAGGATATCAATCAGGATTACAACCCCAACAAGCTAGGCGACTCGACCCAGAACAAATGCCGAGCCCAGTATGAGTTTAAAAATTTTGTCCATCCAATTTATTTGACAATATTAACTTTTATTATTCTAATATAAATCTAAATACATTTGCTACACAGATTCAAGTGATGCAGGATGATCAAAATATGAGAGGTGGAGTGTTTATAACGAATCAGAGAGGTTTGATACCACCTTTGGTGACGACAAAATTTGTAACTCAAGATCAAGGAAACGCATCCCCTAGATACATACGATCCACTATGTATACTGTTCCTACTACTGCTGATATTATAAAACAGGTACATATTTTAATATTGAATCAACAAAACTTTTACTATTCTATTTAATATTACAATTTGACATCCATATCTTTTACAGACCAATGTACCTTTTGGACTTGTGATAAGTCCAATGGCTCGTTTCGTTCAAGGAGAGTGTGAACCACCGATTGTGGATATGGGTGAAATTGGACCGGTACGTTGTGTGCGTTGTAAAGCATACATGTGCCCATTTATGCAATTCGTCGATGCCGGTCGAAGATTTCAATGCATATTCTGCAAAGCCACAACGGAAGGTAATGATTGTGGATATTCTGTAAGATTTTGCAAGGATTTTTGCACTATATATATGCATAATTATCTTATTTATTAATAAATAATTATTGCACTTATTTATATTTTTATATTTTCTCTATGTGTTTAGTACCAAATGATTACTTTCAACACTTGGATCATACAGGTCAACGTTTAGATCGTTATGAGAGACCAGAATTAATGTTAGGTACATTTGAATATATAGCTACAAAGGATTATTGCAGGGTAATGTATCACAAATTTGCAAATAATTGCAAATAATTAATAAATAATAACAGAATTATTTGCACATAAGTTATTTGTAGATTACTTGATCGGTAAAATTGCTTTTAAACTTTTCTTTTTGGAAATTATTCGCAAATATGTTACACTTTAAAAAAATTAAAGAAAGCATAAAATAAAAATTATTTATTTATCTGTTAGAATTATATTAAATTTATGTGTATATTGACCTCTGCACATTTCTTCACACAGGACAATGTTTTTCCAAAATCACCAGCCATTGTGTTCGTAATTGACGTTTCGTATAATACAGTTAAATCTGGTTTAGTAAACTTATTGTGTACAAAAATGAAATCCATAATAAAAAATCTACCTATTGATGCTGGACAAACCAAAAGTAATATGAAAGTTGGTTTTATAACATATAATAATACTGTACATTTCTATAACATCAATCCTTGTCTTGCTCAACCACAAATGTTGGTTGTTGGAGATATTCAAGATGTATTTATGCCGCTTTTGGATGGATTTCTATGCGACGTTGAAGAGAGCGAAACAGTTATCGATAGTCTTATGGCACAGATTCCACAAATGTTTATGGACACTCGAGAAACAGAAACGATTCTTGCTCCTGCCATACAAGCTGGATTAGAGGCGTTAAAGGTACTTGTACAAATAACAAATATGTGTATGAAAAAGAAAAAATAAACATTGTAATGTACACAAAATATTTTTCTTATCAATGATTTTTTTAAATTATGTATGCATTCGGTAAAAAAAATTCTTATACAGTATCATCTTGATTTTTTTAGGCGTCTGAACGTTCTGGTAAATTATTAGTATTCCACTCGTCTTTACCAATTGCCGAAGCTCCTGGAAAATTGAAAAATCGTGATGATCGGAAAGTACTTGGTACAGATAAAGAAAAAACAGTGTTGAGTATGTATACTACGATATTTAATTTACGATATAAATTATAAATATTATATATATATATATGTATATACATAGTTTAAAGATATTGTTTTTTTGTAATTATAAAATAAATAATTTTTATTCATAGTACCGCAAAACAATGTCTATAATAATTTGGGTCAAGAATGTGTCGGTGCAGGTTGCAGTGTGGATCTGTTTATCTTTAACAATTCGTATGTAGATATAGCAACGATTGGTCAAATTTGTCGTCTCACTGGAGGAGAGATTTATAAATATACTTACTTTCAGGTGAGCGCTTTATATCTACATTAAAAATACATGTAAGAAATAATAAGATGGTAGATTAAATTTTTAAATTAAAGACTTTAAATGTGTTTGTGCGTGCGTGAATATACACGTAAAAGATTACATTGAAAAATATAAACTTTCTGTTGTAGGCTGATATTGATGGTGAAAGATTAATTTCGGATATTATTAATAATATTAGTAGACCGATCGCTTTTGATGCTGTTATGCGAGTACGTACATCTACAGGTGTCAGAGCGACTGATTTCTATGGACACTACTTCATGTCCAATACAACTGATATGGAATTAGCCAGTATAGATTGCGACAAGGTAATCAATTATAATAATAATACATTAGAATTAGCTAATATTATAATTACAACTTTAGAATTTTTACTTAAAGTATTAGAAGATTAAAAGAGTTCTTTTACTCTATTTATTAATATGTTTTGTAATCATATTTTATTTTAATAAATTAATTTGATTTCCAATTTACAAGGCTGTTGGAATAGAAGTTAAACATGATGACAAACTGACAGATGACGAAGGTGTGTACATTCAAGTAGCTTTGCTATATACTTCCTGTGGTGGTACAAGAAGATTACGAATTATAAACCTAAGTCTGAAAACTTCGTCGCAAATGGTCGAACTATATCGCGCATGCGATTTAGACGCCATTATAAATTACTTTTCTAAGCAAAGTAAGATATGTCTTTAACATATAATGATAAAAATAATACTTTGTTTAAAATAATATAATACATGTAATAATCTTATACTTAGATGTATTTAAATTACTGGAATCCACTCCAAAAACGATAAAAGATAATTTGATTGCAAGATGTGCCAATATGCTGGCTATATATCGAAAGCACTGTGCGACACCATCTAGTGCTGGACAATTAATATTACCAGAATGTATGAAATTGCTTCCACTTTACATTAATTGTTTATTGAAAAGCGACGCTTTGTCCGGAGGTAAATATATATATTTAACCAGTTGTATTTATAAAATAGATATTATATTAAGTACTAAGTTTATCTTTCTTTTTTTAACTTTTTTCTTAGGAGCTGATATGACCATCGACGATCGATCTTATGTTATGCAAACGGTTGCAACGATGCCTATTTTCATATCTATTGCATACACTTATCCTAGATTATTTCCGTTGCACGACGTTGATCCTCAGGACACAGAATTACCACCAATGTTGCGCTGCTCTATTGACAAATTTGCAGACGATGGCGCATATCTACTTGGTAATATCAAAGTTACATACTTTTCAGTCATGTATAACTTGGAGAGATTGTTGAAATTATTTTTTTTTTATTTTAACCAATAATTGTTACATATTAGTTTTTAATAATAATTTTAATTGCCCTATAATTTTAAATAATTTTTAAATTTTTATTTTTAGTTACTTAATTTAAATTAGCAATTAAGAGAGCCAAACGCGAGAATGGTAATACGTAAGTTAGTTTCGAAGAAAATTTATTTTTAGTTATACACAGGACATACAAATTTTACCTGATATATAATATCAAATACTTAAATAATCTCCTGTCTGAGATTTATTTTAAATACTATCTTGTAACGTTCTAAATAAGCGTAGGCTAGAAAAGTATCGGGACAAAATGCTGAATCGAAAATCGAACCGCAGTCTCTCGCTTGCCGAGCGACTATTCTTTAATAAATATAAAACAATATGGTATCGATATTATTTTATGCATTTTGTGATTTGTTTTATTTATAGAAAATACTATCCATATGTTCTTATGGTTGGGTATGTCACTTCCCTCCCAATGGGTACAGAGTGTCTTTGGTGTGCCTTCGGTGGTTCAAGTCGATACAGATCGCACTGCATTGCCAATATTAGACACTCCTTTAAATAATAGAATCACGAATATCATCAATCAAATACATGTTGAAAGACATCGCTGTATGAGAGTAAGTTATTAATTGCAATGCATGAAAATAGATATTATATTAATATTGAAGTATAATATATTCTATTGTTTTTCTTTTATAGTTAACAATAGTAAGGCAACGTGAGAAACTGGAAATGGTATTACGACATTTTTTGGTAGAAGACAGAGGAAATGATGGAAGCCCTAGTTATGTCGATTTTCTATGCCACATGCACAAAGAAATAAGAACACTTCTTAGTCAATAATTATTTTTTAAGTAATCAGTTACCTTGTACTTGAATTTCAGTTCTTTTGCATCAATAATTTGTTATTACACTTGTCTTAATAGGAATTCAATCAAGGTTTTATATTCAATCATTGTACTTTTATTCACGCATCTATTTGAGTATTGAAAAAATATATATATATATATATATATATATATATATATATATATATATATATATATACATATATATATATATATATATATATACACATACATATATACACACACACACACACACACATACATAATACATATATATAGTGTATATATGAAGTGGGCTGAAAAAAAGCTTCGAAAACAAACGAATGTATTCTTCAACAAATGTAGAGACGCCTTCTCTCCTCAAAAAAAAATTAAATTAATCGAATAATTATGTTATAGGGAGAAGTATATATTTCAGTAAATTCTAACACTGCGATAAGTTAATTTTTATTTATACATTTGTATCTTTGTGTATCTTAATAATATAATTGATAGGAAATGAGTTATCACAGCGGCACCTTTGATATCATTTCTCTATGTATGATCTAGTTTTCATCTAAATTTAAAATATAGAGAGAAATCTATTTACAACTGCGTCGAATACATACGCATTTGTAATATTACAGTCTATTTTGGACTTGCTCTAGACAGATATGTAAATCTGTTCGACAGACAGATTTAAAAAAAAAAGAAAAAGCGACTAATCATTCCGACAAATATCGATACGTATAAAAGAATAAATATGCATCTCAATCGTACAGCAGTTATGAGTAATTAATATAAACATGAAAGAAATTGTATTATTACTTTATATATTAATTACATCATTAATGTTATTATCTTATTAAGTTAATAAAGTCTATTATAAATCATATAAATTCTAACATATTAATTAATATTTATATTAATTTCAGAACACGCAAATACGCACGCGAGCGCGTATATGTTCTATACTATTAAACATTATTTATTATAATATTATTTCTAAATCAAATCAATATTTGTGTGCATGTAGCATATTATTCTTTCTTGAATATTCATGCTAAATGAAGATAAAATAGGCGAAGGGAATTATTTTAACATATAAAAATGTATAGTTGACGAAAAGAATGAAAATATTAATTTACAAAAATGATTGAATTGCCAAAATGATATTACTAATTTGGAAGAAATACTTAATTGGAAAAGTATATTATTTTTATTGTATTTGTATCACAATATAAACTTTGTTTCTCTCTGTATAAGCATTATCACAAAATGTGCAACGTATAATATATATCATATCACGTCAAAATATGCATATCGATTAATCATTTGACATGAAAGTCAAATTCTATAAGCAATACAATATTAATATTCTATGCATATGCACACGCGATACATATGTATATACATACACATGTGTATATATACACATACGCATGCACGCACACCCACCCACATACAAAAGAAAGAGAAGTAACAATTTTATTAACACAAATTTTTTAATATTAAAATTTTGATGAATTTTGAATATATCTGTTATACATTGTACAAGTTGTCCCTGAAATAAATGAATGAATTAAAAGGAGCGTATATCTTTTGATTCATTTGGATTCTCGGGGAAAAAAGTATATATTCTTATATATATTTATTTCAATTTCAATTATTATTTTTCTTGTGTATTTATATAGTATATAAAAATGATAGAGAAATAATATATAGACAAGAGAAAAAAAACATTTTATATATAATTATATAATTCTATATTATTTTTATATGATTATATTTAATTATATATTATAATTTTTTCCTGGAATTTATCTTGATATTTTTTCGTTTGTCGAAAGAACTCGAATACAAGATTAGGCATATATAGGTCTTGACACTTTCACTCTTCAACCATTGGTGTGTATAGCTTATTGATGTAATCGCATTCCGATATTTTGCGCTATTAAGGTAGTTCTATCGTTTTTCACAATTCTTACGAATTTTTAGAAATTTTAATATGTTGTAGACGAAGTTAATATTTATCGATTATGAAATTTGGAAGTTGATTCACCGTTTAGTTTAATAGTTATTTACAATTAAAAATAGCATTTTTTCTATACATCACGTAAAAGAATGGCATTTTCATCACATTTTAATATATAACAATAGAACGGATCTTACGATTTTAATAAAAAACCAGTGGGGTATACAATATGAGTGTGGGATTATTTAAAAAAAAAATGAGCGTGTGGGATTATTTAAAAAAAAAAATGAGTTGTTTCTATGTGAAGAGGTTCAGACTGTACAGACTCAACTAAAATTTAAACGATGAATTTCCTTATTGATTAGAGGCGAAACTTTTAGTTGATATTGTAGCGATAGAACTACCTTAAGTGAAATGTTGTTTTGTCACTTCAGTCAAGAACTGCTGCTATTATCGTGCAGATCAAATTATAATTCGATTATACATTTTTCATATATGTAGGATAAGTAAATATATATAATAAAAATCTTTAATTGGAAGAAATTTTAAATTGGATTATTATTAATTATTATATACAAAAGAGCAATGGATAAATTTAGTTGCTTTTATGAGCCTTTAAAGTTTGACGAGGCCTGCGTAAATGTGATATCTGATAATAATTATACATGGCTTTATTCGCTTTCTACGGATTGTTTATCGGTAAGTACAATCATTTAACACATATTATATGAAATATATCATATAATATATTTATATATATAATCAATAATTTTTCGAAGTTGTAATAATTAATCGTGATTTCTCATATATATATATATATATATATATATATATATATATATATGTATATGTATATATGTATATGTATATATACAATAATATATTGTATACATTATAGAAATTTATCACTAGTAACGCCAATTTATCACTTATTTCGAGTACTTAAATTACTGTATATCAGTATTTTAAGTACTCGAAATAAATGATTAATTGGCGTTACTATAGTGATAAATTTCTACAAGGGATATATATATATATATATATATATATATATATAAAATATATATAATAGAGATTCTCTGAATAATATATCTTTCATATATATATATATATATATATATATATACCGGCCAATATATATACAATATCTATACATATATATATGCGAATTCATTGTGATCACACATTCAGCTGAATTGTTATTTCTTACTTGATATGTTTATATAGTGTCCATATAAACGAATAGCACAGATCTCGGCTAATGACAATTCTAGCTTGAAATTCAACACAGTCGAAACAATAAAGTGGAGAGTGTTTAAGAATAATGGCACTAATGAATATATATCTGCCAAAATTACAAGGTAAACTTTTATTGTTTAATATAAATATATTAAATTGTTATACTTGCATTTACATATACATATATATGTATACAATATGTAGAAGAATAACGTGCGATAATTATGGATGTAAAATCTTTTAAATATAGTCAACCATTTTTGTATCAATCAGATTGAAATATATATGTTTTATATATATATATACATATAAATTTTGAAATGTAAATCTTTTATTAAGAAAATTTTATATACATATACATATATATATAGCGTCGACATAATTAAGACGAGATATACACGCGTACAGGGTGCGTTCACAAAGTTTCAAGACTGATTTTTTCTGTGTAGGGGAAAGCGCGCAGACCGGTTCCACCGACAGGGTAAAGTAGTGGGGGGTGTCGGTGTCAGCTAACCGGCCGTTCAGCGGCGACAGCGGCAGTTGCCTCCGAGACGCTGGAGTGAGTAGATCGCTAGTGGCGTGAGTGCGTGTCAGTGACCTCTGTCGAAAACTCGGAAAGTCGAAAATGCAGCGTCATTTGGAGCAGCGTTATTCGATAAAGTTCTGTGCGAAACTGAACAACTTCAACTTCCTCTTGAATCATACCAAAAGTCTCTGTAGCGGTTTTGTTCAGTTTCGTACAGAACTTTATCGAATAACGCTGCTCCAAATGCTGCATTTTCGACTCTCCGAGTTTTCGACAGGGGTCACTGACACGCACTCACGCCACTAGCGATCTGCTCACTCCAGCGTCTCGGAAGCAACTGCCGCTGAACGGTCGGTTAGCTGACACCCCCCACTACTTTACCCTGTCGGTGGAACTGGTCTGCGCGCTTTCCCCTACACAGAAAAAAATCAGTCTTGAAACTTTGTGAACGCACCCTGTACGCGTGTATATCTCGTCTTAATTATGTCGACGCTATATATATATTGTATATGTATATAAAATTTTCTTAATAAAAGATTTACATTTCAAAATATATATATATATATATATATATATATATATATATATATATATAACATATATATTTCAATCTGATTGATACAAAAATGGTTGACTATATTTAAAAGATTTTACATCCATAATTATCGCACGTTATTCTTCTTCTAATTGTTTTTTAAATATTACTTTTTAGCGATATTTTTTGCGAACTGTTACCGAATCTAGGTCAATATGGATTATACAAATTGATAGTACAAAACAACACCTGCAGTTGCAGAACATTGAGAAATCCGACATATCCATATTCTGGTAAATTTCTAAATAATAGTCTTGAAAATTTCGTATACATATATTTCATAAAATTATTTTTTTTCCTTAAAAAATATTGCGGGCATGTATATATATGCGTATTGCTATGTGTGCGTGCGTGTGCGCGCATGCGATATATGTGTACATATATGTATACATATGTGAATAAAAGGATAAAACTATATAATTAAAACCATATATGTAAGCATGATATAGTGATAAAGTATCTTATCTTAGCAATTTTATCATTTCGTTTATCTGTCGTTTAACTCGATAATACTATACTGATATATAAAACATATATGATATCAATAATAATCAGAATGTGTGATTTATTATGTATGACTGCAATAATAAAATAGTCGATAAAACAGTCGCCAACGTTTGTTTAAATAAGTTGGTTTAAAGAAAATGTAATATTTTCAATATTATTATGGATACATCCGTCCATATATATACAGTGCTTGAAATTTTCATAGTTCCACGTAATGTATCTTTTGTAATATTACGTGGAACTATGAAAATTTCGATCACTGTATACTATAAAATATATCTGTAAAATATCGATATATATATAAATCTTTTACAGATATTTTATTGCGAGTATATTATACATATACATGCAAAGTATATTATATATATGCTGTTTGTTTTCCCTCTTTATTTTTTTTTATTTACAGAATTTTTTATTATTCTGGGGATAATTGTATTTAGCTTATTTGCCATATCTACTGGGAGATCTTTATGGTACAAATTTAAGAAACAATGTATAATAAACATGAAGGAAGAAGAAATGCCAAATAGCAACAAAGGAGCAACAATAAAACGTCGCATAAAAGCTATCGATACATTCAGAGGGTATATATATATATATATATATATATATATATATTTTACAAAATAATAATGTAACATATAAAATAAAACGTATAGAATAATATATATAGTCTAGATTGACACAAATTCTTTTACAATTAGTTGACACAATCGTTCATATAATGACTTGCAGGGTCAGTACACTTTTTATGATTTTTATTAACGATGGCTCCGGTAGTTATACCAAATTGGGGCATGCAACTTGGAATGGTATGTTACTAGGAGATTTAGTATTTCCTTGTTTTATATGGATAATGGGAGTTTGCATGCCTATAGCTTTGTCAGCGCAATTAAAACGTGGACTTTCAAAGTTTCAAATCAGCTATTCCATCTTAAAGGTAATTGTTACAAAAAGATAATTGTTGGTAAGAGAGATAAAATTAATTTTACATATATATATATATATATATATATATATATATAATTGATTTTGCTGATGCTAACAATTATAGCTAAATCAATATATATATATATATATATATATATATATATATATATATATTTTGCTGATGCTAACAATTATAGCCAAATCAACAACACACATATATATGCACATAATAATACACACACAATATATAATTGTAATATATATATATATATATATATATATATATATGTATATATTATCTTATACTTTTTATAAAATATGTGTGTATGTGTATAAAATATCAATTGATGTGATGTGTATCGCATACCTTATCACATGTCCAATATACTTTTTTGCAGAGAAGTTTCTTTCTATTTCTAATAGGCGTTGCGCTAAACACGTTAGGAACAAATGCGCAATTGGAAAACATACGCATATTTGGAGTTCTTCAACGATTCGGGATTGCTTATTTAACTGTTGGCTTGCTCTATCTTTGTTTTACACCCCAACAATCAACAGCTATTCGAGTATGGAAATATATATATTAAATATTCTTATATGTAATATAGATGCGTAAATGTGCGCATATTGCATATACATATATTTATTACAATACACAAACTCCATCTATCATTATTTTAGATTATTAATAAACAATTAATGACTTATACACTTTTACAACATAGACAATTTCTTTTCTTGCTTAAAGATAATGCAATTTCCAAGATTTAACACTCTCGTAGAGGGTCTTCCGACGTGCATAAAATAATTTTGTGCAACCGGCGCGCGAAAAGTCGCCCTTTACGCACATGATGGGATTTTAGAAAGGGCTCCCTTTTCACGCACCGGTCACACAAAATATTGTAGCCAACATGTGCGGGTCATAAATCGACCGATTTACGATCCCCCGCACTTGTTAGCTAATATACTATAATATGTATAACTACACGTCTTGATAACGTAAACTTTAATCAATTTGTAGAACTTGCCACAAATTTGGATTATACGCAAGATGCAAGACGTGTTAAGCCTTTTGCCACACTGGTGCGTAATGCTGACTCTATTAACGGTGCATTGCGCTTTAACATTTGGTCTACCAATCCCCGGATGTCCTACGTACGTACACGTCAACTTCAATACATTTCTGTCTTGTTAACTTTTACTTCAACTTGTTTAATTTCGTCCTTCGATTTATCATCCATCGTGAAGTGAAAAATGAAACGAAAGTTAATTATTATATACAGCGGATACCTTGGACCAGGCGGAAGACACGAAGACGGTAAATATTTTAATTGTACCGGAGGTGCGGCTGGATATATTGATAGAATTCTATTAACTTCAAATCATATTTATCAAAGACCAATCATCGATTCCGTTTATGGATCTGGTCCTTTTGATCCCGAAGGAATTTTAGGTAAATCTTTTTTAGATATACTTGCCAAATGTATACCATTATACGAGTACATATGTATATATAGATGTATAGTGTTACATTACGGTGATATATTCAACTTTTCATCCTTTTTACAATTAAATCTTCTTCTTCATATCATGTTATGTTTCCCTTACATAATAATGTACTATATTTCATTAATATGCCCGAATTGATAGTAAAAAGGAATATAAAATATTAATAATATATAGTAGAGGTACATATATTTTCCTATACTATTTCTAAAATCACGTGTATATAAGCGTATATATTGTGTTTGTCTTCAGGATGCCTCATGGCAATATTTCAGGTATTTCTAGGTGTACACACTGGTGTAATTCTAATGATATATAAAAATTGGAAAGAACGTGTTATCCGGTGGCTTTTATGGGCAGTGTTTTATGGTTGTTTGGGTTGCGCCTTTCATTTCACTAATTTTATACCCGTCAACAAACATTTGTGGTAAGATAATATTAACAAAATGAATTACTTGTTTAAACATTTTGTTGTGTGCGCAATTTTATTTTAATAGAGAAATTTTATGAAACTGATAGTTTGTAGTAATAGTTGTAAATGTCTGTAGATAGTAAATAACACTTGTATAATTACGCAGGTCTTTGTCATTTGTACTTGTTTCAACTTGTTTTGCTCTGGCTTTTCTTTCCGGATGTTATTTGTTGATTGATGTTGCCAACATTTGGCGAGGTGGCCCTTTCAGAATACCCGGTAAGTAAAAATGTGTACAATCTAATCTGACAATTAATTAATAAAGTAAGTACATTAATGTAGAATATAAAGTTAAAAGAAATGCTATCTAAAACATATATAGAACAAACTAGAAAATATAGATTCTCAGAAACACGCATTAAACGTATAAAAATGTATTCTTATATAGGGAATTTGAATGCAAATTGGATGCACTATAGTGCGCACTAGTGCGCATCTAACAGAATTCGCTATTAAGTAAATAAAAGAATAACAAAACGTACATCTAATTTTATTTTGTTATAACAGATTATAAAACTATACTTTAAATTAACGGTAGAGATAAGTAATAAGACAGTAAACATAGAAAACAGAAGAGATTAATTTGCAGAAAGAAATAGCATTATTTGATTTTTTTGCAACTATTTCCATGCGCGCGCGTGCGTATGTTTCAACATTATTATACTAGCGATAGATATATCAAGAGATGTATCAGAAGACGCACTGTTATATTAATTTGTTTCAACATTACGCAAATATAAATTTACAGGAATGAATGCATTAGTGTTATATGTGGGCCATATGATGTGTTATCAAATCTTTCCATTCCATTGGAAAATTGGCGCAATGGACAGTCGTGCTTTGTGTTTAATTGAATCAATTTGGGTTGTAATATTATGGACGGTTATAGCATATGTTATGCATCATAAACGAATTTATATCGCACTCTAACAATGAGTATAAATTTACAATTATTTGGTTATATAATGCAGTATAAAATGTAGCAATATTATATTAAATATATACCATACACTGCATTTTTTTAAATTTTGCACACACATAATAATCCACAAATAGTATATAAGTAATTTTAGGAAATAATATAGAAACTTGTACCAATAAAACACGATTTGAAAATAAAATTGATAAATAATATGTTATTATATATATATGTATGTATATAAGCCAAACTGATATGATTTTCAAGTAAATAAGTGATTGCATAATATACGCATTTTTCTCTGGCAATAAATAATTATATAATAATCTCTATTAGTATTTTACAAATAATTTATTTTATGACTTGGATAAGTATAATACAGTGACAATTTCAGGTAATAGGATTAACAACAAGTGCGTGTATTTACACATATATTTTTAAATAATAATTAATATTGTTAAAAAGTGTTATTATATTTTCATATAACGATTTTATTCGTCTTACAATTAAATAAATAAATCACGTGCATCGCTGCTCACGTAGTATAATATTTACGTGATGCGATGCGGCGTATATCAAGATACACCCAATCTCCTAATATATAGAATTCTTCAAATTGCTTCTTTGGAAATTGTTAAAAAATTTTTTAAATTATTTCTCGTTTATGTATAGTTGAGTAAAATTTCAAAAATAAATATAAGTCAATGATGTAAGTGTAAAGGAATTGTACGTGAATGTTGATCGTTTCGACGATAAAAAATAAAATTACAAACTTTTATTTTTATTCGTTAGAAAATCTGACATGAGAACATTTCATTTATACAGATTTCTAATCTGAATAAATCTAATGTTTAAACAAGTTAAAAATTTGTTTATCATGGCAGTGTATCTTTTGTGAATCGATATAATTTCAAATAATTCATTTGCAATTGTCTTTGAAGAAAATCTTTGGTTAATTTTTCGCTGGAGTAAATAAGCATTATAAGGATTATCTTGTAAACAAAATAGAAAAAAGCACACCAACAATTCGGCCTTGTATAAGGAGAATTTCACTTATTCTTTTTCAGTAATCAGTTGCATCGGGACCTGAAAAATGAGAAATTTGATATTATAAAAACAATTTTTACATATACACTAACAATAAGTATAAAGACACAATTTAAAAAAGAAAGGAAAAACATATATATATATATATATATATATATATATATATATATATATATATTAGAATATACACGCATTATGTATAAAATAAATATATGTTTAAAAAAGCGCAAAAATATTGCTTCATTTATGTATGTACATACAATAATATTTCGATTATGTATTAATCTTTGTTGCTACTCGCTCCTCTCGCTCTCTCTCTCTCTCTCTCTCTCTCTCTCTCTCTCTCTCTCTCTCTCTCTCTCTCACACACACACACACACACACACACACACACGCGCGCGCGCGCGCGCACTCACTCACTCACTCTCTGGTATAATTTTGTTATTCATTACATATATGTATATATCTGTACGAAATTTAATACAAAATAACTACAAATATCTTCTTATTATATAAAAGTCTCATTGAATAATTTCTTCCTTCGCTAAATGCCTTTTATTCGTATCTCGAATATATTTCAAACTTATTGTTAATAAAATATCATTCCTGTTATTCGATCGATATTAATCACAACGTGCATAAAGCAACCAAGCAATTTAACAATCAAATTTTTCCGCACAATTGCGAGGAAGAGGACAAGAAAGAAAAAAAGAAACATAAAACAGTCACAAGGAGAAAAAAGAAGAGAAAAGAAAGATATAAGGAAAAAGTTATAATTGAATTAGCAAGAAGATGAGATATAAGGAAAAGAAGAGCAAAGAAATATATATATGTAAAGTGAGATATATAAAAAATGAAGAATAGGAAAGAGGGAAACGTGGAAAAGAAATCAAGAATGATAGATGAATATATGGAAACGATATGTACCGAATGAAAAAAAAATCACGTAGCCCGTAGAACATCTCGGGCATACCCAACCCTGCCTTGCGAAGAAAATCGAGAGAAAAGTATGTCCGTGGATCATGGAGAACAGTTGCTCGCGGCGGCGAGCAAACATATGGCCTCATTCCACCCTGGGACGTCAGCAATAATTGGTTTTAGAGTTTGTACAGGATGTTGGGATAGAAGGAACCATCCGCGGCGGATCGTTAGTTCCGTCGTCGTGCCGTGCTAATAGAGTTTGCGGCACACTCTTCGTACTCTTGATTCTCGGGCACAGTACATTCACCTTGTAGGTCCAAGAAGGTATCTTGCTTGAGAGTGTCTTGAAAGCTAGAGAAGGTACAACATCATGCTCGCGTAAATTGGCTAACTTGGAGCTCTTCCAAGTTCGGAAATACGGATCAGTTTTTGAAGAGATTTCATCTTCTTGCTGACTCGCAAGATGATCGGTTTCAACATTCGTCAAATCCGCCGAATGATTTGCATTCGTCGTAGCATCTTGGTGAAATCTTCGCCAAGACTGCTCGTGAATGGGCGAATATTCGGGAGAAGTTAAGCCACTGGAATAATTGGAGCAGTACGTGTCGTCGTAATTGAAAGCCGTAGTTTCGAGTGGCAAGCTAAGATTTTCTTTTCTAGAAAGATTTGTCCGAAGGGAGTAACCGGACAGAGTAGAATCATCGTTCAAAAGCCGAAAAAGTCGCGAATGAGTCTGCGTTCGTTGATATTTTTTCATATTCTTCAAAGTACACTCCGAATCCGTGTCGGCCTCGGATATCATGCGACTTATATCGGAGGTAACTCCGCTATCCTCGTCGTCAGTGTCTTCGCGAGAATCTTGAACATTCGACAGGCACTTTACGTTTTGCGTCTGACAGAAATCCAGATCGACAGATTCATCGTGTTTGTCGTGTTCGTCTCTTATTGTTATCGCACAATTTTTCCGATCCTTTTCATCTTCAATAGTAGTAACATTCTGAAATTGGAAATGGTCTTGCATCAAAGACGGAGAGCATTCGAATGTGGCAAGTTTCGGTCTACCAATCATTCTGTCAAAAGTGATACTTGAAATTCGATTATTATTATTAATGGATTCTACTTGAGTGGAATCAGGATTTTTATTTAATAAGATATCTTGAGTGGAATCAGAATTTTCATCATTTAATAAGCTATCTTGCGTAGCGATTATCGATTCGGAAATAGCATCTGCGTCTACATCTGCATCGGGATCTTTCGATTCTGGTTTTGCTGCGGAGTTTATTCCGTAGCCATGTCCCATTTTCGCAATTGTGAATTCCGCATTCTGTCCTTCGCAGATAGATCCCGTTGGATCTTTCCTTAATGTGAAATCTACATGCGCATGTGGTATTGCACTCTCGACACTTCGCGTTGCATCGCGCGTCGCATCGTCCGAGTCCGAAAGGTGTGTCTTTATCATAAAATCTACATTAGTGTCGTTGCCAACATGAAAGTCGACACAAACGTCATTCTTCATCGAGTACTCGTCGCGGGATTTTTCCGCCTTTATCTTGCTATCGCCGACTATCACGGTGGTGATGTCCTCGTTGTCTTCGGATATGAAAAACTTGAATCTCAAAGGCAAACTCACGCTGACCATCGTACTTTCGATATCGGGAGGATCGTCGGTCGCTATCGGACCATCATCCTCCTGACTACATTGCTCCAAGTAACGATCGCTCTTGTAGGAATAAGAATCGAACGTATCTCGATCATCGGTTGAACGATTCTCCCCGTTATGTCTCTCGCTCTCGCTCGTGAGAGCTTGCTGAAACGTCATACGAGAGTCCGATCGATCGTCCAAATAATCGATACACTCCTCCCTGAAATCTATCTCCTCTCCGGTTCGATTGCAATTTTCAGAAAAGTCTCGCGAGCGTCCACATAGATTGTTAACGACAGTTGAGCACTCAGCGCGGACTACGTCAGTGCGATTCTTGCTCGAAGAGAAATTGTGCGGATCTCTCTCAATTTTCTCGTAAGGATTCATTCTTGTGAAATAAGCTATATATGAATCGGAATCACTATCGGATGACGTATTATTGAAAGTAGTATCATTGCTAAGGCTATGATTTTTCTGACAGGAATTTAAAAATTGTTCATTGTCCGAGATAGAATCGCTCGAATCACTGGAATCGTTCGATTCAACGCTAGAAGCGCTAGAATCGCTAGTATCTATGTAGGTATAATTTGGCACGTTGATGAACGGACCAAATGTTTTTTTTTTCGCTATGTCAATATTATTAACGACTGTAATATTGTCAGGATTCGTCGATATACAGTCTTCCTCGTCAATTATGTTCATCGCTGTACTAATGCAATTATTTTCTCTATTGGAGTTCTCGCTGACATTTTTGGGATCGTATGTCTCGTTCGACTGTGCATTTAAATGGTTAATCTCATTAGGCAAAATGCTGTTTTTTGACTCATTAATCGTGCCGTTTTGCAGACAATCTAATTTATCGTTTCGAGCAAAAAATGCATCGTCAGCGATAAAACGATCATGATAATTGCATTTGCTTGCATCGACGTAGTTCGAATGTGGTTGAATATCGTTGTAACCTGCTGGGGGATAAATTACAGCCGCGTAACCGTATTGCCCCGAAGGATTTTCTTGATCCGTAACTCTTAGTTGTGTCATCGTATAATTTTCATTATAAACCGGGTAAATAGGATATCGCGGATATGCGTAAAAAGGAAAGGAATGTCTGTTCGTTTCATTCGCGGTTTCGTTGGATGTAGCATTATACTGCACGGGATAATAGCCCCACCAACCCTCGGGATACCAGAAAGGAATAGGTTGAAGAGGAAGTAATACACCCTGCTGATTGCCCGGCAAGTTATTCTCTGTTCGACAGGTGTAATCTGCTTGACGATTTTCTTGCGTGGCTACAACAAACAGCACAAGGCACATTCAAAGTTAAATTTTTCACACATCGAACGTAAGACAGCTGTCGTGCGCATCGTCTTTACTTGGACATCTGAGATTTTCTTCTTTTAATCGCACATTGTTTTGTGCATTATATAATAATCCATCAAATAAATAGTACAATAGCGAAAAGCAGACAATTTTCTAAATTGGAAATGCATTTGTATATGTTTGAAATATTTATCCGCGCTAATTATATTTCGCACTTCTCTTTTTTTTCTTACGCTGTGTATATTTGCCCAACTGATCTTAAATCGATACATCTGGCATAATGGAATAAGCGAAATTATTGATCAGCTATAAGAAAATGAGAAAAATAAACTATATCCTGTGTTCAAAGGAAAGTGTAACAAGTTGTAGCAAACAAAATTTTTTATGGTGCGCAATCTCTTTCAATATCTACAATCTACATACTTGTGTATAATCTCTCCCCCCCCCTCCTTTTACTTTTTTCTCAAAAATATCAAATAAAATGAATAATTTCACTCATATTTTTATTATATTTTCAATAAAATAGTGTGTATATATGTATATATGTATATATATATATATATATATATATATATATATATATATATACTATATTTTGTTATATTTGATTACACAAAATTATTGTTAATATCTACAATATAATGATTAAAATTTATAAATATAAATAAAAAGTGTGTAAATAAAGATTTCTTTGAATATGCATAGATTTTTATATTATATATAGTACATACACAGCACTTCTGTATAATTTATATTATTACAATGTGTAAATATATATATTATGCTGTATATGGATTTTGTTGTGTATCTTATTTTATATTGTATATATATATATATATATATATATATATATATATATACACACACACAATATTAACGTAAAATAATAAAACTAATAAGAACTTGCTTATTATTCGAGTTATTATAATATAATAAAACTAATTATCGCAAATACGTGAAAGAATATATTTTGAAATGTGAATATATATCTTTCGTCTTTATACGATTCTTGATCAAAATAAAAAATATATAACATACATACAAATAACTATTTTGCATTGTGAAGCAGTAATAAATATGAAATTATTAATATAGATCTCTTATGTAACAATCTCATTAAGATAAGACTTGTATTGTAAAGTGGCATATTCTTTTATAAGTTTATGTATCTTCAATGTAAAAGAATACAAAGCGAGCAGAATTACGGCGTGAATGGAAAAAAAATATATAAAATAAATTTATTAAGTGTAATTTTTTATACTCGCCCCCTTTCTCTATTTTCTCTCCCCCCCCCCCTCTCTCTCTCCGACTAAAAATATTTACCAAATAATTAATATTTTATTAAATTAAACAAATAATTTGTATTCACACATACGTACACACATGTATATCTTGCGTTTTTAAAGAAATATAAAGTAGCAGCAAAGAAATTTGATTAATCCTGTGAACACAGGATTCGGGAATGTGTTTGAGTGATGCCAAGTATGTTACTTCAACAAAATTTTCATTAGAATATAAAGCTCATTACGAAATATTAATGTACACAAGTATAAATAAGCTTTTACAATTAATTTATGAACGATAAATATGTATGTGTCGTACAAGTGCTTTTACACGCGCGTATTAAGTATTATATAGAAAAGTTAAGTAAATCTTTCATCTAGTGATAAAAATAAATGTAAATCTTTTGTAGAGACTTTATAATCGTTTAAAAAAATGTTTAATCAGCCAGATAACTTTTATACGAAAAATTGATTTCGAGAAATCTATATGTATAGTAGACGTACGTATACTTACCATTACTTTCTGGTGCTGTCATCGCTTGTAATATCCTAAAGGATCGAGAAGGAATTGCACTACCCATGTATTTCTTTGGTTCTTGCACTTGTTGTTCACTGGGTGGCAAATTTGCTTGCATCTCTTCTACGTAAAAATTAATGTGTATGTGTGTGAAAATCAAATTTACAAATATTTAGATTTTTATGTATATATTCGGTTGCTTTGATAAAATTTTAATAATGCAAAATGAATCAATGTGAATCAATATGAATCGCATATTTAATCGCGTACTTAACTTACCGAATACTTTTGAATTTCTATTTTGTTTCTTATTTGAAACATTTTGTATATTACGTGGCGCTAAAACATACAAAAAGAATTATATTATTTGCACATTATATTATATATTCAATCTTTTTAAACTTTTCTTATATGTATTACATTTGACTTGAAAAAAGAAACGAAGAGATATATTGTATAAATAAATCTCTTTATCTTTAAATCTCTATGTATAAATTATTATTTAACATACAATGTATTGTATATTTTACTGCTTGAATTGATTATTAAAACAAAATACTATATATATATAATAATAATATTATTCTTATTATTTAATAGTCTTAGATGAAAGTATTTCTTGTATAAAATTGACTTATGTACCTGCACATGTAACTGTGGCATCGTTCGAATCTGTCATATTTTGTAATAAACGGAAAGCTCGCGAAGGTATTGCTGCACCACGATATCTCGGATCTTCCTCTTGATGAAGATAAGTTTCGTGATCGACTATTGTAAAAAAAAAAAATACAAATGCAATATTTGTCTACAAATTGCTAGTATACAGGGTGTCTCATACCCAATGAATCACTGATATACAGTTAAATTCCTGACGTCATTTAGAGACGATTTTTTCTTAGCGAAAATATCGAGGCGTCGATATACATATACTTTTTAAGTTATAAAACGATTGAAAATAAAGGATTTTTAAGGACAAACTAAAATTGTGAGTACAAAATACCCCGTAGAGTTTCAGAGTTTTTTCAAGTATTATGATTAATATAATTAATATAATTTGAAAAGTTAAATTTTGTTCATTATCTTATAACCATTTTTAAAAGATATAATTAATTAATATTAATAATATGCACACGTTACAAAGATATATTAATATAATATATACATGTATATATACGTATACATAGTATAGCCTCGTATACTAACGTGATATTACGTGAATATTAAAATAATAATAGACAAAACGTAATAATAATAATAATTGTACCTTGCTCTTTAAATTTATTCATAAGTAGCCTTTCGTCTTCACTCAATTCCAATCTACGTATTTGTTCTGTACCCACGTCATTGACTGTGTCTGTATCGGTAATTTTTTGAAGAACACGAAATGATCGTGATTGAACTGGTCCAGCCTCGTGCTGTTGAATCGGGTTGGGATTCCGCTGTTGCATTCTGTTCCGACAATTTTAATCAACGATCGCAAGTATTTTCATAAACAAATAAAATATAAACGTTAGAAATTTAAAAAATACATGCTTTGTGCTCTCAAATCTCTACGATCGATCTCTCTAAAGAGAATTCAACTTACATTCTTGCAGCCTTTTCGGTCATATTATTTTCGGCACTACACGGCACTGACTTTTTGTCGTTGTCTTTCACTACAACAGGGATAATATAGGTTGTTCCGACCGTTTGTTCCGGCCGAGGCAAAGCTGCAACGCAAATTTGTTCTTGATTTTGTGGATGATTTTGCGCCTGATTCTCCAAGGTATATTGAGCAGGCATCTGACCCCATCGCTGTTGATGATGCAAAGTTGGAGGTTGTTTAAATTGATGATGGCCAGAATCACGCTTCACATCAAATACCGACGGTCTATCCTCGATCTAACGAATCAGATATCAGAACCATGAAAACGAGAAAAGATACGCTACACCAATCAATTCAATAGTGCTATAAAAGCTATGTGTATGTTGAGAAATAACTTTTCTCAACTTACTCGAATGGGTATAACACGTTCGTGCTGATGTGATTGCGGATTAGTTTGTTGGGACATTGCGGAAACAGCAATTTGTTTCTGTTGTTGCGATTTTGGCTGCTGATAGAGCTGCGGAGTAGGGTGTTGTTCTTGTTCTTGCTTTTGTTTTGTTTCCGAATGATGCGGAACTGATTGCTGAACTTGAACATAAACTGTCGGAGAAGGCGCGCTTTCCGAAGAATCGTTGTTAAGAACCGCCGTTTTATTAATACATGTGCGTTTCGCCCACTCGGGCAATTCCTCCTGAGGTTTGTTCTTATTTTGCAACCAGGGTGTAGGAGCCTTAACCAAAGTAACTTGTGTCGGTGTACTCGGACTTTCAGGAGTGCTTGATTGATTCATTACTGTAGTAATCGGTACTGCCTTATTTGTATCTATCTTTATAACATTCTTTGGTGGTTCGGTGGTTTGTTTGTCCGCGGCTATAGAAAAAATATTTACAAGATAAAAAATATTCTTCTTTTGATTATAATTATTCTAATGTGCAATATACATAGGTATATAACATATACATATGTATATCATGTATATACACGTATCGTGGCTCCCGTGATGTAAAAGATACAAAAGAAGATAAAAAATAAATTTAGATGATTACCATTCGATGGAGTTCTATTGATAAACTGAGATGATGATATTCTGTTAACATGAGGCTGAGCTGGCACATTGGAAGGAAAAACTGGTACCGCGACCTGTGGTTGCACCAAGAAATTTGTCGCAGTAGAAGCCGCGACCGATGGTTTCGATTCGGCAAGTTTCGGTGGCCCCTCTATCCCTTCATCATTGGCATTTTTCGCAACTCTTCTCGCCATCCGCGGACTACGAATCTGCGAGAGATCTAGTTTACCACCCATACCTGGCGTGTAAGTAAAGGGCTTCTTATCCTTTGTTAACATTGCATTCTGAATAGCTGCTGGTGGCTCGTAAATACCGTCGTTATTCACTGTCTGCGCTTTCTTCGTTCCTGCATTCTGCAAAAAAAGTATCGCCGAATAAATTATTACTATGATAAATGGTACGAACGAAATAATAATTAAATTGCATTAAACATAAATTACATTAGATTAACAGCAAATCCAAAATCATATATAGATTATACTTTGTCAACTTTTAAGATTCCAATAACAAATAAAAATAAGCTCGATAAATAATTAAAGCTTATGATATAATAAGCGATCACTGATTAATGCTATTGTATGTTTTTTTATTACAGCAAAAAATCAATATCCATATGATTTACTTTATTTTACCTCTGTAGTATTTATCCTCATAGATGGCAGTTGACCAGACATTGGAGGTGGAGGGGGCGGTGGTGGAGGAGGGCCTTAATTAATTAAAATTGTATATACGAATTACGAACAATATTTTACATTAAATACAAAAAATTGACAACTTGATCAATGTATTAATAGCAATAATATACAATAATTACTTAACATCTCTCATCCTGTATCAAATAAATTTAATTTTATCAATTGATTTGATAGGTATATTTATACAAAAAATTACATTTTTATCTTTTATATAAATAAATATTTTAATATGTGTACTTACCCGCAATCATGGCATCCGGATTCCTGTAAGTAAAAAAATTAAACAATTTATTAATACAAATTTAATAAATAATGAAAGAGAGCATTAACAATTTTTATATGCAAAGATGCATATAATATTATATGTCGAGTTTGTGAAAAAATGCGCGCGTGAGTGCATACGTGCGTGCATGCGTTTATATGGTCGCGCGCATGTGTGTGTAAATAGCTTTCCTACAAAATCATTATTATGTATATATAATGTGTGTGTATGTGTGCGTGTAAAAAATATTACATAATATTTTTCATTTAAAAATTTAATGTATCATTTCATAGTGTGAGATAATGTGTGTTTTCCAAATGACAGAAGAAACTATATAATTTTAACATATAAGATTCCGATAATATATATATTTAGAAAGTCAAAATGAATATGTTCATTGGCATGAAACATTGCTATCTTATCTGTGGAATGTAATTACTTAAAACATGAGTCACATTTGCGTATATATACGTTATATTTACATGTTCCCCTTCTCTCTCTCTCTCTCTCACACACACACACACACAGAGTATGAGTGTATATGTAATTTATATACGTAACATTTATTTATTTATTAGCGCTAACAACTTACAAACGCTCACAGCTTACAACAAGTACCTATAATTAATAAAACATTTATTTGAAAATTTGAAACAAATCTTTGCTTACATTTTGTGATATGTATAAATCCATTAATTTACAGAATAATAGAAAAAATTTATCAAACTTTCAATAATATGCAAAACAATTGCAATAATAAGTAATTGCAAATTAAGAGCACGCAAAATAAATATATATTAAGCGTTCGTGTTTTCTTCTCATTGATCAACATCTAATGTATTGTGCGCGATAAAGATTAATTTTTAAAATAATACAGTTAGACTAACTCGCGTAAAACGTGAAAATAAAAATCGCGAATTCAAGGTATGCAATAATTTAATAAAATCTTTAGATAGATTTACTTAAATCTGAAATTACGTATAGGTACATTTTGCAATATGTTTTTAATTCGTAAACAATTTTTATGTAAAATTACATTACTTTTAAACGAATTTTAATCTTTGTAAAGAAGAACAGTAATTACCGAAAACTTAATATTTATATTTGTTACTTTGCGGTACAAATAATTTTTATATAAAGCCGACCAAATTTGATAGAATTAAAATTCGACGTAACAATGTAACTATCATATAAAGTAAATTGCATAATTTTATTGATGATGAAGGAATATGAGTTATTTAATTGCGAATTAGACAATCCTTTGGCAATAAATGATAAAGGGAGGAAAAATTGAAATTTTTTTTAACAATAAAAAGTTTAAAAGTTCAATAATTTGAATGCGTAACAATATAAGCGTTTTATAGTCTTGTCATAACTATTTTATCACGTGGCTCTCGATTTCAGCAAATGTTTATTGATCGAAAAAAACAATGTGTGCGTTCTCATGGAAAATTTTCCAGCTTTTTCTACGTTATTTTAAATAAGATGCAGCATAAATAAGCTGTTCACTATCCACGACTGCCACTCTCGCTCTCTCTCTTATTGGGCTCTGACTAATACACGTGTGTATGTGTGTGTGTGTTTGGGAGCGGAGGAGGAAAGGGGTGCGAAACGTCCGTTTTTAATTTTCTATTTTAATCATGAAAACCATGAAATCTCTTTCAATAGTGCTGTAATATCTAAAATTCTTTCGGATTATATACCTGAAAAATGTACAGAAATATTGTTGAAAAGAACAATTTGGTTAAAAATATATTTTTGACCCTTTTTCTATATCGTGAATGTTATGCATTTGTCAGTGTAACTTGAAGTTTCTTGGAAAAGCTCGATCATGGCAAATCGAATCTAGTCAGGTTGATGACGATCACGCCATGATGCTGGGAACCCAGCCAACAAATCTCGCAGCAAGTAGAAATATATTTAGGTAGATACGTCGAGCGAGAATAATTTTAGCGCGGGCTGACCTGCGCATTGAATCCTCGTATAAAATGCTTCCAATTATTTTATTTTTAGGATTTCTAACGCGCGCCGCAATAAATGCGCGATAAATGAATTCGAGCGATTTCACGATATAGGAATATAGAACGAAGGGTTTTTCGAAATCGATTTGAGTGATAAAATTGAAAACTTTAAAAGAAACTAAATATACTTTTAGCCGTTGTGACTGAATGAAAAAAATACTATTAGTAATGTAAACGAGAGAGAGAGAGAGAGAGAGAGAGAGAGAGAGAGAGAGAGAGAAGCAGGGCTTCTTTATACACATTAATCCAATATAATTTTTTCTATTTGAAAGGGAGATACATATGTATTTCTCTGGTCAAGCTGTGCGTTAAACATTATTGTTGCCCGACTATAGATGGCACAAAAAATGCGCCGACTTGTGAGAAAGTTGCGCCTGAAATTGAATCTCTTCGTTGAACGAGCATTGCTCGTTTCGATGGTGAAATATGTGTCGAGGGATTCTCCTTGGAACACGATGGCAAGGCCAATTCAGCCTTGCGACGCCCGATTCGACGCACTATGGTCGAAAAACGAGTTCCACTTCTCTTGCTTTCACGAGAGAGAGATAGAGAGAGAGAGAGATTTGTCTCTCTTCCTTCCATCATCGATGAAGCACACCGTACAAGGAATTTCAATTTTTTCGACTTATTTCTATTTATATATATATATTTTTTTTTTTTTCAAAACTAATCTATGTATTATATAAAGAGTATAATGTAACTCAGTTTTGACTATAAAGTTGCGAAATTTAAAATAATTGTCAATTAATCAATTGTTTGTTAATCAAGTTGTTTAACGACCATTATTTGTAATGTTTTAGATTTTAAATCATACATATTTGAATCTCGATTCTCGACAGCAATCTCGTTTATAAAGTAAAGGGCAGAATTTTATAGTGAATCCAAGTTGTAGGTGCAAAAATAAAAAAATGTCAGATCACTCTCAAAGAGGCGCGCATAAATAAAATTCGAAAAATAAATGGTAAAATGATCTTACCCGGCGTACGTTGAAGAATTCATAGCCAAATAATTGTTGCGTTTTGCACGTTTGGCTCTCTTATATACGATATTAGCCACTATCCGATAGAAAACGGAACGGCAGTTCTCTCCGCTGTTTCCAAAAGTTGAAAGACAAGGCCGATATGTTAAAATAAGGAACGAGAGCAGCAGCGATGCCGACACTAGCGCACGTCCGCCGCTACTACAGAGAGAAACCGTCACTTCGATTCTCACAGCGTTCGCTAACTTTGCAGGCTAGTATATAAGTATATATGTACCACGCAGCTGACGATGCGCGATGACACAGTCCACAGTCTTACATCTTTACCGATTTGATCGCCACATCGCGCCACATCGCTGGTCACCGCGCTCTCATAGTCGTTCTCCGCCGCTGCTTGCCAAAATAGCTCATGCTTATTTTAAGACTCGAACATGAGAAAATAATACATTTCCCATTATACGCGTGTACGCGAAAATGATGGACCAAGTCCGCGCTTACCGCATTGTTCATCCATGCGCGCGCGTGCGCGTACACACACAAAGAATTTTGTATTTTATTCGTGTATTTGCATTGCACTTATATATAATCATTATATATATATATATATATATTTTTAAAACCGCACATATGTATGATACGAAGCCCTTGTTATAAAAAATGTTGAGTACGTAAAGTTTACAATTTTCGTGACTTTATATATATATATATACGCTCAGTACGATTTTTCACTGTGTGTGTGTGTGTGTGTGTGTGTGTATCGATATGCGTTTTCATAGTGTAGTTGTGTGAATATTCCCCCTGTATCGCCAGGTACTAGAACTTGGAAAATTAATTTGATATGAAATTATTTTATATTTCGATATAGGGGAGATTATCCGATTTATTATATATTCTATATTGGATGTGGCAGAGAAATAATTGCTGTATAATCAATCACGAGATCCTACATATAGATCTTAAATATAAACTAAATAACAAAGATTTTAATGATATACGTCCTAATATTCTAAATATAGTACGTTAGAAATATTCGTAACGTGAAAAGAGTTTGAAACTTGACTGGATAATAAGTATAATATGTAAAAGTGCCGACACAGTATATATATATATCTAAATTAGCGGCGATTGTGGCTGGAAGCTACAACCTCGTCAAACGCTGCCTCGTGTTCCGAAGTAGCGATCATGTATGCCGGAAGGGTCAGTCCAAGTACCTTGTCGTATCTGGATCTCGTTTCCGATGCATAATCATATGGTTCAGCCTCTTTAGTTTCCTCTGCCATATGTTGCGCTTCGTCGGGATAATCATTGTCTGATTTCTCCAATTTAACGTAAGACGTTTTACTAGCGGACGCGCTAGGTTCTAAAGGATCGAACGCGCGCGCTCTCGTTTTTGTCGTTTTTCTCGAACTCGAACTCGAACGTTGGTCGCGAGGATGCGATGCGGGATCGATTTGAAATTCCTTCGTTTCGCGAAACGCTAGCTGATCGGGTTCTTGCCCGGTGACAAATACGCATTCCTCCTTTTGAAAACCATTCTCATCGATGCACCGATAGCAGGTCATTTTATCACGCATAGTCTTCCTACATTTTGATCCATCTTTTTTCTCAAAATTCTGCAGAAACTCCTCAATCTCCGCCTTCTTGTTTGCTGTGTTCAAGTATCCAACATCCACTTGTTCTTGTCCCTCTGTCGCTGTCGTGGCGTCCTTCAAATCATCCTTCGTTTCACCCTTCGTTTCATCCACCGTTGAAGCTTCGTAACTTTCTTCCGGGGCGTTGTACGAGTCTTTCGCAGTTTTAAAGCTCTTCGGCGATTGCTCATCTTCGCGCGACACTTGCCGATATTTATCGTTCTCTCGTGAATTGCCAAACGAGCTAGATTTGCTGTAAGAGAAGATCTTATCGCTCGGTTGATACGAGTACGAGCATTGTTCAAAATCGTTGCCCGTTTTCGAATCCTTGCAGATTGTGCATGTCATCGAGTCTTTCTGAAACTTTTTGCAATTATCTGTGTTGATATTTTCAGCATAACGTTCCGAGACGGGTTTCGAAGATGATGTTGTTTCGTCCTCGTAAGATTCGGCATCATCTTTACCCGTAGCTAGAGGCTGGTAATTGCTCGGTCCTTTGGAATTGGAGTAATCGCTGCTGTAGTCGGGCGAGTCACGCGACGTACTGTCAAAATCACTTGTAACTCGTTGAGATCCCTTCCTTTTCTCCGATTTCCGTGGATAAATGGAAAGTTTGGATCTATCTGTATAAAAAATAAAATTGTATTGCATTTAAATAGAGTGTATGATAAAACGTTAATTTTTCGAAACGTACGTTTATGTAAAGTGTTGTTGGTGTTGAAGTGAAAAATACTAGTTATACTTTTTTGATAAGTCGAATAATGTAAATTTATACCGAGCTGTATTATATATACTATATATTTTTGTCATGTTTTTGCGAATCAAGGTTCTCGAAACAAGAGTTAATCTTGTACGAGCAAGAACATTAAGGATTAACTAATGATATAGACTTACCCAAATAATCGTGCGTAGATTCAGAACTTTGTGGATAATCGAACCTCTTAGATTTTTCTAAAGTTTGAGTTTTGTTTAAATCATGAGCAGAATTTGAATTAGAGATTTTATCCGGATATCCGAAGCTTTTCGACCTACTATATTTATATAGCTTATCGCTGGGCTGATGGTTGTAAGTACACTTTTCATAAACCCCACCAATCTTAGGGTCTTTGCATATCGTGCAGGTTTTAGAATCCCTTTCGATCTGTTTGCAAGCTGCCGCCGAAGATGCATCCTGTACTCGCCGATCGGGTTGATCTTCGCTAGCATAGGAATATTCGCGCGACTCCTTCACAGGATTCCAATCCTTTTTCGGAAGATTGGATTCTTCAGAGTCGGAGAATTCGGAATAAGGATTTGATTCAGAATGTTCAGCGCTATCGACGTTATCGACGTTTTTCTGTCCCTGAGGCCCTTCGAAGGAGTCAGATTTAACATAGGCGTTTGCTTTCTCACGCGGTTGCTTTACATACGAACATTGCTCGTACTTGCTATTGGTCTTGGCATTTTGGCAAATCATGCATACCATAGAATTTTTCACAATTTTGTCGCATTTTTCTTCCTTGTTTTCGTACGTGGCCGGCGTATCGTACGTGGAATCGATGAAATACTCGTCGGTGAATCGGTAAGGATTTTGCGGCTTTCCGTAATCAACTTTGTCATTCTCCTCTCTGTCGTTAGACCTATTAATTATTAATAGACACCGTGTATTAAAATACCAACTACTCTCGTCTCTAGTTATAGTCTATATACAATTATCTATATGCTACACAATTGGAGCAATTTATATAAAAATTATTGCTCGTTTTGAAAATAGAATTGTATTATAATAATTGTAGCTCTTATGCTGATAATGTCCGTTAAACTGCAATATTTTATTTCTCCCTTTTTGAATAAAAAACATATATTCTTCACTTTTGCACATGTAATTAATTTCTTATATTGTACGATTAAAAGTGCAAATGTCAAGTTTGAAAAAAGTATTATTGTACATTATCGTTACCTTCGATATCTGGGGCTGACGAGAAAGGTGGACGGAAAGTGCTTCATCTTTGTACTAGCGGATACGCTCTCTTCCGGAGAACTATTATGTGTAGATATACAACGTTCGTACATAGATTTAGTTTTGGGATCCTCGCATTTGTAGCAAGTCGTGTTTCGTATGTCATCATCTTTCCCGATCGATTTGACTTTAATCTTTCGACAGTGCACAATTTTTGAATTTGGAAGTAACTCTTTGTACTTTGCAGTATCCTTGCTGGTTATTAAAAATGGAATTTTAATTTTTTTCAGATTTTTTTCTTCAACTAATTTTTTCTTGATGTTAATAGGAAAACGCTGAGATGGGCTATTGAAACGGTCTCTATATTCATCTTGACTCGATTCAGAATTATAATAATGAGGCAGTATTTCGGAAGAAGCGCTCTCGTAAATGTCATGCTGGCTAGGTACTTGCGGCGCGTCAATAGAATAGCCCAAACTCTTCAAATTACGACTGTACTCGTAATCGTAATTTGCATTTACGTAACACACAATTAGAGCTGATATGATTGTATATATCTGCAAAAATGTTGGAAAACATTTATTCGATAATAGTCGAGATGATATAATGTAACAATGACGTATTACGTATATATAAAGAAATGTTATTACACGAATCGTCTATACAATTTTAAGTTTCATTGTAAATGAAGCTAAATTTCACTTCACTAACCTTGCAACGAGTCATTTTCGAAGATCATCGGTTGCTTCTTATTTGCGTTTACGCGAATAAACTTTGGTAATTTCGGTACAATATCCACACACAATCAGCATCACTTTCTCGACGAATGATCGCGCCTCCGTGTAAAATGCTTTATATTGACTTGTGGTAAACGACAAATATACCCTACCAAAGCATAAATCTCTGTTCTTTTGTTAGAAAAATTCAAAGAATCATCAACCGTGACGCGCTCCAATCAGATTGATCGAAACAATCGATCGATTACCTAAACTACTTTTGCTTTTGCTTTACGTAACTCGGTGCGAGCGATCGTGTTACAGTTTGATGAAAATCAGTGAAAACAATAAAATTATACGCGGCATGTACGATTATGTTGTGATAAGACAAATAAGAAAAATTTCAAAAAAAAGGTATTTTTTTATAATCCGAATGCAATTGTTTTCCTCTAGAGACATTTTACATATATTACTATATATATAAAATTTCTAAAGGTACAGGGCGATATAAATGCGCGTTGTAATATACCTATATGAAAAATTTATATAAATATGTCTCGTTTTCAATAAATTTATACCAACAGCACTTTCGTGACTATTATCAACTAATTATACTAATTGATTGCTCTCATTTTAGGGAATCGATTAATATAGTTTATTACACAAGCAAAAGAAATTACGAATACATCATGTGGTACATTTTTTTAGTAGTAATTGTGCTCTTATACAAAGTTATGTTAAAACAAATACACACGAAATTTTAAAACAGATGATAAAAGAATATCCAAAGATAATATTGTTACTATCCTATTTATACGTTCGGGAAGCAAAATTGTACAATGTGAAAGTATTCGAGGATCAATGACCGCGCGTCATATCGTGTATTTTCGCTTCGGCGCACAATAGTTTGTCGAAAAATATATTCATCTACAATTATGTGATGCATTTAATACGTTTTAATAATATATAAATTTTTTTAAAAATAGCATATTATTATATATCTCTTTATAAAAAAAAGTTAAGTGTATATTATAATAAATATATATAGTTGTAAAACAACATGGTCCCTTGAACAAGAATTAATGATACGCTATATAATAACCAAATAATATAAAATTATGATACGACAATCAATATAAATATAGATAAACAAGTTGTATAGTTATATATATTTGAAATTATAAGTGCAAGATTCTTGTGGTTTTAAAACTTTTGAGAAATAAAAATTTCCAAATTTTTTTACACTTTAATATACGTATAATTAAAGCTTTATTTTGCCGTGCAATATTTAATTAAAAACTAAATATTGTTTGAATGCGTGTAACAACTTTAGGGATTAATATATTATTAACGATAATTTGTTTGATAAATTCACTTGAAATTTACTACTTATATTTGCTTAGTCATTGTGATATATTTAAATTGATTAAATGTGTTCTTTAATAGTTTATTTACTTATATAATAAAAAGGAAAGGAAGAGAGAAAAGTAGTGTCTGTTTTTTGACAATGAAAGAGAAACACGTAAATACTGATTTGTGAAATAAACAGATTATAAATTGTCATCTATGGCTTACTCTTTAAAGGGAAAATGTCGTGGGTAAACAGAAATATGAGAAACACGCGGCGTAGTATGACTTAATTGTTTGCCGAAAGCTGCGTCGGTGGGCGCGGGCTTCATTTGAAGCTTTGATGCGATTTTCTGCATAATAATCTTGTCGTTCTCGGTGTGTTTTTTCGTTTTTTTGTCGTTTGATTTTTCTTTCTGAGAAATATTACGCTTGCGATAATAAAGAACTTCGCCGGCCAAAGTAATCATTGCTAAAGCGAGTCCAAACAAAGTTGCGATAAATACACCTCCTGTAAATGGAAAAAAAAACTAGATATAAAATGTGTTATGTATTATAAAAAAGATAAGCGCAGCAGTACCGATTTAAGCAATAATTAATCAAAAATTTGTTAAAATTGTCTGAAATAATTATTTTCAACTTTTTATCTAGCTTTCATTATCTTTCCTTTTTTACGTATATTACACACACACACATTTTTAATAATGTAAAAGAGTTAATGTTAACTCACCCAAACTCTCTAATGTGATGCCTTCATTTTCGTCAGAATTCGGACATTGAGTTTTCAACGTCTGATTCCAATACTTGGCAGCCAACGTCTCAAAATACCTGTCTTTCTGTAAATCGAGAATCCTACAAATGATATTATTTATATAAAACGTTTGTCACCGCATTTCCATAATGACGATATATTATATTATATATGTATATACAAATGTAGGTATAGATATTTATATATCTACAATTTTTATTTTTTCTCAAAATTAAATCAGAAAGCAAATTCATTTTCTCTCACAATTAATCATTATACGTGCAAAAACGTTTTCGACGCAACGCTACCATTTTAACGCTTTTACTATTACTGATAACAAATGCGAGAATAATTTCGAAATAAAGGAATAAATGAAATACGATTGATAAAAATGTAAAGAGAATCCATGACAGACTTTCTACTTATTTCTTCTTGTAAATGACTGCCCTGCTGCACGGCGATAGCATACGGTTGCTCCGCGAATACTTCGCCCACTTCCGTCAGATTACAGTTTTTCGTCACTTCGTACTTAATCTCGGACGAATCGTGAATAAAGGCAAACTCTGCATTTTCACTCTCTATCACCTAAAGAGATAAATAATCGATCGTTAAATTCATATTTGCTCACAATTTAAAGAAAAAGGAGAACATTCATTTCTCTCTTTTTCTTCTACCTTCTTAAAACCTTCCTCGGTCGTCTTTACTGGCCCGACTTGAGTGATGGCTTGCAAAATATGACCGTATTGTTCCTTTATCGGATAATCCCAGACGCGATATTCTACCTGATCGCTGGTACTATTTAGTGTAATTTCTTTCCATACCCTACCAATAAATGAAATGTGAAATATACGTGGATATACACACGTTACTATATGTAAATCTACAACTACCAATATACAATTCAAATTAACGAAAGAATAATAATGTTTACACACGTGTAAAGCTTGTCCTCGGCATTTTTCATGTTTGTAAAATATTGATGAGCACTAGAGTTGGCCAAAACGGTGTAATTTATGCGCGATTGTCTCGCCAATTGTTCCAACGATTGTACAGGCGACTAAATAATGTAATATACATGCGAATATAAGAAATGGCGTGTGTTTCACACAAAATCAACACGTAAATATCTGTGACATCGGTGCTTTATATATACTCTTATATACTCTCATACATATATTATTCGTCGAAATAAAGTAAAACAACAAAATAATCTCAAATGAGTTTAATAAGAATAAAGAACGATAAAGATGTACCTGCATTCTTTCTACAGTAAGGAAAGCAGCCAAATTTGCAGTAAAAGTCGCGAGCATCAGTACAACGAATAACCAATAGGCTGCGACCAGAGTTCTGCTCGACAATGCTTTTGGGGCTTCGCCACCACCCTGTGGTGTGAAAGATGTCAATGCAAACCAAAAGCTTTCTTTCAACGTAAATTCTCTGAAAAGCACAATCTATCAATCTGTTTGTTGTAATATGTGCCCAAAAAATCAAATTACAAGTACAAAAAGATACGACAAAAGATATATGAGCTTAATAAATAATCACCAAATAATTTAATTGATACTTGCGTACCGACAAGGATAGGGGTAGAGTCGTTTATTGTTTCTCGCACTATATGGTGAATATTTATCCAATATCCAAATCATGATACCGGTTAAAGTTAAGGCTCCCACGATGCTAAGCCAAACTTCAAGTCTCAGTACCGTCATAAACTTGAATAAGGAAGTTTTACGAACTGGCTTCCTCATTACTTGAAAACAAAAATTAATATAAATTATTCAATAATTCGATATTCTATATCGTGAGCATCTCGAGCTTACAAAAGACCTGCAACTCGGATATTGCGCGAATTGCAACCACACAAAGAGAGAAAAAAAATGACAAAAAGAAAAGACAAAAAGGATATTGCATACATATATTTTTAACACTGTATAATTTATACACTGTTAAAAAACAGATATAAATTGCGTACCAATGAGTATACCGGACTGTTCGAAATACGGTGCGACAAAATCAATGACTTCTTCCCGTTCCGACGTCATTGTCAATGCCGCCACAGCAATATCAGTCTCCTACACAAGATAATATATATATATATATATATATACAATAAATATCGATAATAAAAATAATTACGTATATATATATATACATATAGTATGTAGCAACTTCAACAAAGATTGGCCTACATTCATATTGTATATTCTTGTATACTTGTAGCAAAAATATAAAAAAATGTATGTGATAACGTATAATGAAAGAAAAATATAAATAGAGAAAATAATCACACTACGCAACAATGTTGAGAAAGAAAATGAGCAATTATTAAAACAGTCGATTGCCGTCTTTGTACTCGCGATGACAGTGCAAAAGTAAATGTTGAAAGAAAACGGAAAAAGACATGCAAGTTGAAATGTCAGTGAATATCATATTTTATAAATTAAACTTACTCCTTTAGCCAGATCGCCTATTACGCCGCTCCATTCGCCGTTGGGCAATTTCTTACCAAATTCTTCATCTTCAGGAATAACAAGATCGTAATCAAATTGCATTTCGTAGGATAATTTTTGCACAAAATCAATACAGTAACCCTCCCAGATTTGTTTTCCTTCTTCATCGCGCATTTCTTGGCCCGTCGCTGGATCTCTCTTAATAACCGACCAAGGAACTGCCTATTTCAAATTAATCATACACGCAAATTTAAATCAAGATTTAGTAGACTAAAGTTCCACTTGTGATATTATTAACAATATAAGAAATGGCAAAGCATCATCAAATTGAACAATTTAAAAATGCGGCAAACATTTTGCATGAAATATGATTAATTTGCAACTGAAAGATCAGCGTAAACTTTATTTTGCTAATAAATTTAATGTGAATTGACAATTTAACAATTTACCTTTATATTGCTTTTTTTTCGTTGACATTTCGCAGTTAAAGTAGTAAAAATAATAATAACTCTTTCTTTGTTCAGAGATGTAATGTTGTTCCTCATCGTTTAATGATACGTAACGAAACGTTCGTAAAGTAGTGAACGTAGTGAAACGCAGTTCTTACCGGTGCCGTTCCAATCCGGAAGAATCGCCTGGCTGGTTCTATTTTCTTCCCGTCTGCTTCTTTAATTTTTGTACGTCTCGTCCAGGTCGCGAGCGCATCCACAGAGCCACGACTAACCGTTTGTAGCTCGATCTCTGCTTTGTAAGTGATCATCGCCTTCTCCGACCAGTATTCAAAAGTGTCATTACTGTCCAATCTCTATAGAACGTGAAATAAGTGAAAACAATAAATGTTGTATAGGTATCATTTATGCAAATACGTATTGTATTATTATAAAATGAACGCATCTTTTTCTTATCAACTTTTAATCGCTAAAATTGACTTTATAGCTAATATACTTACCGTCATTAAAATTTTGTTAAATGTTTCTGCTGTAGCATTCGAAATTAAGGTGGGGTCGATAGGCTTATCGCACTGACCTGTCTTTGGTGTCACACTTACACCCGCCTTTTGAACGTCGCTCATTAAGCTTATGATCAAGCCAATCAAACGTTTGAAATAAAAAGGGAATATCTAATATGTACAATATAATATGAATTTTTAATCATCACATCTTCTCTTTTGTATAGAAAACTATATATATATATGTATGTATATAGACTTGTATAACTTATTGAGAAAATATGTATTTCTTTTCGAAAAAAAAGAGAGAAGGAGAAACAAGAGAGCTAGGCTTCTCTTCGAGGTTGTGGCCAACATGTTATATTAACCGACGCTTTCACATTTAGCAAATGTGGGTAGATTTTGTGAGAATAACACATACATCACTAATTTCAAAATTTCATTTTGTTGAAACTTATTACCTTGAAATTTGTGGGGCAATTGCAAGATGCTTCGCCCATTAAGCGGCAACAAATGTCGGGCTTCATAGTAAGAACGGTGAATGAAACATTTAATTGAAGATCACCGGTAATATATCGAAAGTCGTGATAATTATTGTCTGTAAACACTAAATTCCAAATACCATCTCTTTTAACGAGCCCTCCTCCGATAGCCTAAAAAATGGCATTTATATAAGCTTAGATTGTATAACATATAAAAACTCTGAAGAAATATTTTTGTTAGATATTACATGTTCTAAATCTAAATTAATAAAAAAAGCATTTCTAAACCAAAACTGATGATACCGTTTTAAATAGCTCTTCCATTTTCGATGTACTAGCATAAATAACATAATAAGATGGCGACGGCCGCATACTCCGTATTTTCGACACTGTTCTTTCTGTCAATTCGTCAATGACTACCAATCTAATTATCGAATTTCCAATAAGATAATAAAGGCTCTGATTTAGCTCTAAAATCGTTAATATACATCTGATGTATATTAAATATAGAAAAACACACTATATTGTGCATAAAAAACCTGTGTTACTTTCTTTACATTGTATATATATATATATATATATCTATTTCATTTTGATTCATTTTATGAAAAAAAGCCTATGTGCATGGATGTAAATGATTATTATATAATATAATAAAAGAAAGTACGTGTAAAATATCCAAAGTGTGTGCAATCAAACGTACATGTACATATATACATTATTACATATAATATCAACATATATCGGCGGAGAGTACTATATATCGGCTACATATCTTTGCGCGCACCTCTTTCATCTTCAAAGATTAGACCAACGTCCGTTGCATTTTTCATAATCAAAAGATCATCGATCGCTTGAACATATGGATTTATACTGCAGTCGCCACGTTTGTATATTATTCCTCTTTCGTCCGCGACTATTCGTAGTTTGTCCCAGCCGGTCCACGTCATATCCAATATAATACTTATTCCTTTATATAGAGCGGCACAAACTATTGGAAGAAGTAAAAAATAATACTTTTACGTGGATTTTGTATAGAATTTATACCATTAGGGAGCAAATTTTCGTTTTTTTAAAGATAAATATACAACATATATAAAATCAGCTTACGTAATTTATATGTAATTTGCAAAAGGTATATATTTATAAAGAATAATTGATATTAAAAAGTATAAATCTCTGATTTGAGCTTATATACAAACTACATAAAAAAAATACCTTTCTCGAAACTCGCGTCAACACTCTCGCGATTTACTGTAACGGTAGAAACGTGAACGGTAATCATATCGTTGGCAAAATTTCGTTCTGCCTCTGGAATCGCATCATTTAATGTACCCAAGATAGACGAATCGGCCTCCTCTATCACAACCACTTGGAAACGAAATCATTTATTATCGTTAATCACATTGTCGATCGAGACACCGCATATATTATATCCCATATATATATTAGATATTAACTATGTTCCTCTTTGCATTTATATACATTAAATTACATAAATTATTCTGTTTTAAAGTCCTGATATTTTTGCGCATAACAGATATGTATGTACACATATAGTCGATGCCAAGTATGTATATTCACATGTTTAATTTATTTATAAAAAAAATAAGAATTGCGAAAAGTATATACGTATATCTTTAGAATATAATATCTTTTTTTGAAAAAGAAAACGTATCTAATAAATAGACGCACGAGCAAGGAGTATATTCAATCGTCAAATATTTATAATTAAATTGTTAGGAATATATATATAAAAAGAGAAAGAAAAAGGAAAGAAGAAGAAGACGAAGGAAACGATATTAAATGTTGAAAAATTTGGTAAACCCCATAAATATGTGTACTTACGTAAATTCATCGGCGTTTGACAAAGCACAAATGGCAGAAAGGAGGCGAGAATCAATATGGGCGACATTCTCGTCCTCATAGCGAATTAAAGTCGATTAAGGTCGCACGGATGAACGAACAACACTTTTGTCCTCCTGTTTCGGGCAGCAGGTGCTAGAACAATATGATGGTGAACGGGAGGACATTGGCGCGATGAAGCGACGATGGTCACGCCTGCGCCGATGCCACGACGATTGCTTATGAATATTATATATCGGCACCTATCGAATCATGAATCCCTTTTTCCTGCTCCCTACTCACTACGACTATCGGCCATCGGACCATCGATTTATCGTGCAATTTATAAAGTCGCGCATAATAACTCTGCACCAGGATCATCGCGGGAAACGGTAGTAACAGCGCCGGATTTTCATGACCGTCATCGTTTGTGTGTATGATATGCTTGTTGATAGAAATCTTACTACACGTTACTTTCATTCAATTTTATTACAGGAACCGAAACTACATTTTATACATATTGCGTAAAAATCCCATTATCAGTGTGTCTTTCTTTTTATTTAATATAATTTAATATGTACGCACGAGCGGCCACTATTTTTCTCTATATATATATATATATGTATGTATGTATTTTGCAAAATTATGATAAGCATTTATTATTCGAAAATAAAACACAAAAATTGAAAAATTGTTTACTAAACGCAACAACAATAATAATATAACGATAAAATTGATGACGACATCAAGACATCATTAAACGTATACTCATATGTCGTCACAATTGAATTAATCGTGATATTATGACAATGTGCGTATTTTGCTAAAGTTAAAAAAATTATATTGCGCTTGTTGAATTATCAAACCGCAATGTACGTAAGCTATGTGATTATATACATATATACTTGTTAGTTATTAACTGTCTGTGACTCTTGAAGCCCATAACAACTCTTAATAAATGATGAAGTAACGATATTAAGTTTCCGTAATATGCCACTATGACAAAATGATCGATACGCATATTATTGATTCACTATACAACACATATGTCACACACTGCGTTTACTGCAGGTATAATCGTAAATCGCTCCATCGTTGAAAACTCCAAGCATCTGATCGATAATAAGCCACGTCAGACGAAATATCCTAGAAATTGTGAATATACACAAAATGTAACAATTTCCACATTGTGAGTATATATATATATATTTTGCAAAGAAATATTGTCAAAATTTATTAAAGATAAGTATATCAATTAATTATAAAATATAAACTTAATAATAAGTGCATCGATCTCAAAATTTTTCCTCCAAAAAAAATAGAAAGATATTTCTTTCAAACATTCAACACGCAGTACAGTACTAATAATATAATTATTTTTAATAATTTTAATAATAAGTGATGTATTATTTTTACATATATATATATATATATATATATAATTATAATAACTAACAAATATATTTAATTTTATGCACGCTTTATATTCTACATCTTTTTGACAAATAAATACATTATATAATCTACATTCTACATACTTAAAATAAATGTAAAATTTCTCGATCTATAAAAAAAGAATCGTATTTATATAGTGAATCTATTTGTTGATACACACATCTACACACATCTCGGTATAGTCGCGGTACTCTATATCTCTCTATCAATAAAATATTCGAGATTTCTTCCGCGGGGCTGATTAGTTTCCACTTGACAAGACAGCGACTCGTTGATGCGCGGTCACAGGGAATAATAATGTCTTAAATCAAGATTGAGATCGGCATCGCAGATGTATTTAGGCATGACGGACGGCAAACCGCGACAGGTGCACAGAAATGAGGGAGATGCTTCGATAGTTCTTACGTTATTTTTAGGTTGTTCTAAAGTTGTGGCGACGTTTTCAACAAACAAATACTGCAATGTAATGTGATCGTGGACTAATTTGATCCACATTTTTTTCATCGAGTACATTTTTAGAATAAATATAGCTAAATGCAATTTTAAATAGCTCGTTACGTATACGTATGTCGTCGCGTGTGTATATCGAGCGCTACATTATTTCGCCAACTTTTTATATCTATACATATTGCAAATTAATAATAATGCAATGTATATGTTATAATTAATTTCAAAACATATATTTTTTCTTGATCGATAATTGTGACAAAGATAATTAACATTGAATAATATATTATAGATATATGTAAAAAATAATGCCGCATATATACAATAAATATAAAAATATATCATTATTTTATCTCTGTATTTAACTATAAATACACAAGAATATCTTAACACGCGAATTTAAATTTATATTAAAAGATATATATTTGTGAGAGAAGAACCATTAAGCCAATGCATATATATGTAAAATGCATATAATTATTTCAACTAATAGGATATAAGGATAATAATATTTTATGTTAAAATTATATATTACATCTCATAATTTATATTCTTTTTATACATATGCACAGAAAAAAGAAATCCTTGATTCAAGTATATTTTTATTCTTGAACGCTATTTGATTGATTTAAGCAATTTAGAATGCTCTTTGTAATCGTAAATTTTCATTTCCCTTAATAATAAATAAGTTTGTGTGAAGTATATATTCTTGTTTTAAAATTCATTATATGGTAAAAACAAACTTAGTCACATTTTAACTAACAATAAGAATTATATATATATATATATATATATTTGAAAGTACCGCTTATATCCGATGCTCACTTGTCACTTGTCCTTGCAATACTTATAAGTAAATTTCAGCTTCAACCAAGAATATTTTGCACTTTAAGGATAAATTATCCTTTCCAAAACTACTTGTATTTAGCGCTATATATTATAAGAACACAATATACTTGAATCAAGGCATATTTGCATTCTTTCAAGGATACTGTTTTTTCTGTGTGTATTAAAATGAGTCGAGCAGACTTTTTTTTTATAAAAGATGCAACGCACATTTAAATGATACATTATATGTATAAACATACTATACATTATATATATCAATCGTTGCATTATGTAACATTTCAAATATTTATATTCTGATAAAAATATACATATATTGAAGCATTATAAAAACATAAAAATGTGTAATAAATGTGCTATCAATAATAGGCAAAATAATTAATGTGATACATATGTATAGTATTTCTAAAGTCTGCGACCCAGCACCTAGATCTCAGAAAAATGGCTTTAGATATGGAAAAATATTTTGCAAATATATGTAAATTTTAAAAAATTAAACCTCTCAATAAACAGATAAAAATAGTAAAATAAAGATTATTGTATATATATATATATATATATGCTTTAACACAAGATTTATTTAATTTATACAATTTTTTATTTGTATCGATATAAAATAAGAGTAACATTATGTATAAATATTTACCTGCAAATGGAAATTTTTAGTTACTAACTCTTGACAAAACTTGTGACTTCCTTGTCGTTAGATGTCGCCAATGTCCAGTTGAGATATTTGGGACGCGCGCTATAAGCTATTAAAAAAAAAAAAAAAATATATATATATATATATATATATAATAAAGTTAAAATATAAAATATCTTTACAAGTAGAAAATAAAATTTATAAATTTGTATAATTATAATTATTTATGTTTAATATATATGATTTTAAAGTTTAAAAATAAATGCATAAAAATCCTCTGCAAATAAAGCATATATTATATGTAATTAATATATGTAACAAAAATTTATAATACTCTTCTTATATATAAAAAATATTTTAGTAATGTTAATTAAAATATACATGCTTTTTATTGTAAATACAACAAACTAAACAACTTCAAAAAATAAATTTTCCAATCCAATTCTATTCATATATAAATTAACGAGAAATTACACAATTTGCAAATTAAGAATATATCATATAATTCTTTAAATGTTTAAATCAAGTAATATAATGAATTAAGAAAAATCAACAAAATGCATATTAAATCGATGTAATAAAGATACTACAGAGAAAATATATATACATATAGAATACATAAACAAAATATATATATATATATATATGTATATATATATAGTAAAAAATATAAACGTATCGATATAGAAATCAATATATATTTTATTATTTTTGTACATTTTGTAAATTTGGATTTTGTATATATTTTGTATTTGATCGATATACGCGTTTTTTAAAATCAAATTCTTTTAAATTATTGGTGATTACATTCCAAAATATTTTGTTTTATAATTGTCAGTTTCCACACACACGTACATACAGACAAAATATCCGTGAGACACGGACATATATTTTACTGCGTTGAGTGATACACTGCTTGAATATACGTATATATATACGTATATATGTTTTTATATGTGTATGTGTGTGTCGTGTGTGTGTTTGTGTGCTGTGTGTAGACATGAATGAACGTGTCCAGTCTCATTCATATACGTGTATACTTGTGTATATATATATATATATTTATTTATTTATTTATTAATCGGTCTATTCAAAGAAATCGTTTTTGCACTTTTTTATTTGTGAATTCATTTTAGCGATATTATATTATTTGTGTGTATGTACACATTTCAAATATAATAATTGTAATATGTAAAATTTAATATTTGAATAAACTTAAAATTCTCTCATCCATATGAAAAAGTGAACATTAATTAAAACAAAAATAAATAAAAAGAGAAAAAAATTTGCATTTGTAGTCAATTATTATATATGAAAACAAATAGGTTCGATACTAAATAATTAATTTGAATCTCGTTATTGGTAAATTATTATTTGAATCTTTAAGCCTTTGAAAGGAGAGACGCTTTGATAGTTGTAGATGTTATAGATAAATGACGTAAAAATGCTGATAAGTAACCATAGTAAGTAAGCGACTGACCACGATTGCCAATGATCAGTAAGTACTGCTCTTTCTCTTTCTCTCTGGCTACTCTAGCAATATGGAGTATAGCTGCGTTGTATATATGTATGTGCAAATGTGTGCATACATACCTATATACATACGTACGTACATACATATAGATAGATAGATATATATGCATATAGGTACGCATATAGAGCAGCAGCAGTAGAGCGACGACGAATCGCGAAAGCAGTGCGAAAGCAACGTGGCAATTTAACCTTGCGAAATAAGAATCGTTCTCGAAATCTTGCGTAGACAGATATTGCGTATAGAAGAACGTAAAGCGGGATAAGGATAAGAGGCATTTTATATCGCTATGATAGATATCCGAAATCGTGGCGAGAGAAACGAACGAACACTGGCGCGATGACCAATCCTGTAACTGGCTCGAACGGAAAGCGAGATCACGTGTCGCAGCTGAAGCTGAAAAGCGTAGTCGGCCAATCGTCAGAGTCGACATCGACAGTCGTCGTTCATCGTCGTCGCTCGACTGCGCTCGACTGCGCTCGGCTCTCGCTCGGCTCTCGCTCGGCCTCGATCGTTTGTAGTTTGCATCTGACAGTGCGAGTGTTTGATTGTCGTGTGACCGTCCGCGAGGGCCCGTCTGGGCCCGTGAGAAGACAATCGCTTGCCGATAATAGACACACCACAATGACACATTCGACAATATTGTCAAGAACATTTTGCATTTTTCGGATAGATGCGACAACGATGATCGACGCGCGAATTACGACAACGTTACAACAGCGTATCCATTTACCACGATAGCGCCTTGCTGCTCGCTGCTCACTGCCAACAGGAAAGGAGCGTATCGAATCGAATCGCGTAGCTCTCGACACGGATGTGTTCACGTTGTATACGCACATTTCAAACGAAACAAAATATACAAGTATCCAGGAAGTTGGAGCGTAAAGAGAGAGAGAGAGAGAGAGAGAAAACTATCGTTGCCACGAGCAAACTGCAATAACGTATACATATATATGTATGCAAAAGAGGAAAAACGAGACAGAAGGCGATCGGAATCATACGTGTGGATTTCTCTGGATGAATCGACGCGATAGAGGGAAAGCGACAGAAAAAAAAAAAGCAAAAGAAAGGACAGAAGACAAACAGGCGGGCGTCATTCGGAAGTAAAATAGTGTCAAAGTCCTGTTGTTTGCAATTTGTACAACGTTACAAACTGTTGGTAAACTGTGCGCGGCATCTGGAACGTCAGTAGGACAAGTGAGTGCGCGCGCGTATGATCGTCAACGTGTGTTTTTCCATGTGTGTACGTGTGCTCGGGTGTGCGCGCGTGTATTGACAGAGTGGCGCGCGCGCGCGCGCGCTCGCGCGCGGGCGTTTACTTCTCGTCTCGCACCGTCTCCGTCCAACTAGTCGATTCACGGCGTGCCTCGTTTTCGCGCTCGCGCTCGCGTCGCGAGCGCGACCGCGACCGCTCGTTCCGCCTGTTCGCTAGCAGGAGTGCGGAGTTTTCACCGCGGCCTGGCTCGGCTCGGCTCGGCGCGACGCGACCGCGACACGCGTATACCACGCGTAAGTACGTGTGCGATACGGGACGCGCGCGACCGGCTTGCCGGAGCGGATCGAATCGGAGACCGTGGAAAAATTCCCGGATAATGGAGAGTCCCGCGTGTGTGCCGTAGATTCGAGCGATCCGCTGCAAATATTTCCGTGTGTATCTTTACGGAGAAGGTGGAGAAGGACGGAGGAGGAGACGACGACAACGACGACGACGACGACGACGAAGACGACGACGACGACGACGACGACGACGACGAAGAAGAAAGAAAAAGAAGAAGAAAAAGAGGAAGAAGAAGACGAAGACGAAAGAAGAGGAGGAGGACGGAAAGAAGCGAGAAAGAGAGAACGAGAGAGGGAGGGATTAGGTTAGACTGAACTCGCGTCACCCCGTCTCCGCGCTCCCCTCGCTGCGGCATCGGAGCGCTCCATCTCGCTTTGACGTGCACACCCGTCTTTCCATCTGATCCATACGCGCCTGGGAGACCAAGGGAGAGAAAAAGAGGGTAAGACAGTACACGGCTGGAAATCCGAGGAAAAGCTGGAGAAAAGCACGAATGCCGATCGCCGGTGGAATGCTGCTGCTCCCTGAATCGGCTTCCCACTGCGCACCTCCCGTCACTGGCATGCGACGTCTCATCGATAGACTTTCAGGTTAGCACGAGTACATACATACATACATACTTACTTACTTACTTACTTACTCACCTTACATCCGCACCTCTCGCGAATTTAATCGGCGCGAGCCGTGTCGCGACCGTTTGACGCATTCACGTTTCCGCTCTTACGGAATCGGACCAAATTGTAAATCAGACGAGACGGTCTTTCTCTTCGTTTTTACCGCCGCCGCGCCGACACACTCTAATCGTCCACAATCTTTATATAGAGATTATTTATAAAGATTAGACTTCTCTCCTCCCTGGAATTTGGATCCCGCTACCTTTTATAACCTTCTATCCATGTCCCTCTGTCAAGTGTGTTAATCGTAAATTATTATACGAGAAACATTTCATATTGTCAAAATTCAAAACATACATCTCGAGAAATTGTATTGTAATAAGAGATAAAAATTCATCCGCGCACGGCATATAATATTATTGCTGTGTCGCGTATCGCGCAAAAGTAGAAACAACGTATCTCGAGATCGCGTCTATTGCGACTATCCTTATCTTGATCATCAACGACGATAGTTTGCAATATATTGCATAATTTTGTGACAATCGGTATACGAAATGTAAACGTATATAGCGAGCGACGTCTAGACAGAATAAGAGGGACAAGACCGCGTAGACGACGACGCTGTTGTAAAAGCTTCGCGCGAGACAGTGTTCACATATATACGTTTAGTCATCATTTTTTTCTTCGACCTTCGTTACTCCTCGCGAATATATAGTACATACCTACAACGCGTCGCTACATCCTAGTATTCTCTTACAATCATTCAATTTCTAGAACAATTAATCGACTACTTTATTGTCTCTATCGCCCGTGTGTGTAAAAAGTCTGCATCGTTGAATGTCTCGCAAAATTGAAAGGGAACGGGATTCAAATTTTTCTCTCTCGGGATTTCGATTTTGCTACGATTCATTTTCTTTGTCTTCGCGATGGAACGGAATATTTAATATTCTTTCGTACAATCTCTGTTGAAAAGCAGTAACGAAAAGAAAATCGAAAAAGGAATTTCGATTAATTAAGTAAAAAAACTTTTCTACGAACCGACATTTTATTAAAATGTTTGAAAAGGAATTGCGCGACGCTTACGCTAATCGAGACAAAACCTATATATTTCTTGAGAAACTCAAAAGTTTTGCTTAAATATACTTGTCACGGTTTTTCATTTTCGCGATCATTTTAGCGATTAGCGAACATTTATCAAAATAATGTCATTTACTTATTGTTTGTCGAGTATTCATATTATTGTGATCATATTCTTGTTTTATTCGTTGATTGATTATCATACTGCATGTAGCAGCGACCCAAATTTAAATGGACACTTAAAACTGATAAATATTACATGCTTCCGTTAAATGAAATTACGACGATATACAATATGTATCACTAGCGAAATCAAATTGCTTTTGACTTTATTGACCCTAGGTCATCGGACGGATTAAATCATCGGTATTATGTCACGTATATAGTGTTATGTTACACATCTAAACGAGCATTTATCACTTGCCGCTGTTTGATTGTGAATGAAACGTTCTGAATATACACAAATCAAAATCGGACAAAATATACAAACTGAACAAGTAGTAAACAATAGAATAAAAGAGTATTCGAAAATAAATCGTACGCAATATCTCTTAATTTAATGATTCTAAAATAATTATACATTTCTCTGCCCTTTTTCCGCTAATACATATATGTACCTACGTATACTCCAAATTATCAAATTTTTTTGTCAAACCTTTTTTACGATTAGAGTTTTATCTTTAAAACATACAGAAACAGTGTTACAATTTTTTTTCTCTCTTCTAAACAGCATTCTTAACATTCTATTTGTAATAAAATTATTTAAAAATTGTTAAAAGTTATTTTTCTACACAATGTATACGGTATATAAGACAATATCAACGACAATGTCGCGTGAAGATGGATCAAATGTACGTGAGATGTGAATTAATAACGATAATTTAAATTTTTATACATCGTTCAATTAGAGTCTTGTATTAAAAATTTTGCGCGGTCGAGCAGTTTGATAAACAAAACGATGCACGTAATCATTTATTCATATACTCTAAAATTATTTAGAGTTTAATTAATTTTGAAATTAGTTTTTTCTTGAAAAATTGCGACGCATAAAAGAAGTTAGTTTATTAAAAAAGTATTAATTCTCTCATTATTATTATTAATATTATGGTGGTTTTATTAGTTTTCAAATGTGTATATATTCTATACTCTGGTTATAACAATAAGATAAAGACAAAAGAGGAAGAGAAATGTATAAGCATGAGCATTTGCGTGCATGCATAGTGCGTGCGTGCGAACCATCGTCTAAAATTTTACACGGAACAGAGTTAAAGCTGTCCCCGATGGCAAATAGTACATAAATTATTACACACACATCTTTAATGTCGGCTTTAATTTACACAACAGACATACAAAATATTACGCGATATGGATTAATCCAAGAAATTTATCGACAAATTATTCAAATCTATGCACATTTCAAAAATACATACCTAATATATTTTTTTTAGAAAAATAATTGGCGGACGCACGCACGCACACTTTTTCACGAAAGATGATAGATACTAGTTATATCAAAAGTTTTGTATAATTTTCCTCAATCGATGGAACACTTTACTCGAATCAATAGAATATACAAAATTAAAGAATTTCAATAATTTTCCATTATTCGAATAGAAATTTGCCAAGTTTCAATCTTCGAAAAGTTTTATCGGAATAAATCTGAGATGCTGTCGCGAGTTTTAAATAACCTTTGAAATAAATATTAATTTTTGCGCGAGACGAAAACGTGAGATATAAGCTCTTTTTATTTTTATTTTTCAAATTTTTATTTTGATCTTTTACATCTAATCGCTGAGATTTTTTATTTTTAACGTGTAAACTCTTTGACTCTTTATTGAAAAGATCAGAACTTTATCAATTACACATTGTCTCCCGATTATTAGATCGTTGCTCGGAATCGGTGGTTATCTAATCGGGACACAAACTTGTTTGCCTTTCAGGGCCTAACCCATAAATCTTGTTTGTGGCTCGTTTAAACTTTTTCTTTGGCCAAAAGTGAGAAATGAGATAAAAATAAAACCGCAAGAAACAATATTTTATAATGGGCTATTTTGACTTTAGATGAGAGATTTACTCACTCGAGAAGTAACAAAATAATAAATTTTAACAGATTTTGAAAAGATTAATTACGATATACCTGCACCCTATGCAAGAAAGCGAGAAAACTTACACGGTTATTAAATTATTTGTACTCAAAAATGAGTAAATATAAATAAACAAATTTGGTATCTCTGCTATATCTAATCGTTGTATAATAACTTTAATATTAAAATAGTAAGATTGATTTTTATCGTTATTGAAAGTCGACAGGTTAATTGTTTCGATGTACAATAGGTCGATCGATATTGATGTACGCGCACGCTCCATTAATCGAAATCGATTCTTACAAAAAAATATCGCATGATAGATCTTGATTTTATCAAACCCTTGCTATTCTCAAGAGCTGTGCATTTATGTGCACACCTCTTACAATATAAAGGCTATAATCTGTGAGTAACAATATAATCGGCAATCGAAAAATGACTCGAGTACTTTTGCATTTGTTCCAATATAATGTGATCTGATATGCGAGAGAAGACGCGTATCATATCATACTTACGAGATTGCAAAATGAAACATCACCCACTATTTTCTCGTACGTAAGACTTTGCCAAAATTTGGATTTGAATGAGTAGGAAATTGAAATCCCATCCAAGTACCTATATATATATATATATATACACATATATAGCGAGTACCTACTATATCCTATTCCGTCACAGCTGGATTAATGGAGTGGTACTGCGTCGGATATACATATAGATATTTGGTCCATATAGCGGCGGGTATAACGAGCCGCTTAACGTGCAAAGACGCGCTAACGGGAGGCAAAGGCCAAAGGGGCACAGCACAGGAGGAAGGGTGCTTATGCAGTTTGGGATAATATGACAAAGATCGAGAGGCATACGAGACGATAGGAGGGCGAGAGCACGGAACAGAGGTAGAAATGCCAGGTGTTTCGTGGTGTAGCGTAGGACGGGTCCTAACCACCCCCTGCCTGCCACTTTACTCCCTCCTGCGAGTACCTTTACTGGCCTCCGGCCGTTCGGTTCGGCACGGCGTGCGCACGCGCCTTTTCTCTCTTATAGCCTTCCTATATACATATATATATATATATATATATATTATATTTTACAATTAGTCTATCCATAAATTCTATCCACTTTGCGATCATCTTCCTTATTCAAACCTACATCTTTCGACATCTTTTTATTCTTTTCTATTTATGATCAACGCAAATGTTGACGGAATATCAGTGATCATTTATATAATCTTAATGGAATCCTCGAGTGTCCCTGTTGTAATATCGTACATCGTTACATCAATTAAACTCGTCTCTCGTTGTTGATTCTGAACAAGCTTGACATCTCGATATAACGATTTCGATATCATTTTACTCATCTTCGTGTTGTCGCATCGATCCTGCAACAGTATACAAGTTGTAGTCCACAGTGAATTCTGTGGGGTGTTGCCATAATATTCCTTATACCCAACTGCTAGAAAATTCCAACATTCTTCGGGCTTCCATATCTATTTCGATTTTATCGAGAATCGATATTTAACGTAGCCCCTGTATTCTTAATATTTACTTTAAAACTTTTGTGAATGCGCAATTTATCTAACTTTAATACTTTTTATATTAGACTATCGAAAACACGGTCATGGTCATAGAGCTATTATGTATTTTGTAAAAGAAATAATAACGTTTATCTATATGATTAAGTGTACAAGATGTCTTAATTTTCTATCGAAATTATAGGAATAAATATTTCAAACTATTCCGGAAAAAATACTTTTGCAACAAGAGTTGCATATATAATTTTCACAAGTTTCTAATGGAAAATTAACAATTACAAGATTTTTGAAGATCTAATAAATTTATTGATTAAAATTATATGATTGATTTACATATAATTCTCCTAGTTGTCCTATTTCTTTAAAAATATTAACTCGTCAAAAGATTTAATAATCACCTACTAATGAGACTAGTCTATTAATTATTTAACATATATACTTAACAGCTCTCGTGTTGTCGGAAGTAGTAACCAGCTCGTCTTTATACAATCGATACAATCGACACACCTATTAGATTAAATTGCAAAAAAATGTACGGCTCTGTAATCGACGAAATTCATATTATTGATAAGATTAAAACGATATAGAACACATTTTAAAATAATATATTAAATACTGTAATAAAATCGCATAGTATGTTCAATATTATAAATAATTTAAACTCAGAGTATAGAGAAATAAATAATATTATAAGAATACAATCACACACAAGTAAAATTCTAAACAAAATGTCGCAAAATCAGAAATCTTTTGTAGCATAGAATAATGAATTGATTTTGAAATTGACGTAAGCGGAGAAAAGGATATCGATTTATGTGGTCCGTAGTTTTTTTTTTTTTTTTTTTTTTTTTTTTTTTTGCCGTTTAATTATTTCATTCTACGATTGTATCGCAATAACAATATTTAATAGTAAAAAATATGCGCCAACACAGGCTCAACCTTTGAATAAATTTTTACTTTTATTCTCAATCTAATTTATCATTGTTAGTTGCTTTTTTCTCGAATTTAATGTTTTTTAAAAAAATATTTATATTTGATTTAACATATGTAGTTAAAAGTTTAAAATAATTTAACATCATTTCCATTAAAAGCGAAATAATTAGAATAACTTGCAACGAGAAACTGTTTCTAAAAATAAAAAAAATCAATGAAACAGTTGAGAAATGTAAAATTAGAAATGTTATTATTTGATTAGGCCGCACACTTTATGCCATTTGATGATTTTTGTATTGTAAAAAGTATAAGAATAAAGGTGAATAAGTTGATTATATTGCACTGATAATGGAACATTTTTGTTTCATTTATATACCAACGTTCTGTCCGTCGCTATATTGTAACAGATCGATCAAAATATTCATTCAATAGTACTCTTGTTTATCAATTTTGATTTATCAATCGGTAATTCTACTCGATCGTAAAACAATTATCCTCCATCCGTGTATGGTGAACACATTGAAACAAAGAATCCTGCCAATAACTCTAAATTGCTATTGCTTATATAGAACTTTCTTCTAAAGTTATAAATATCAGAAGAAATGATTATTAAAAATGATTGAGCTCGACTAACAAACAATAAGATTGAGATTACAAGATATATTAATGGAATGGGGCTTGCGTATTAAATGAGAATGGAATAAAAAAAAAATGCATAACTTTGCATGTCGAAAGAAGATTATTGACAATTTTTGTAAATCGTCGGTAACAGCAGTGAAAAATTGCTGCTAGCAGTGATGCTTGCAAATAACGAAATTACAATTGGAACGGAGCGCGCAAATTATATTATATATATATACTTTATAGCGTATAAATGACAGGAGGACAAATACCGTCATATACGTGCAACATTTTGGCAGACCGATCAATTTTGTGACGAGAAATGATCGAAAAGTGCACGTGTTTTACCGCCTGCGCACGCGGCATGCACGACAAAAAAAACCATAATCGCGCACAGGAGGAACCATCTGCGGCTTCGAAAAGCATGATGCGGACCATGTGCCGGCTGCCAACGATACTCGCAGCCCATCGTGTCAAGTCGACTGCTCCAGAGAGAAAGAGAAAAATCTGCTTCGCACATATGTATATTATATTTACGGAAAATCCGAAAATACGGATAATATCCGAGAAATATGCGATAAATGTGATAAATGCGATAAAATCTCACAATGGCGCTTGCTCGTGTATCGTTACCATGAAAAAGATTAATGATTCTATGACAATCTTGTTTTCTGCGAGTTTATGTCCGATAAGTCGATAACTTATCAAATTATGATTTCACAAGACGTTACGAACAAACAAGATGCATGGAGAAGTTGCACGATATATAATTCTTGCAATGTTGTATTTAAAGTTGGATATATTAAATATAGAATAGCATTGAAAAAAAAATTATATATATATATATATATATATATGTATGTATGTATATATAGAAAGAGAGGAGAGATTTGAGAGAATTTTGTCAAAAATTCGCACATTTTCACCAGTAATGCTCGCATGCCTTGCTGGTGAATGTCACGACACTTTTAGCTTTCGAGTTTAATACCGTATACCGGCGCACAAAAACATTTGCGTGAGAATACAGTGAAATCCGGAAGTAATTACCGCGCAGTAACCGGCTTTTATGCAATCGCGCGAACGCGTGAGTAATATATCGCTTATACCAATTTTTACCAATTCATCAAAATCTTATTTATTTCAGCCTTTCTTTGTTTCTTTACATCGCTTGCTTACGCGACAAATATATGTATAAACAAAATGAGAGATTACATCGAAATGAAAAACATGTTGGCTTATATATAATGCGCGTAACGCTCACTTTTACACAATTACAATACGTATCGTGTCTTGTTCCTCTCTCTTCAAATATTGTAAATTTTATATACTTTGTAATACTTTGCAAACACAAGTGAAAGAAAAAGAATTTTCTCAATTATTAGCCGCGAAACTGTGTGTGTGTGTGTGTTTCGCAGACCTCATTTCCGCACAGAAACTCCATTCTATTTAGTAACATGAATGATACACGTTTTTCTGCAAAAAATTGCATTACTTTTTCTACATCACAATTACATCGATCTAAAAAGGAGCGAGAAAAGGGAAGGAAAATTGTTAATTAATCGTATCGAACGTTGCAATATGATGATATTGTAGCAGCATATAATGACATAACGTGGAAGAAGCAGACCATAGGCGCGTGCCAGGGCCGGCCAGGATATGGTCGCCTCGCGAGTGAGCGTTGCGAAAAGCAGGTAATGGTGTTGAAGTGCATTCGGCAGCTGCTCGCCATGAATACCGACATGAATACCCGAGGTGGACGAGGTGGACATGTGCGATCCCGTCCGTCTTCTTTAGACGCACGGGGCCCCGCCTATGAGTATCCCGAGCTCTATCGAGTGGAAAAGATACGTCCTGCTCTAATCCACCATTATATTATCGAGAGAGCGCGTCATTTTTTCTTTTCTTTTTCTTTTTTCTTTTTTTTCCGTATCAATCGATCGAGATGCTTCCATTTTTCTCGATACGCGTCTCAATTGCTATCCCTTTCAGAGAGAGTTCAAAGACCTTTTCTGTATCTCTTCGGGGGATAACAGATTCCTACTACAAAAATTGACATTTTTCGAAATTAAGTAGAAAACAAGAAACAGTTTTCTCCCGTTTGCCTGGACAAATCATCGATCGTTGAAACGAATTAGCGTAGCATAGTGTGAAAAACGATAACGATAATAACCAAATGATGATTATACATCATTTTCGACCCGACAGAAATTTCTGTCGATGATATCGTAGATTCATTGACCATCTGGCAGAACCGGCTGCACGTTTTCTACCTCCTACTTTGAAAATTATGATATACACTCGTTCGTTATCGCAAGCGCTAAATTTTATTGCCAAAAGTATATAAATTTAAATAAGCTTGTAAAATTTGATTATATAATATTTATAAATCAAGTGTACGGCAAATAAAAACATTTTTTTTTCCATTTTTTTTACGTTGACGTAACATATCCAAACTGGAGAATTTCCGTGTTTAGATGAGTCGCAGCTGGTACCGGACCGGTCTCGCTGGTATTCGAGACCCTTCCTATCCGGAAAATTTCCCCTCTTCATCCATCCTCCCAATCCCTGTTTATCCGTCGATAGCTGTAGCTTTTAAAAGACACGTGACCAAACGCGTCCCCAAGATTGTAGCGTGAATGTATGCATGTTTGTAAAATCGCTATCCGCTAATACATGATATAAGATATATAATATACACCATCGTACAGCAACAGCAATTTTTTCAGACGGCTGGACATTTTTATCACGATCAATCATGCGACCTGTATAACCATAAATATCTAGCAATGTTACCTTAATATCTCATTTACGTTGAATTGGACTTGTGCGAATTCAAAAGCTATAATCTTTAAGATAAATTTGTTTTCTAATAAAAAACGAGAAAAAATAAGAATGGTTAAAATAATATTTCTTGCTCGAGACTGCAATGCGTGTAAGCGTGAGCGGATGTTACGCTAAGAAACGTGCAATTAGAAAATAACCTAATTCAAGGCGATTCGCCTTAAGAATTATTTCGCCGGTCCAGAAACGACGACGACGACAAGCTTAAGACGTGACACGGCTAGCAGGGAAATGGCCAATTATCAGAAAGAGAGAACGTGGGTCGTACTTAAAGTTATGCTATGTAGGCTAAAGCGATACCCTCTCGCCGCTTTTCTCTTCATTGCTATTATTTATTTTAAATATATATCGAATACATATTTATTCAAAACTCTGTGCGGAAAAATGCAATTTGATTATTTAAAAACGTGTAAAAAAATCATAGAGAACAATTTCTCTCGATCTAGCCTTGGAAGTAAAAATGTATCAAGATACAACTAACCGATATATATGACTAGTTGATTGAATATTTGAATAGCGATTGACGTCATACTTAATGCTTGACGTAGAATTTCACATTTGCGCGTGTCATGCATAATGTGTGACTTACTTGACGGAAAATTATTTCGATAGTTTACAGAATTTATAAAGTCGAAAAAAACACGATATATATATATATATATATATATATATATATATACGATAAGACTTCTCGAGAAAAACTACTCTGATTACTTGGTTTTCTATTTAGTGGTAACTCTTAAGTGGCTATGTTTTTCATACCTAACATAGAGTAAAGGAGGAAACTTGAATTCTCGGAGATAATACGAGTGTACTTTTTAATTAAATTGAAATGATGATTGAAATATAAATTTATGAAGTATCGACAACGTTTAGATACTTCTCACTCTCGTTGACTGGAGGCATGCATAGTTGCGACGAGTACGAAAAAGGAAAAGAGAAAAAAAGAGAGCGCGCGTTCTACACTGACAATTGAATCCGGCGCTCCCAAAGTCCCAACAGCCGTCCTATCCTATCCTACCTATCCTACTGCCATCGGTCTGGGAGGCCCGGTGGTGCTTAGCTCGCTAGATCCCAAAGTCTTCGCTCGAGATAAAACACACTATAAATGGCCGCCCGGACGGGTATCTGGTTTCAGGAAAGCGGCGGCACGTGCGCCAGAGTTCTGGCCCAGGTGGTGGAGCCCGTGGTGCTGTGGAGAAAACGCAAGAAGGAGAAGTTGACGATAGAGGATATGGAGGGATAAGAGTCCGAGAGATTAGCCCGCCAGGGACGATGACGAAGGGTGGCAAAATCTGGTGTGACGACAGCGGTATTACCAACCGCCATTATCATTCACCGCCTTACCTCCACCATCTTTGTTACCGTAATCATTGTCATCCGTCGCGTCGATGGTATCACCATCGAAGGGACACCGACGACGAGAACGATAACAACAGCGGCGATAACGGCGATGACGACGACGATGACGATGACAACGACAACGACGACGACGACGACGACGACGACGATAGTGGTGATGACGAAAACAATGACGACGACGTTGCGGACGAGGACGACGACGACGATCACCACCACCACCATCACCACCACCACCACCACCATCACCGCCACCGCCACCATCACCACCACTACTATTACCACCATCACCTCCACCACCACCACCACCACCACCACCGCCACCACGATGACCACGACGAGACGTGTCTTGAACGTCTTCATCCTTGCCTTCATCAACGATTCTACGATCGGCGATCTTGCAGGAGCAGCGACGTTATTAACTCGGCTCGCGTCGACGCCGATCATGTCGAGGTCCATCAAACCGAGACGACGACCGTACATTCTTTCGTACGAACTTCGCCTACTACAACCACGACAGCCAACACCACTACTACCATCGCTAACCCCTCTATCGTCACTGCCATGACGAGAAGATGCAAAAGTCCACCCTACTTTGCGACGATATTACTCCTTTCCTATACTCTCTTTTCTATAGCAGGTTAGTATGATATATACATATATCTCTCTCTTATTTGTAATCAACTCTTGTCTTTTAGTTATTGTATTATCTCAGATACAATGATATCAAACAGTCTACAATCTTTTACAATCTGTCTCTTTCTTTTTTTTTTCTTTTTTTTTTTACCAGAGATGCTCTCGTATGTGAGGTGCTTTCGCGTCGAATAAAGCTCGCGTCCTCGTGACAAAAAAAACGTTTATTTTGTACGCGACTTATGTCACGACTTATACTCCCGAGCAAATGTGTGTAATATAATAATACTTGCGCGTCACATTGCACCTGGTCTCTACCAGGTAAACTCGACGAGATAATCGACGCAGAGTATCGTTATCCATTTTCCTGTTTCTCTTTCGCGCGCTGCACGAATTATTACACAAAGACTTCGTCTGTCAAATATGCTTATCTTTCTTGGACACATCTGTACTTGCCTTTCTATCGCGCGGTTATTTTTTCAACTATATCCTTCCGAGATAAATCGAATAATAAATTTAAATTTTCTTCAATTAGGTTAAAAATTTAACCGAATAAAATTAAAACGATTGTGACAAAATAAATTGTACGTAAAAGACAAGTACTGCGCGATAGAGATATTAAAACATTAGAGATGGCCAAGAATTATTATATAGAGAGAGAGAGAGAGAGAGAGAGAGAGAGAGAGAGAGAGAGAGAGAGAGAGAGCGAGAGCGAGAGCGAGAGCGAGAGCGTGGAAACGGCAGATTGTAAAATTACAACAGGTGACAGGCAGCAGCCACGCGCTGCAGGACAGATGCAACCTTTGCCGCCTTTGCCGTACTTTGCAGCTTTGTGTACAGTCTCGCGCCTACGAGATGCTCCCTCTCCTCTCTCTTTCATCTTTTCGTCCCTTCTCGTTTCTTCTCGCCAGGGTGGCCGCCGCGTGCGGCATAGCCGCGTTAAAGAAAAAGCGAAATGGGTATGAGAGGGTGTGGAAGAGCGAGAAATAAGCACGTTCATCCATTGTGCTCAACGAGCCTGGAAAAGCCGACAAAATTTCTAAAATGTCTATTCAGCCCATCATTCGCTTATTCTCTCGTGTCAATAATGGGGATTAAACGCTATATATATATATATATATATATATATATATATATATATATATATATATATATATATATATATAGGATCATTAGTTGTCGAACGTATCTGTCTAATACAATTGATTTATCTATGTATAGTGGCAGATTTGAAATCAAGTTTTTATTCTATATATAGTATTTGAAAACGGGCAAACTCTTGCATTGCGAGCGTAGTTTCTCTTCTTTCAACTTACTTATCAAAGCTTACTTATCCGCAAAAACGCAAAAATAATACATATATATACTGAATTTGACCTTTTTACAGATGCCTGTTCGTCGCGCTCGACGCCAAAACCAAGGCCACCGACACCAACGGATCGGCCGAACATCACATTCCACATGTACACGTGTCCGCAGGATTACGCAGATTGGTATTGCTTGAACGGCGCCACGTGTTTCACCATTAAAATTGTCGAGTCCCCCCTGTACAACTGTTTGTAAGTACGAGTTTATCTTTGTTCAACGTTGACGGATATATGAGTCATCAGCCGACGATAAATTCACATTAAAATTTCACCTGTAGGGTCTTCTTTTTTCCATGGTAACGAAAATTCTTGCAGACTACAATACATAACGATCGGAATTTTTGAAAATATATCGATATTTATGCAGGAGCACGTACGGAACACTTTTTGATGGCTTAGTCCGTCGGGCGCCTACTGTGCAACCGTCGCCAACAATCGCGGCGGTTCTAAGCGAAAAAGCCACCAAGGGAGAAACGGCACCGTTCGCCTCGTTCAACTCTTAATCTTTGACTATGCGACCTCGACACGTACGTCGAAATTCCTATCGGCTCGCGTTTGACACTCCCTCGAGTTCGCTGTCGTATTTTTCTAGGATTGGATTTGTACCATCTCTCTCTCTCTACATCTACATTTTTTTCTTTTTCCTTTTCTCTACTATAAATGTTTAAAATACAAATGTCATTCAGTTATTAATTTAACAAGTTTATCAAGTTGACGGAACATCAAGTTGCGGGCACAAATATTGCGAGAGAGACAGAGAGAAAAAAGAGAAGAGAAGAAAGTCTATCGGATTAATATTGGGATAACATCGAGGAGAGCAGCAGAGCACATTGTGCTCGCTCAACCTTACCATTTCCCACGGTGTTTGCTTTGTTGACCGCGATCTACCGCCTTGAATCGAGTCATCTTCTGCTTTCAACTTAAATTTCAATCGTAAAAGTTAAAATGCCGAAATAAAAATACATTTGTGCACAATTTTGTTAGAAAAAAGAAAGCTTACTTATGAAACATTTAAATAATAAATATCGACATACAAAGTTTGTGCGTGATAATTACGACAAATGAGAATAAATTACAGCTATGTATTGTAATCCCTTTTACAAAATACAGCACTTAATCAAATTTATATTTAGAAATATTAAATCAAATTATGTTGAGATGTAAAGGGAAAAAATTTGCACACGCGCGACACAAATCATAAGAGCGCTCGTTTACCAACAACTTTGATTATATACATATCTTCCTGGTTCTTTATAACTTATAACGTTAAAGCTGAAAGAAAATCACGTTTTCGATAAAGTTTTAATTTTTGTTACTAGCAGTAATATATAGATATATGTATATAAATTGTGATCGAGAGAAATAAGCAATAAGAAGATATACTTGTGAAAGAGACAATGTTGATTCAATCATGCGCATCGATTGATAATCCTAAATAAAAATGCAAATGGGAAACGCGAGATTTAAATCGTATATTAATGCCATATTTGCGCCATATAAAGGGGACATTATATTAAGTAATTATAGCGTGTATAAAATAAACCAAGTAACGAGCGGTTTAAACTTTATGCATACACTTATATAATCAATTCTGAGTAAATATTAATTATGTTAATTACTTTAGATGAATTTATCCATCTGATTAATATTTGAATAATAAAAAAGTTGAAATTTATAAAGTATGCTTTTCCAGGTGCTTTCCCAAAAGTAACATCGATTAATTAAACTTGATATTGTACTTTGCAGATGCGCGAATGGATTTATCGGACAGAGATGCGAATTTAAAGATTTGGATGGTTCCTATTTGCGTAAGTATACATTTCTCTCGAAACATTTGCATATTTGCTTTTAAAAGTACAAAATAAAAATGATGACCTCTCTTCGACAGCCTTACGGCAACGAGTAATGCTGGAGACAGCCAGCATCGCCGGTGGTGCCACAATAGCAGTATTCCTCGTCGTTATCATTTGTATAGCGGCTTACATTCATTATAAGCGAAAGCAAAAGGAATTGCGGTCGAGGTAATTGATCGTTCATTATTATCGTTGTTATTTCATTCGCAGCACGAATTTTTTGGCGTATCCGGCTGATATTTACGCTCGCAGTCGCGCAGTTTTCGATCAAGCTCGTGTCTTCGCGACGTCATCGACCGATTTCTCCTATATACATACTTATTGTAGCAAGTATTACATTCGACTTTTTTCCGTCACAGCAGTAACGTCGACACGGTAGACGGTCCTGATCGAGATCCAGAGTTAAGGCCATTTAGCAATCGCAGTCGCTCTCTAATGATCTTTATGGCCAAGAATCCAAACAGCTCGGTAAGAAAAAGAAGATGAATACGACTGAAATCTAAGTGATTTACAATTCTAATTGTGATTTACAACTTTGATTTAAAATAATGAAAATTTTATTCGGATGTTTTTTCTTTCTTTGCTTTAGGCCACAATAGAACAGACGAGAATGCCGAACTGGAATTGCTCAGAAGCGGAATCAACAAGGATGACGTCCATCAGCGAAAGCAAGCGTCCGAGTCAATAGCGAACTACGTGACGCGTCGTCCACGTACGACGCGTTCCGCTGCAACGATTCGGCAACACGCGAAACATACGAAATATCGTCGAATAAATCGATAATAGCTCGAGATATAGATCTCGAGATAGCAGCGGCCTTTAGTAATAGCCTTTAGTAGCGAACTTGTTGAACTGCAATATCCATTTGATTTGAAACATCTTAACGCGGCGCTGAGAAAACAAAGCGAATCAAGTACATTGAGTACTTGATTTCCGAGCTAATGACACATGTACCGAGACGACGCATGTCAGCTCTTTTCGATTCTTGTGTCGAAACATTCCCGTATTGCCGCTCGAGTTCCCCGGATATGAGGGAACGTTCGAAGGGACGTTCGACGCTCGTCAGTTATATCGCGTGTATTCCTTCCAACGAGTATCTATCTCAATGATTCATCTGCAGAACAAATCTTTCATTTAGGGAATAAAAGAACAAAAAGAAATGACAAACACAAACCTCGCAAACAAAAGATGTGATGTTCGAAAATGAAACATTTCCGTATGTATTATTTTTTGAAGGTGACAGGAATATTGTCTTCGTGCAAATTAGTTAGTATCGCGTTTCATTGTCGCAAGTCGCAAGTCATTATCAACAAAGAAAGAAAAGAAAAACAAAAGAGAAAGATACATGCATCACGGTTGCAAAAGTAGTGCCTTTCTACTCTCGTTTTTAAGAAAGCAAAATATGTAACTTTGATACGTTTGATCGAAAAAGATCAAATAGAACACCGCTCGTTTATCTGTCTTATATCCGCGACGAGCGTCGTTCAAAGACGAATCGCTGTGTTATTATGAGCGCAGGACGCTGACACACGCTAGTAACAAATCTTCTTGTAAAACACGAAATTAATAGCTGAATGTCGCTAATAATAGACAAGGTAAAACCTTTTGATGCTTGGTACACATTATCCGTACTCGACAACAAACTCTGGTTCATGATTTTCAGCATTCCGCAATCTATCCTCCCCGCTCCGCTCTGGTTGATTAACGATATATCACGAATGAATACATTCTACGATATCTCGCGGCGCTCACCGCGAATATCTAATATGTACATTGCGATTTACTAGTTTGCATTATATTCTTAATAATAAGTTCTTCCAAAATAATCTTTCTGAATGCGTGATTAATCGTACCATTAGTATCAAAGGGTTAATAATGAACATTGTGTCTTATTATATATGTAGAAGTTTCTAGAATTTAAATTTAAATTATAAATCCGACGTCTTACCAGAAAGCAATAGTTTCCTAAGCGCATATGAAATACGTTTTGCCGCTCAAAATAAATATGCTATCTATTTACTTACTAATTGGTTTAAAAAACCTATTGACGTCAGATCGCCATCTGACGTTGTATTGTTACGTATTGACAAAATATTTTTTCAACACGCTTCGCTCTTAATGAAATATCGTTTAATAAATCTTAGGCATATGGTACATACACGCAATGACATACTTGTAGTAAATCAGTCTTTATTTCTATGTATCCTATAACTAAACAGTAAAAATTAAAAAGCAGAATATATCTCAGAGAAAGAGAGAGAGAGAGAGAAAATAGAAAAACAAATATGCTAGAAAAATTCAATGACTTTATAAGCGCAGCTCATAATTTACTAATAATAGAAAAATTAATAATATTTACTTTATCTACTGTATACTTTACATGAAAGAAAGTTGAACATTTCTGTCCAATTTATCTCCCATATTTATCTTGTTTTTCAAAAAACTGAAATGAATGCGGAATGAGATATGTATCATTCTGTTAGATATTAATCCCAATCATTTTTTCATTAATACTTATTCTATAATATATATAAAATAAATATATCAGAATTATGGAAGAAAGTGCTATAGTGCGCCCAATCCTATTGATCATGCATTCATTCTCGTTCTTTATTTATTTATTTATTTATTTACATAAAAAGTACTGGAATTTTTTTTATCTTCACATTACCTACAATCTACATTGCTACAAGATTTATTCAATATTTTTTTCTACACATCTTTTTGTTCGAATTCTTTCAACTTTCAGATTACGATGATATGATTTTTTAAACAGTATTAAAATGCAATAGAATGGGATTAATATGTTTGCTTGGAGATACCTCGAGGCTGGGCCTCTTTATGTTTCAGCTTCTTGTAAATAGTGAATTATTCTACCTTAAAATATATAATTCTGGATCTCTTCGATAATATCGACTACAATAAAAATAACATTATCATCGACAACTACATTGTACTACATCCTATCATGGTACTTTGTTGTATCACGCTATGCTTTCAAAAAATCCGAAATACATATTTTTATAATTATATAATTCGTCCAAAATATATCGAACAGTGACAGAGAAAATACTGAAAACATTAAACGACATGCTTCAATAATAATTTGTATATTTGTAGATACTCTCGAGTATAAAAGAACACCTTTTCTAAATACTTTGTTTTGACCTTTTTCATATTAACCACGCATCCATCTGTCACTCGTCGCATCGAAATACATTTAATAATAATAACAGCGAACAACTCTTTATTCGAACTATTCGAAATCCCTGCTTATTGTAGAAAGATTGAGAGAGAGAGAATGAGAGAACGTAAGGAAAGAGAGTGTGGCCTAAACAGTTAGAAAAGCAAATACAAATAGTATCTTTTTAATGTATAAAATAGTTATCATTAACAGTGTGTATTCTAATTTAATTTCTCATATTTCATATTGTATACGTGGTTCCTAATTTATTATTATTAATTATTATTATTATTATTATTATATATTATATTATTATTATATCTTTTATTAATGTAATTAATTATTATGACTATTAATTATATTATTATTAGAAGTTATTCTTATAAGTTAAATGTGTATTAATAAAACTAATCACTAAGGACTCGTTCGAGGATGAAAAATGTGTGAAATTGCAGTATTTGATACGAATGTTGAGACTGGAGTGTGATTGTGTCATTGTGTCACATTCAATCTTAAAATGCATTTGTTAGATATAAAACTAGCGGATGACACGAAGAAACAATAGTGTCTTTAGTTTGAGCGCGCTTGAAATTAATTGTAAAAGATTTACTAGTAAAATATTTGTTGTATAACATATTAATATCATATGCATTTAGTACATTCAATGTATACACAATATACAGTTAGATAAAAACTATAAATGTCCTAAATATACACATATTACATTTTCTTCCAGATTCGATAAAATATTGATTGCTGCAGGTTTAATGTGAAAATATAGATTATATATCCCTTATAGAAATGTATCACTAGTAACGCCAATTAATCACTTATTTCGAGTATTTAAATTACTGTATATCAGTATTTTAAGTACTCGAAATAAGTGATTAATTGGCGTTACTAGTGATACATTTCTACAAGGGATCCATATTATATTATCTTCAAATTAATTAATTTATCCGTTAGAAACACAGTATATGCTGCGAAAAAATGGTCACGCAATTTCCTCTAAGGAGGGAAATATGCACATGTTATTGTTACATTAAAAAGACATTGTTGCTTGAAAAATAAACATGTCTTTTGTGCCTCCAATAAAAATTAAACATGTAGATTATTCGTAAAAAAAAAAAGACTTTGCAGAATACTAAATTATCTTAATAAATTGTCTTTAAATTAAATGTGTCTAATAAATTAAAGATCACGACGATATTTACAAAGAAAAATTTGTATTAAAAATCTATTGATATTTGAGTAAATAATTTTTTACCAATAAAACTATCTTAAAAACTATCACAAAAAATATAAATTTCTGAAATAAGTTAGAATTTGTTAAAAAAGAATTAATGTATAAAAAAATTAGAATCAGTATAAAATAATCATCAGAATTATCCGATGTAATATACATATATATTTTATAATATAATGTATAATATTTTTAATATCACGAAATTTATATGTAATATGTTGTGTATATTTGGACAAATATAAATCACAAGTTTTTGATGTTCTGTAAAAAATTGCCGATGACTGTATATATTTAATGATGATAATTTAATCATGATAGTTTTATTGCTTAAAAATTCATTCATATATAAATATATATATGAGTACTTGTGTGTACTTGCTTCTATTTATTTATTTTTTTACACTTTGGTACTTTGCTTTTTTTCGTGTCATCCAATTTGGTTGATTAAATTTTTTTTCTAATTTAATGTTTTTTCTAACTCGACCAAATTAGTCAAACGAGAGAGAGAGAGAGAGAGAGAGAGAGAGAGAGAGAGAAGAAAGTAAGAAAGAAAGAAAGAAAGAGCGCGTGCCTTATTATAATTTATACCGTGTAAATTATCGTCATCAGCGATCATACGAAACATTATATATGATAAGCAACTTTAGAAGAGTATACTTTAATACAATCAATTATGATGTACCAATGATAATCTGGCATTTTAGCGCATAAGACACAGTACACTGAGTATTGTATTCCGCAAAGAAGACTATACATGAATACATGTAAAATAACGACACCAAAGTGTCATCCAAAAAAATGACACAAATATGCCATTTTCTTTGCGATAATTTTACTATTTCATATAATAATTTGGATAAATAATATTATTTAAATTATACCATGTTATTTTTTAATTATAAAGAAGTAACTACTATTATAAACATCACGGTTCCTTATGCAATAGTAAAACGAAACATGCGTTTGCCAAACGAATTTTATTAAAATTTTTTTATTCCTTAAATTCAAATGCGAAATTTCTTATTCTAAAGCCATGCCTCGAGCTATGAAATCTCACAGCAATCCAATGAATATATCAAACGGTACACACATATATGTATACATATATGTGTGCTTTTCCTTAAAAATCATATATATTTTAACAATCGTGTAGCATGCAAAACCACTAACTAAGAAATAATAATATATGAGCATAATTTTTATTTTTCCCAAGTATTTTGTCATTTTCAATCTGCAATAATATGTAATATTGTTCGCACTATTATATAAGATCTATTAGATATAATTATTAAGCATATAAACAATAATATTCATCGTCAACAATTTTATATAGTTTTATTCTTTATTCTCTCTCTCTTTACGTCGATTTTAAATATATCGATTTTATAATCAAAATTTCCGAATTGATAAAATCAAAATATCTTGATATTTATTTCGTATACCGTTTTTCGCCCATTAAGCGCTTAAAAATAATAATCTTGTCCGCGTACAATGTTCGAGAACTCAAAAGCATTTTTTTTAAGTGCATTTTACAACAGGATACAGTGTGATGGATATCCTCATCTAACATACCAAACTTCCATAGCATATGATAGCATGTGCTGCCCGATGTTATATTATACCAAAGACATCGATTAACTGGAAGAATTAATTGTTTTAAAGAGATGAGAACGCGCACGTATGCAAAAAAAGAAGAGAAAGAGAAAACAGAACAAAGGAAAAAAAGTATTAAATAGAATTTGAAGAAAACGAAAAGAAAGAAATATTACACCAATCAGTAATGTAACATCCAAATATATTGTTATTATTTGTAAAAAAAAATCATACATACATATATATGCATGTACTAAACTTGGCGCGTTCTGTGGTTGAAAGCTTACGATATATATATGTTGAATATTTTATCTATTATTATTAATTATCTATTATTATTATTATTATTATTACTATATTATAATTATACTTTTATTATTATCCACAGCATTATCATTATTATATTAAAAAATAAAAATCTGTAATTTTGTTTCAAAACCTCCGAGTAACATATATAAATATTGATATTCGTATTATTTATCTAACTATTTTCTTTTATTAACATTTATTCCAACATCCATGACAATATCAAGCTTGTCTTATATTCACACAAATAATATTTTAAAAAATAGATATTTTATCATTCCTACTTATATACGATTTAATATATTCTTTATTTCTGATATGGAATTCAGATTAAAAACTGGATTGAAGTCTCATGATTATCTATACACTTTATATCGAATCAATAATTCTGTTTTACTATATTTTTTGCTGGATGTAATATATGTAATATATATTAATTAACTATATCAAACAATATAAAAATCTTGAAGATGAAATAGCTAGATCATAGAAAATTGCACACATACACACACACATGTATTTACCATAATGCAAGATAATCAACAAATTTTTTGTATTTTTATTTTTTATATTTTTAATTTTTATTAATTTATCTTTACCGGTGTATAGTATGATATACAAAAAATAATTTATTTCGATAATCTAAGAAATAAAATATGATTTCTCATTTCCTAAATGCATGTATTAATCTGTTTGTGTTATAATTCAATGTATTCTAAAGAAAGGATGAGTCTTAATTTATAACTTATTTGAATTATCATTTGGCAGCTTGGCAACTTTGGACATGTTATTTTTGAATTTTTTTAAACTTTCCAACAATGAAAGGAAAGAGATAATCCTATATCTAGTATATTTTTACCAAAGGAATAAAACTAAATTGTTTAGGATAATATGTAATTTTATAATATTTACATATTTTTTACACATAAAGCTTATCTCTTATATCACTATAAATCACAATAAAACGTTTCAATATTTCATAAGAGAGTTTTACAAAACAAACTAAATAAAATGATTTTTATAACAATGAAGAAAATTAATCTACATTTTGAAAATAAATATTTTAATATATAAACTAAATAGAAAAATAAAAATTAAATTTTACATGAATTTACGTTGTACGAATTACATAAAATTAGTGCAAAATAAAATTAAGTGATCATTATTTGTTAAAACAAAATAAAAACGTGAACAAAAATTTTTAAACAAATGAAAATTTTAAATAATAGTGTTATAATATAATTGCAATACATTCTTATAATATTGTTTCTCATTGTACTTTTCCTTAATAGTTGTAAAGCAAATTACAATAATCACTGAAAGATAGAAATGTCAGCCTATCATTTAATATATTTATTAATTGGCATAGCATATTTTACTTTGATTCCATACGCTGTAAGTAATTTTTCCAAAATGTTTTATTACGCGTATTTATAAACGCTTGTAATTGTGCAACGACAACCCATCTTAAAGATTCATTTGGCGTCCATCTTAATATAGATGACACAATAACATTGAATTTATGTCTAGAAAGACTGAGCAATGCAGATATTACGCCTTCTTGTTGATCGTGTGTACCTATTTGCAGAAATGGATAAAATTATATGTGCATGTTATGTATTACACATGTATTGTTATATAATGAAGACTAGCTTTTCATGCAAAATTAATATATCACCTTCGTCAGATTGGATAAGATCGCGGAGCTGTTCACTAAGTTCCTGCACAATATTGTCTTTATCTTCTAATGGAAATGAGCGCATAAGCCTTCCTATAAATAAGTAAATAAAATATTTATATATGTATGTATACATATACACAAACATGCATATACATACAACACAGAGAGTCCTATGTGTAATATGAGAAATAGATTTAGCACTACTTTAGGAATGGATTTAGAAACTTAAGCAATAAAAAAATTTATATAAATGTCATTTTAATACTGATCTTATTCTTTCATATCTTTCAAATATTTTTTCTGATTTAAAGTTGATTATTATATATTATCGGACACTCTGTATATAATGTAGATAATATCAATATGTGTAAAATATGATACTATTTATTTATTAAAAGTTTCATCATAGTTCAATAAACGAAAAATGAATATACCGAGTAGAGAAAATGCACTATATATACAAGGATGTTCATAGTTGATGATCATTGGCAATAGATCAGATTGAATGATATCTTTATATGTCCAAGATGATCCTTTTCTCTTTGCAACAAGAATAATGGCTGTATCTAAACCATTACACCGTTGAGCTACAACAAATGTGTATATTTATATACATATACATACACTTTATACATGTATATGTAGCAATTTATATAATTCATAAAAATATGATACAAAAAATATGCTTACTTTTGAGAAGAATCATGAGCTCTTTAACAAACGTATCATTTCTTGCTTCTGTGGTATAAGAATATTTATAAAATGATAATATTAAATTCTTTAATGCACGTAATTTCTTTAATAATTTTGCTGATGCGTTGTGTTTCTCGATTTGTTGCGTGAATATAAGAAAGGCTATACACTTTGGCAATATTTCTGCAAAAAATAATATATATTTATCAATATAAATTCACATTTTACAGCTATTTCTATAACTAATAAAACCATTGCCAATACAATATCCCAAATCTGTTGTTATATGGCATATAATATACAATACCTTTGTTAATCTCAGCATTGGGAAGTACTTCAGGCCAGGACGTTAATATCGTGTATAAAACATTTATCGACATAAGATTCATGCAATAGAGAGCATTGCAGCACATTATGCGTACTCTCGCCCTGTCTTTCTGTATACGTGACAGGATGAGATACATCCGTGTGAGTAAATTCGCATGTGTCTATACATATGAAAAAATTATTATTATTATTAATATTATAGGTTGGCCTAGTAATCATAATATAATTGAGAAAGAGATAATTTCTCGTGCAAAAATAAGTCAAAAGTATAAATTTTACAAAATTTTGTTTTTGAGAAAAATTACATTAAAAATTAAAAAGTTAATAATATCTTCGAGGTTTCTTTAAATCTAAATGATCTTTAATAATGTTATGTCATTGAATTCATTTTATAAGAAAACTCTAATATTTTATTCAGTAAAAAACCAATAATATAACTTAAATTGGAGAAATTAGATATAAAATATCAAAATTATTGTTTTATACATGCACACACATGCATAAGATATACATATATGTGTAAATAAAAAATGTTGAATATAGTTTTTGCCTTTTGTTGATTAAAAATAATCACTATGCCGAATTATTATGATTACTGAACCGCCTAGTGTAGTTTAATTTCTTAAATATATACACATACATACATACGTATAATAACACACACTTTATATTTTATATTAACTGAATATAAATATAAACCTTTGCTTTACTATTGAGTTTGAACAGCTTATGTTCAATAGCAACTTGTACATAATGAACAACCGTTGGTTTCGATACTTCTAAATCGATTAATAACGCCGTAAGTCTCTGCTCAAATATTGTCATCAATGGTGCTGGAGGAGTGAATGACTTATCCAGAGGTTCGTCATGTTTGACATTCTCCAACAAAAATTCAACTATGCATCTAAAATAATTGAAGAGAAGAAATGTTCTGTTTATTCATACATTTTGCATAAAAAAAATTTCAAATCTATAATATATTTAAAATCACGTGTATGTAAACGCATAGTTCAAATATGTATTAATACTTTTAATATATTTAAAATTTTATTTGTGTGCGATAGTTATATATTCAACAAGTTATAGAAAATATACTAACTTGGCTATAATGCGCGGTCCACATTGCGTATTTTCTAATTTTTGTATTATATCGTAATGTACAGAAGAATCTTCCCAGGCATTATTTATAAGTCTTTTCAATTGCTTCTTCACAAACTTGTCTAAAATATAAATAATATATGTATAATACATATTAATAATTTTATTTAAGATAAATTAAAAAGGCAACCTAAAAAACTAGCTAGAAATTTGGTATTAAAGGATTGCCATCTTGAATATTATAAGTTGTTTTTTACATTTATTTTTTTTTCCAATAATTACTTTTTTTCTAAAGAGTTTATATTGTGCTAGATAATCCATATATATAAAATTTAAAAAATTTTAAATATTTAATATATTTTAAATGTTACTAAAAGAAATTTTAAATAACTTAGTTTTAAATATTTCAAAATAGATTTCTTTAAAATATATTTTGATTATCTTTCTTTCTCTACTTATTAAATACCTGTAATTTTATGATAGGATGTCTTCTTCTTTGACAGCTTATAATTGGTACATTGGTTGTTAATATAATTATTTAATAAAGACATTGGTGTTTGAAATTCTTCAATATCATCATGGGGGATATAGTTAATAAGTTCCATTTTTTTGTCTTGTTGATTCGTGCATGCATTTTCTTTCCGAATTTCGATAGCTTGTATCTCAGTTATTTCATCATTAACATGCATCTCTCCTTGCTTGCCTAATGTATTTTTACTTTGTTGAGAGATTTGTGTACATCATTGTCATCTACATAATTTTCAACAATGATTTCACTATCTCTCTGTAAAAATTGTTCAGAAGCTTCATTAGATACATTTATATCCATACTCTTTGGTATTTCATGATCGTCACAACTTTCTCTAGTTGTATTACAAATGTATTGTAATTCAATACTTGGTTTTGTTCCTTTTTCAATAGCATTGGTCGCTTTTACTTGTAAATTTTCAGTAAACTTATATGTATCAGACTTCGAATCTTGACAGAGAACATTAGATTCCGACTGGATAATGACTTGTGTTTTCACTGGGATAGATTTTTCAAGCTTTATATCTGTAGCCACGTTATCGGAAATGTTATTATGCGATTCATCCAGCTCATCGCAATTATTTGACATCTCTTCTTCTATTATACCCTCCATTAATATACTCTCTTTGCTTCTATTTTCAATCAAGACATCATCACGTTTATCAAATTCCGATACTATAGATGCACATTCGGTATCTATAACAAACAAAGTAAAATTGTCATTATTTTTAAAGTAATTTTCACAATTTGTTGGAACTAAGTTTTTCTCGAATATTTTTCTAGTAGATCTTTTGTCATCAATACTGTTAGTCTTACCATGCTCCTCCTCAACATTCGTTTCGTTACATTTCTTACTTATTGCATAATCTTCTTTATTCTCAGTTAATGAATTATCTTTACAAATTTGTACATTTAATCGTTGATGACGCTTTTGTTGAAATGCTTCTAAAGATATATTTTTTATAATGCCATGTGTAAAATCTTCTTCATTGTTGTTCGATTGAAAAATCGACATTTTTGGAGCATGTGCAATCCGTAATTTTTTTGTTTGTTTATAATCGTCAGGGTATAATTCAATACTCTCTTCTTTATTTACATGTGAATTTGCTTGCATCTTCCTCTTCAAGTTCCGGATCTTTTTAAACAAACGATCACCAAATTTACTTTTATTTTGACTTTTTCTTTTTATTTTATTTTCTTCTGGAATTATATCAATAATTCTATCATCAGTATCAATGCTAATATCACTGTTACATGATAAAACTTTTATTTTTATCGGGTCATTTGTTTCGATAGTTTTCATATTTTCACTTAATGAATTATTGCTTATTTCCTCAATACTGTCATATAATTTGTCAGTACTTAAATGTGATGTCGTTAGATCATCTTCAACAGGCGCTGCTTCTGCCGAATTTAATGCATTCTCTTTGCAGAAAATAGACTCTCTGTCATCAGTGTCATTAAGGAACTTACTGGGCACATTTACATTCGACATTACATTACTCTTATTTATGCATAATTTATGCTTAGATTGTAAAGTATCACACACAGTCGTTTTTGTAATGACTTCAGATTTATTATAAAGCACATCTTGTAAATATCTTTCATCAATGTCCTCAATTTTCCACACAGATGCATTATCTTCATTAAATTTGTTTAATCGACGTCTTTTCAACTTTACCTTATTTCTCTCTGAATTGATATTTTGTTCATTTTTAGAGCATGCTTCTTTCTTTTCATAATATTCTGCAATGCCTTTGCATATTATGGCAAATAAATTCGAATTTAGTAAAGCATTATTGTTATAATTCATACTACAATGACAAGAATTGGTATCTGATTTTTCTTTCAATCTTTGTAATTTTTTAATTTTATTTTCTAACAACCGAATTTGTTCTTTTATCTCTTTGATAGAAGCAGAGTGCTTAACTAATAAGTTATTGGAATAAAAATGTTTTCTTGTACATTCTGTACATTGAAATGAAGTACATGTTCCAGAAATTGGGCTGAAATTATTAGATAGTACTTTGGTTGCAATATTCGCATTTCTTAATTCGTTATTTTCGCAATTTTGCATCATTGCAGATATTGATTGAGATTTGCAATTGTCAATTGTTGAATCATTATATTGATTACGTGGATTCAGACATGACATAGATAGTGATCTAGAGAGAATAAAGTCTTCATTTATATTTGTGGAATCTGGACACGTACCTAAAATGAAAAATGTATAAGGACAATATATGTAAAACATAGATATTATACAATATAAAATATACACATACATTATATATCTGTATAACATATATGTGTATAAATTAGTTCACTTATGATCTATCATTATATCGAATAATTATATTAAATATTATTCTTACTTACTGGGAACTAAACTTAATGATGAAAGAATTTTTTTTGATGGTGGATCAAAATTTTTCTCAATTAATTCTGGATATCTGCACATTGTTTTGCATATTTTTTCAGGGGTTATGGCTGAGGACAAATGAGATTCGCATTTTGCGCAAAATAACGGATACGGATCATCCTTCATATTATAAAATTCATCAGTCATGATGTTTTTTTCTTGTACCTCAGGTTGTTTAACACCTAATGATACGTTAATACCAATATCCGAACTAGATTTTACCTCTGTCAATATTAATTCACACATAAATAATAAACATACAACAATAAGAAATTATTTGTTTTTAGTTTTATACTTACCTATACTTAATTTAGAAGTATCAGAATTATTGGATATAATTTTTTTCTCCTTTCTTTTATACATCATTTTTGATTTTTGTAATTCATGTTCCAAATCTCTAATTTTGTCTTGTAAAGAAAGAAAAAAATTCTTATATTCTTATATTGTTGAAGATATAAATATAAATATGATTATTTTTTCATGTATTGATTAAATAATTATGTATATAAGAAATAAATAAATAAGAAATATTTAACTTGTTTTACCTGCAAAAACAGACTTTTGTAGATCATATTCCATAATTTTATGAGAACATTTTTCTTCCAAATCCTTTATTTTATATTTTAATTGTTGTATAGTTTGTTTATCTGCAGCTATATTTACTTCATATTCTTTCAACTTGCTTGATAACTTTTCATTCTCTATCTTTTCTTCTGCAATTTGCTGAGGATTGTAAGATATTAATATATAAAACATGTGTGATTCTTCAGACAAAATAAGAATGTATTAATTAAATAAAAAGATATAGATAAGCAATTAATCATTCAAGCTGGAAACTCGAGATTTACTTACTCATAAATAAAAAATATCTCATTCTGATCATGCTACTAAACAAATATTATTTTCTCTTGCACATACGCATATAATTTCATATCTTACATGTTACATTTAATAAAACTTGTAAACCATTTGATTCTTTCTCTTCATCTTAATTTTACTCTATATTTACATAATACTTTCAGATACCAGCTTGAAAGATAATACTTTTTTATATTCTCTATTAAAACTAAATAAAACTAAAACTTAATAAAAAATAAAAGAGAATATTAATGATAATTAAATCTAATTATTATTATTTACAAGTTCAAGTTTTTTTGTTTCATCTAGCATTAATTGGTAGTTAATTTTCATATGTTTGCCATCTTTTTTTGTAACCATCAAATCTGATTTCAAACTATCAATTTCTTTCACTTTGTCAGTATATTGCTTAATTAAATCACTGAAACAGATTAAAGATCATCAAATTTTATCGAACAATTGATTTTAGTACAGTGTATTGTAATAAAAAATGTAAAATAACATGACATGAAAAGAAACACTTACTGCGTCTTACACATTTTCTGCTTCAATAAAGAAGATGATTCCTTCACTTTTTTTGATTTATAATCGTCTTCCTAGAATTATAAAATTATTTACCGATTATATTTCAGCAATTAAGTTTAATAAACGTAAAAAAAATTCTTTAAAGATAAATTAAATCTTACAGCAATCATGATTGTTATCAATTTTCCCAATACACAGGAATAGGAAAAGTGACAGTTATTACTAACGTACCGGTAAACCAACCTATTTTTTATCCGCAAAAACTTATTTTCGAATTCCGAATAAGATTTCCGCACGACGTCCATTTAAATAATTTTCATACAGGAAGAATTTAAAAACATTTAAAAACAATTTAAAAAATTAATGTTTTTGTCATTTTGAAAAGTAAAATTGTTTAACGTCAGAATCTAACCTTTATTCTCGCACATTCATGCGGTCGAAACTGAACTGTGCTGTACATAATACTTACAATTGTAGCTACGATGTTGTGTAAATTCTTGTTATTATTATCCATCTTGCGTTAAATAACAATATATAATATTTTTATCGGAAAATTGATTTTCACACATTGCTTCTAACAAATATCAATATTTCCCGCTATCGATACACGCTTGTTCATTCTGCCAAAGAATATAAACAAGTACACAGAAGCACAGATCTATCGGGTCAGCCGAGCATGGCGTACTTGCATAGTAGCAGATAGTACCGCAGCTACATGATGGCGTTAGCGACGAGGAATTGTTAAAGTCACTAGATCTTTATTCGGAGTCTGGCCGGATCTCCAATCATTATATCGGCGCAATGTAAATCCTCCATTAACATTGGAGCAATCAAGATGGTGGTTTAATTTGCGTCGTCATACGTCATCAACAATTTGAGATCTTATCTCGCGGAAAAATGCGAATCAACGGTTTGATAAGACGAAAAAATCATTGATATATTTAGAATGATAGATATTTGTACAATGTTAAAAATTTCGCTCATTTCGTAAATTTTATATTCTAACCTATATACTACCACCATATTGAGTATTTTTTCAAGTATTTTAAGAAAATTGCAGATTAAATTATGTAAAAGTACGACATATCGTTATGCCGATATAAAAGAATTTCATAGTAATAAATAAATGTAAGTAAATCGGAATCGATTCAATGAAATAAAATTATGTAATTTTTTCGTTAAATATGTATATTATATTATGTTACATAGAAAATATGGAATCAAACGAGGGAAATAGACTTCCAAACGGAGACATCCAGGTACACAGAGATGTCGATTGGGCTAGATATGGTTTGCGTGATCCAGAAATGCAAAGAAACGCGAAAAGAAATAACGGAGACAACAACGATGCATTTGATCCTGAAATGTATCAGGCTGGAGCAAATGAATTATTCGCACAAGAATATGTAAAAAAAAAAAAGAATTTTAATTTAATTGTGTAATACTTAGAGTACTTAATATTATTATTACACTTTTTGCATTAAACCTCTTTTAGAGTTCAGATCCTTGGTGGAAATCGAATTTCTTCATCTCTCAACCTGTATTATTTGGTACTTGGGATGGGGTTTTTACATCTTGTCTTATTAATATATTTGGAGTAATTGTATTTTTGAGATCCGGTTGGATAGTTGGTCAAGCAGGTGTTTTGAACGCAGTATTAATCATCTTTTGTACAGGTAATATCATTGCTTAGGAATGATACATAATCGTGTACAATCAATATATATTTATTTACTATATTACTAATATATTATATATTGTACTAATTCCAGCGAGTATTGCATTTGTGACAGTATTGTCAGCTGTAGGAATATGCGAACGATGTAGAGTTGAAAGCGGTGGAGTTTACTTTTTATTATCGCATGTATTGGGTTCTAGATTTGGTGGTTCTATTGGATTACTTTATTGTTTTGGACAGGTGAGAATACAAATAAACTTTTTATTTCTCAACATTCCAAGAATCTGTGTGTGAATTTTATTTTAGGCGGTAGGTTGTGCTCTAAACGTTTTAGGTTTTGGGGAATCAATGGCTGGCCTTGTAAATTTGGAATCGACATGGGCACAACGAGGTTTTGCATGTGCAGCAGTTGTACTGTTATCTGTAATTAACGTTGCAGGTGTTAAATGGGTTGTAAAATTGCAATTTATTCTTCTTCTAATCCTACTCTTTGCTGGAGTTGATTTTATGGTTGGAAGTTTCACCCATACCAACATCGGTAAAATAATTTACTTGAATTAAGAAGATAATATATACAAAAGTAAAATAATTTATAGAATGTTTTTGTCTTTCTTTGTATTTATATATTATTAATACATTTATATATTATATAGATTTGAAGTTACAGTACCATTTTTACTTGTAGGTTCTGGTTTTGAAGGCTGGTTATCAGGGAATTTGAAAAACAACACTTTCCCCAATTACCAAGATGGATATAATTCGTTTACCGTGTTTGGTGTGTTCTTTCCAACAGTCACTGGTGTCTTGGCTGGAATTAACATGAGTGGAGATTTGAGACATCCATCTAGCGATATCCCCAATGGTACTTTGGCAGCATTAGGAACTGGGTAAGAAAACTTGCCCCTGATAAAAGTTATCTTTTGTGAAAATGTAATTTTTCATATTAAAATTCTTCTTGCAGAACAGTTTTGTATCTATGTTTTTCACTGACTCTTGCGGCAACTTGCACCAGAAATGCTTTACTCACAAACTTTACAATAGCATCTACAGTATCAGCAATTTCGGTGCTGCTACTCGCTGGTCTCTACGTATCGTCGTTCAGCAGCTGTTTGGGTGCTATGTATGGCACACCGCGCGTTCTTCAGTCTATCGCCAGTCAAAATGTCATACCAGGAATGAGATGTTTGCAGAGAGGGGTAATTATATATATTTTTTTGTTTTTTTTTTCTTTTTAATCAATTATTTCTAAACTCTTGGCATAGCATTTTTTCGAATTTTACAGTATATATAAATTTGAATGAATACACAAAAACATAATGCAATGAAAACCATTAAGTAAACTATTAAGATGCAGAAAAAAAATATAATTTTTTTATCATAAAATTTTACAAACAAAATTTATTAACAGCAATAATACATATTTTTAGAGAGGACCAAATAAAGTACCTATATATGCTATGCTGGTTGTTGCTGTGGTGACGTTGACTTTCATCATTACCGGGCAGATTAATACACTCGCACCAATCGTAACAATGCCTTTCTTATTGACGTACGCGTGCTTAGATTACGCGTATTTCGCTCTCGCACAAACATTTGATCTTCGACATACACGTGAACAAAGATTTCGTACACAATCTCCAACATTTGATCGCAACTACGGTTCCGCAAGTAGAAATAATTCGATAACAGATACGGATAATGATTTAGACAGCTTATTTCCCGAGAGAATAAGACATAATAATCTTGTGGTAAGAAATTATGTGTATTTTTTAATACTTAATTGTTATTTAACTTGTGATATATATATATATATATATATATTTTTTTTTTTTTTTTTTTTTTTTTTCATAATTATATATATATATATATATATATATATATATATATATATAACTTTATCGAATTATTTTTATAGAGAAATAACAGCGTTTCTGATAATAACGTATATGTGGATTCGTCACCGAGCATTGAAGATAATGCTAGCGCTATCAGTACATCGGAACGAAAAGTTCATATACATAATAAACTGGAAAATTGGTACAGTCCTTTGTGCAATAGATGGTTTTCGTTATTGGGTGTAAGTACATGAACATATTGAAAAAATTGTCTGCAAAAAATATTATTTTTTCGTACTAAGGAACAATTTTAAAATATTTAATCGCCTGAAAAAAATGTTCAATTTCTATGTGTATATTTACATTGCAGTGTCTTGTAAAATTGCTTATAATGTTTCTCGTACATTGGGGATACGCTATCGTTAATATCGTCGTGGTATTTCTCGTCTGGAGTTATGTCGGTCATGCCAACCCTGCTGTTAAACCTGGAGTTTCGGCAGAATTTCAATTTTTTAAATGGTTTCGGACTGCATTACTTAGACTTGTCGGGTAAATCTGATTATCAAGCATTATTGAAGTATTCTTAAAGCTAAACCTATTATGTTTGGCTAAAACATTTCTAAAAAATTATGAAAAAAAGAGGATGCGAGTGTTTGTAAAAACTTTTTCATTGCTGTTAAAATTATTTAACTTTGTTGCTTTATTGTTACAGGAGAAAAGTTTATGATTACGAACAAATTGTAGTGACTCCAGTGCATCCAGGTGTTGAAACATGCTCGGCTCAACTAAATGAAGAAAATGAAGATTTTTCAGGGAGAAGAAGATATCATCAAACTGCTACTGTCACAGGTCAATATGTTAATGTCGATTAGATATGGAATTATCTACCCGAAATCATAAATTACATATTAGAATTTACATATTTTTTCAATATCTATTTAGAATACGGTCTCATTGTCGCGAAAGCAAATTACAAACATATATGTCTAATATTTAATATGATACTTCAAGACTTGATAAGGAGCAGCTTGCAACAATCTTTTATTTTATAAATAATAATTTTTAACTTATTTTATAAATATTAATTGCGCAAGCGGCTAATATAATAATTGAATTTATTTAATGTACATACCCAGCCAGAAATGAATAATCAAATCGATGTCGAATCAACGACATCGATTCGACGACGATTTACCCGATCGATGTCGATTCGATATCATTTTTGGCTGCGTATACACACATTTAAAATTTAAATTTATTTAATGTGCATATACACACATAAAAATGCAGTATAATTGCAGCTTTCAGGGTATTTTAACAATCAATGAAATAGATTAAATGCAAAATTGATTGTATGAAACGTACAAAGAATTGATGCTAGTTAATATTGATGCTAGTGTTAGATTTTTATAATGCATTTACTTGTCACGAATGCCGTGTACACAATTGGGATAATCTACTTTTTTTTATTCCCTACAATGTCATTCAGCTTGATTAAACGATTAAGAGAAAATATTAATTTGACTGATAAATTCAGAAAAGAATACTCTTATATTATGATATGAAAGTATTCTTATACTATTAGTATCGAGTTTTTTTACCATCGCGTAAATAATCAAGCAATAATGACAATACGGCAATTCGCGTGAAAATACTCTGTAAATACCTGATAATATATTTATACATTATTTAACACTTTTATAATATATTCTCGAACAAATGCACAAACGAACAAACTTGTGTAGCTGCAGGATATAAATGTATGTATGAAAGAGAGGGAGGGGGAGAGAGAGAGAGAGAAGTCTAAAATATGTATATTGACAATTTTTCCTATTTATTTTGTGAATTGTTTTTATTAAACCAAATACTACCAAAATAAATATTTAAAAAATTGAAATTATGATACTTATTGACTTATAGATTTTATGATACATAAGTGAAATTATAGATATAAAGAACGGATAAGAAATATAATTAAGAGAAAAAAATAATGTACATTAAAAAATAGCTCGAATTATTCAATGATTTTTCAGATATAATGCAAAAAAATTTGTAACACTTTTCTTTTATTTTAAATTTACATAATTTTTAAAGACACTTCTATAAATTAATGAATGTATTGGTAATTCTATTAAAGAGTTTTATTATAAATAAAAGAATGATATATATATATATATATATATATATTCTTAATGTAATCTTAATATTTTATAAATAATCTCTATGGCATAAAACAAATATTTTTTACATTTTCTTTTAAAATAGAATATTTTTATTCATTTCATATATATTTAAAATTAAACTTATAAATAATTTTATTAAACTTAAGTTATACAATGTTCAAAAAGATGAACTAGTAATACTCTAATTTTTAGAATCGAATTTTTTTTAAATAAAGTCACGAGAAAAAATTCTGTTTGACTTTTTTTTAATTATATAAACGTAGTATCATATTTTGTGGATTTCATAATTAATAACAGATTGTTCTATATAGTAAAATTTGTGACCGAAGTAGCACTATCACAAAAAAGTATATCAATGTTGATGTGTATTAGGAAATTGTTCAATGATTTTATTGCACTCCCTTAATAAAAAGTCAAATATTATATATACATATATATTAATTTTAAAACAGAAAAAATACATAAAAATCAATTAGAAGCAGCTTTTTTTTTACTATTTTCATATAAAGATAATCTTACATGATAAAAATTATTTTAAAGTATTAACTTAACAAGAATATTTTTGTTAAACATATGTTTATATAGATATCATGAAAATTATTCCATATATAATCTATCCTACAGACGAAACTATTAAATCAGCAACATCTGGATCTTGACAAAGAACAGATAACTGCATTGTAACTTGTGTTCCGTTTAGTGCTAATCTTGCACGTGCTAATACTTCCTTTCCCCCTCGGAAGACACCGCTTAGGAGCAGATTGTGCGCAGCTGCTCCACTTTGTACCTTGTTACTGCGTTCTACAGCCTCTAAGCCCAAAAATCCCGTAAGACTTTGAATCGCTCCTTCCAAGGAAGTCACCGAAGCTCCCAAGGCAAATGTTTCCTCTAACTTGACAAATCCTTTCGCAGCAAACGTATCCCAAGCGGTATTAAAATCAACGCCTCTATTACCAACGCCACGTACTTGATCGGCTAAAGTCACCTCCAAATCTTCCAACTAAAATATATATATATATATATAAATGTAGGAAATAATTTTTGATATATGTATAATACAACAAAAATTCTGTTACAAATAAATATTTAAACAAATATATTCTCTCTTATGAACTTTAAAAAAAATATTAATCTTATCGCAAATCTATTCACTTTATCAACGATTCGCATATATAATGAGAAATAAACATAAGAATATGATTCTTCTTATAATATAAAATTAATTTTCTTTTTACCATGTATTCATCACGGTATCCTTGTTCCGCATCTGGTATTCCTGTCGTTGGATCGCAATCTCTCGCCATAAATCGAAGAGTTGTAGCAATGGTAGCGACACTCGCATGTACATCTTCCGGATATTTTAATACTGTATAAGTGGTTCCTGGCTCGTTGTAAGGTAATCGTGGACATGGTACCATGCATACAACAGAGTAGCTAGAAATTGAGATAGCTCGTTATAACATTTGTTGCAAGAATAATATACAAAGTAAATATAGTCACATTGATAATTACCCCTCGGAAGGCTCAACAGCTACTACTACATCCTCGAGGAGCTGATCAGAAAGAGTATTGACACAGTCAAACTGCAAGATGAGATATTCGGGAAATGTATGCTTGATACATTTAACGTTGTATTCTGTTTCGGATTCGGTTAGTTCAAACACTGATGAAGATTTAAGAAGCGACGTGTCTCGGGTAACCACAGCCAAATGCGGGATTTGTGATAATTTCTCCATAAAGCTTTCTTCTCTGGTCAAACGAGGTTGTTTGACAGTGGTGTGTACTTCTACTTGAGCTGGTTCTTCTATCGTCTGAGCCGGCGGTACCTGTAACATATACACAAGGCTCGATAATCATTGATAAATAATAAAGATATGTAATAATAATATATAATTTTTTATTTAAAAAAAAAAAATATATATATATAATCGAAAACTTTCCGACAGAGAAAAAGTAGAAAAAGCATCAAATATAAAAATTAATCTCGTTAGAAATGTCCCTCGTCTTCTTTACGATTGATATTCCGAGAAAATGAAAAGAAAATACCTGAGAAATGTCAAACAATTCTTCCATAGGTGTCTGCATATAATTCCGCAATGCTCTTTCTAGAGTCGGCACAGACAACGCAGGTGGTTGCACCAAGGGCAGCATGGTCGGATCGTTTTGCTGCTGCAAGATGGTGCAGTAATAAGCTGCACGATCGCGAACCTCGTCGTCTGAATCCAGCTGACAACGCGATAACAGGACCAAGACATTTGGGAGCAAAGGTGGACAGGCAGCGGCGAAACGCGCTAGAGCAGTAACGGCTGCGGCGCGCACACTGGCGCTCTCGAGGATTACGCGATTGTAAATGAAACGGATATATCTCGACGGTTGTTTCGATGTTGGGCCTTCCTGTCCGAGTAAATGCAAAATGCGGACAGCAAGGGAGATGTGCTCGCAGTCCTCGATGAATTCGCAGAGATGCGCGAGCCCCGCTTCCTTGGCTTCTGCATTTCCTTCCATTACAGCTATAATAGTGTCGGCGATTGCCGCTTTGTATTCGAGTCCGCCTTCGTCTCTCAACATAGCAGAGAGAAAGTTCATCAAAACTGCATGTTTACGAGGAAACTTTTGACACAAAGCTCTGAAAGAAAACACGGGAAAAGAATTAAGAACAAAATAAAATGTTTATCCAAATGATTTGCAGCATCAAACTTACCTGATGGCTTGTACCACCACCACTTTAAACTCGTCCGAAATTTCCGACACAAATGTAGCGATCTGCTTCATTAAACGGTCCACTGAACTTTCCGCTCCAGTTTTTAAAAGAGTAGTAATCGCTAAAGTAGCGATCGACCTGTTCGAGTCTGTAATCAAATTTTCCAGATCCAAATTACACGCTGTGACTGCCGCTGGATGAGACATCGCGACCTTATTCAGGGTTCTAACAGCAGCAAATCGAAGGGCCGGTTTCTGCGAACCGCAGAAGAGTTGCAAAACGCTAATCGCAGGTCCGATTTCTCTGGCGCCACTTCGTCCAAGATTGACTAGAGCGTGCGCCGCCTCGTACACCACCATTTCCGATTTGTGACGCAGACACGATTCGATGAAACCGATTAATTCCTCACCCTCATCCACCTCGTCTAATAATTTATACGCCATTCTAATTAGCATGCACGCCGCATAAGGGCTTTTTGGACTTGTTTTCATAAGTTTAGCAACTAGTTTGATCACTGCATGCTTATCTGTCTTGCGCGCTTGGTACAGGACACCCAAAGCATGATACTGAACCATTACATTGTTAGAATTTAATGCTTCTTGCGCCTCGTTCGCCCATCTCCTCGCAACGTCACCAGACACGCTCGTCAAATGCAGAGAGGAGACAAGAGCAGCACTGGATACAGCTGGTGAACGGTCGACTATGGCTTGCTTCATATATCGTTCAATGGCTGCTAACATACTGCTATCGGTTATGGTACAAAGTGCCCGGATAGCAGCAGCCCTATATAAGTCCTCCTTTCCTGTCATATCTTTCGTAAGACTGGAAGTAACTATAATTACATCCTCAGCTAAAGAACTCAATTCTTTGATGCCTAAATAAACCAATCGCCTCAATATAACATCGCGTGATTGAAATAGTTTGGTCATAGCGAAGAAAGCCTCTGTCGCTTCCATTGTGCCCAATTGTTCGCCTTGATTGAGCAGATACAAGATCTTGGTAAGAATGTGAGCACATTTTCTTGGATTTACAGGTGTATTATTAAATGTGCGGGCTTCTTGCAGAACCGTAGTCTTTTCCAAGTTTTGAAAAGGATTTCCACCACCTGATTCAACAAGAAAAGTATGTGACGATACAACTTGACATTAAACATTAAATCTTATGTATCGCAATAATTAAAAATGTATATTTCCGAAAAAAGAAATTATATACGATAATTATAAACCTAAGGTTATATTTCAAAGTTATAATTATTATTGACATTTGTGGAAATATGTTTACTAGTAACTGTCAGTTGAAGGATTAACCTATAATAATCGGAGTGCAATTTGCACACGATCAATGATTATGCACAAATATTAATAATTACCATCTTCTTCCTCTTTCTTGTCTCGTTTAAACGCAATCATTTTGTTGCGAATAAAATATCACAAAGTAGAAAGATGCTATGACACGTCAGCCCGTGCTTCTAGGCTTCTACACGACCATCGCGGTTGGGCTGCGTTCGAAAACTATACATTCGGTGTGGTTTCGTGATTTAAGAAATGGAGGGGATACAGTGGTATCGATTCTGTAATTTCTTCTAAAGTAAAAATGTGAAAAGTGAAAAATTTCCGCCAATTACAAATTGAATTTAAAATAAAATCGATATGCAATTGATGGAAATTATTCACTTTAGAAAAAGTTACAGAATCGATACCAGTGTGTTCTCGGGTGTAGAGTGTTTCCGAACGGATGCGTATCGAATCGGGAATTTTTATATTCGACAGCCAATTGGACGATTCGCAAAAGACTCGACAATTGGACAAAATTACTAGATTTTCCGATGTCATTCGACGCTGATTGGCTAGATTCAAAAGCTTCTACCAATCACGTTCGCTGAGTGGGCAATGTTTACACAGGAATCGATATGATTTATTTAACACTTGTAGGTCGGAACTCTCGTAAATATTACGTCCGTGATTGTAGCAGTAACCGCAGAAAATCCAATATGGTGTCTCTCGTTCAGCGGTTTACGTCGGATGTACGTATTTTGAGATAAAATCCTAGTCCGGCGACCGCATAAATAACAATAATGATGAAAATTCGATTGAAAGGGTCGCGTTGCACGTAAAAACTCTCATGCCACTGTGTCTCGCGCACGATTGACAGCCGTAAAGGGATCGGTGCCTCGAAGACAGTGGCCGAGAACTCCTGTCTTCCTAGGTGTGTAGACAATTTTCAGACGTAAAAGGAAAATTCAAAAATGGAAACTGACAAGGTGGAGAGTAACACGGGAATAAGTGATTCGGAAGCGGCGACGATCAAAATCAAAGAGAAAAAACGGAACTCGATCGCAGACATCGCGACCTTAGATATCAAGTCGCGCCTTAATTTGGACAAAACGGAGGAGGTTTGCAACGAGCCTCACGTTAACGGGGTAACTCAAGTGAACGGTGTCTGCGATTCTCCTCAAAGAACTGCCGATGTCGCCGATCTTTCCCCGCAATCCGAAACAATGGAAGCTAGTCATTTAAACCAACATGGTATGCGATGCTAGCTTACTGTACTATGTGCGCAACACAAATACAAACTTCTCTAAAGAGACTTTCTCTCTATAGAAATAATATACGTGCGAGCATTTTATTGCTTGTGCATATTACTATCTATTACTATAAAAGATGTGTCATATATGTTAATCTTTATATAATACTTAATATATATTTTTTTGTATGTATAATGTCAAGTTAAATGCAGACTATTCTAAAGTTTTTTTTGTTAATATTTTTAAATTATATAAACTATACGTCAAGTTCAAGATATTACCTGTAACAAAATTGTATAATAACAATAATTGTTTACTTGTACTTTTATATAGAATACTAAGATTTGTAATGAAAACTCACTCTTTGTTACAGAACAAGCAGAAACATTATCCATGGAAAGTAAAGACAACGATATCCAATATGTTAGCTATATGAGTGAATTACAAATGCCTGATATTATGAAATTAATACAGAAAGACCTAAGTGAACCATACTCTATTTACACATATAGATATTTTATTCATAACTGGCCGAAATTGTGCTTCCTGGTACGTGCATTTTAAAAGATTTTTACCCTATTTCTGTATTCGAGTAATGTTTTGTATATTGAACATTATGAAATGCTAGAATGTTAATAAGATCTTGGCGAGTTTTATCTATATATATATATATATATATATATATATATATATATTTGTGCTCGGACTTTCGAAAGATATTAATATGGCTTTGGATAATGTGAAGGAACTTAGCCACAGTTTTGGTTCGATTCTTTTCACTTTCAGGTGTAGAATTTATAGGAAACTTGCTTTTTGTTTGTCAAGGCAATGCATGGTGATGAGTGCGTCGGTGCCATCGTCTGCAAACTGGACATCCATAGGAAGGTGATAAAGCGCGGTTATATCGCGATGCTAGCTGTTGATGTGAAATTTCGAAAACGGAAGATCGGATCGAATCTCGTGAGGCGAGCCATCCAGGCGATGGTGAAGGACGATGCGGACGAGGTAGTTCTGGAGACGGAAATCACTAACAGGCCAGCGCTACGTTTATACGAGAATCTTGGATTTGTGCGTGATAAACGATTATTTCGATATTACTTAAATGGCGTGGATGCATTGCGACTAAAATTATGGCTCAGGTGAAATTCATTCACATGCTTGTGTCAATAGGTATTTAAATAATTACAATGTTGAAGAGATGTAACATCTATGCTCTACTATATCAGGCAAATGTGTGACATTAATATCAAAGAGATTATATGTTTTTACACATACAAATATATTTTTAATCGCAATATTGTGCTGTTTATTGTTTCAACATTATTAGACATTTAATTTTTGATTATTAATTATGTTCAAAACATGTACATATAAATAGCTTTATGTTACAAGAATATTCTTATTATTATATTGTCTTTTATGTCTAAAACAATATTTAACAATGAATTTATTTTTCACATCAAGCTAAATCTACTCTATCAATTTCCAACAGCCTACTGACTATATATGTCTATGCAGGATAGTATATATATATATATATAAATAATATATCATTTATTGATAGTGCCTAACTGTTGCCTGACTGTTAGTTACTTTCTTTAAAAATTTCCTGCTTTCTTTGATATTAATGTCAGTTAAAGAGATAAATTTTAATTGCAGCTTGAGGATGTAAAAGTAAAGAGTGATAGCAAGAGACAGAATCGAGAGTGAAAAGTGTACTGAAAATAATCAATGTATTGCTGCAAATCACATTGATCAAATGTACATCTTGAAGCATGTTTTATAATTACTTCAAAAGAAATTTATATCGTTACTACTATAATTTATAAGCATGAAGATTTTATATAAAATTATAAATACAAAATGTGTTTTGTTATTAGATAGATGTAACTACAAAGATGAATGGATTAAATTAAAAGAAATGAAAAAATGCATAAACATTAATATAGTAAAAAGCCAATTTTTTCATACAATTTTACATACAATTTTTCATACAATTTTCTTAATCTAATGTAATCAATTATGGCAATAGACTTCAATATTTATAAACGAACATTATCTTCATCATCAACAAAAATTTCCAAAAGTGAACTGAAAGATAATTTATAAAATATTTTAAATAAAAAGGGAGATATTTATATATGTATATATATATTTTTTTCATTATCTTTCAGTATTGAATTCAATTTTTATTTCAATGTCAACATATATAATTAATGGGTTTAATAACATTGATTAAAAATTATTACATCATACATTATAGACAATTATCGTGTAAAGTTGTGTCAAGTGTACCATTTTGTCAGTGTGAACAGCAGTTTAATAGAAATAAAGATAAAGAAGAAAAGACAAACTCTTTCTCTCTCTTTCTCTCTCCGCGACTGAAGAACAGTGCAACTTTAGATAAAATATTTCTTAACTAACTTAGTTAAAAATTGTAAAGTAATATACATACACACAGGACACACATGCGCGAAATATATATATATATATATATATATATATATATATATATATATATATTATTAAACGGATGACGAAAAAGAAATTATCATTTCACAATTGAAATATTACGTGGGAAATGACGCTTCATGAGAATGGTATGCATTACTGTCGATCCATTATATCTATCCTTGTATAAAATAAATGCGAAGCACAGATCATAATGTAACTATTAAAAATGTAAAAAATGTTAATAAAAATACATAAATGTTTTTACAGATGTTTTATGCGTCACATTTATTTACTTGTAAAAATTATTACTGTATTTCCCAAAAAATAATTTTTGCATTTTAATTATATATATATATATATCTGTAAAATATATTATTTATTTATTTTTAATTTTCTTTAAATATTAATTATTGAAACTATATATAATCTAATTTGTCCCTTATTGTATTTTAAGTATATACTCTAATATAGTAAATATCTTCAATAATTAATATTTAAAGAAATTTATAAAAATATATATTATAAATATATATAATACATATATTAATCGAGTAGAAAGCTAAAAGTATTTAAAATAGCATATTTTTATAAAGAAAAAATTTATTTTTAATAGAACTTTCTCTTAAAATATACATAATAAAAAAATATAAAATAATACATGTTGGGGGAAAAATTGGTAATTTAAATTTATTTGTGAAAAAATTTAATTAAATTTAGACTGCATTTTTTTATATATTGTAAATATAATAAAATAGTAAAGAAATAATATTTTATTAAGAGAAGAACAACCAATGTAACGACTGCTAATTGGTTCCGCCATTTGTCAATCTTCAACGTCATCGCTTCTTGTCGTAACCAATTAATCTTTTGCTTTGACGGACAACTGTAAATCGATTGGCTATCTTCTAGGGACCCTAGACGCGTCCAGCGTGCAAGAGCCCTATTCGTCAATTATTTCGAATATCTACATCTAGATAGTTAATACTCTATGTATTTTATATTTTCTATGCTCAGTTAGCATTCGCCATTTGTCTCCCAAGCCCACTCGGAGTCCCTTGAAATCAACCGGAGGTGTACGTTGTGGTAAGCGAAGCCTGTTTCTTTTTATAATCCGAATCGTATCGTCGATAAAAAAAAGCGATCCTTTCACAAAATATATGAAATGACATTCCATGTTCTTTCAACTTGCAATAAAATTCTATAAAAGTTTTCATTTTAGAGACCAAATATACATTTTCAAGCTTAATTAATTGCATGATGCAAGCGTCTCTTCTCGGCACCGGATGGTTGCCGCCAAGAAAATACTTCGATAAATTATTGATATATTGAACGGTATATTTGTAATATTGTTTTATTACCGTTTATTATTCGTCGATAGTCTTCGATTTCTTGTAATCTATCATTTGATGCGCGATATTCAATGTATTTGGTAGTAGAATTTTACGGTTAATAGCATGGCGTCGATAGCAAAGCGGCGGCCATTACACGAACGCGTTTTCGGCAAAATCGTTATTTGTAAAAGAACGCAATGATAAATTAATATGTTTATAGATAATTCTTTCTCTCTCTCTCGCTTGTTATTTACGGAAAACAAACATGATACATATAACATGTAACGTTAATTTGATTATCGATATTATCTATATTTTTTAAACGAAAAAGATGATTAGAGCATTTATTTCCTTATATGCATAATTTCGACACATTGCAATATTATTTTAACAGAGAGAAAGAGCGCACATTGTATTTCTTATATATTTCTTTAAAGAGACTATATATATATTTTTTTGGAAAGCAGCAGTAGTTTTATATTTATATATTTCTTGATTATATATATGGAAACAGATTTTATATATTTATGATCATCTTTTATAATATACAAGATGTGAAAAAATATTTTAAAGAATTAAAACAACTAGACTTGGTATATTATTAATGAAATTATTTTTTTCATTTTTATTGCCTCTTTCCAAAGAGATAAATGTTTAATTTATATTAAATAACATCTCAATTTATACTATTATATATCTGATTTTATAAATTTCATTCTTGATCTTAGTTCCAATCTTGGAGTGATTATTTAAGACGACAATGGCGGATAATGATGATCTCTTGGATTACGAGGATGAAGAACAAACTGAACAAGTAGTTGATGGAAGTGGAGATGTTCCTGCAAAGAACAAAGAAGTAAAGGGCACATATGTCTCTATCCACAGCAGTGGGTTTAGAGATTTCCTTCTTAAACCAGAGATTTTACGAGCTATTGTTGATTGTGGTTTTGAACATCCATCTGAAGGTGAATAACATAACTGTTTAAACTTTCTAATAGATTTTACTTTAGTTTAATCTACTCAAAATTACAATGATGAATCTCAACTTAGATAGGGACAACTGGATTTTCATGATTGAATACTTTTCAGTCATGAATGCTGATAACTATTTCTGATGTTACAGCTTACTAATATAATCATGTTTTTTATTTCACTACATATGAATAAAACAAGTTTATTGTTTACAGTACAACATGAATGTATTCCTCAAGCAGTACTTGGCATGGATATACTGTGTCAAGCAAAATCAGGCATGGGGAAAACTGCTGTATTTGTATTAGCTACTCTTCAACAACTGGAATTAACAGAAAATCAAGTCTACGTCTTGGTCATGTGTCACACTCGAGAATTAGCTTTCCAAATTAGTAAAGAATATGAGAGATTTAGCAAATATATGCCGCATGTAAAAGTAAGTTTTATAAAGTTTTAATTGTATATAAGCTATATATGTATAAAGAAAAATATTGATATAATAATAATAGTTTTACTTTTTCAAATTTTAAATTAATACATATAAATCTCATTTGATAAATATGTGGTTATTACTAAATATTTTATATGCTATTTATAAAAAAAAAATAGAAAATCTATATCTTCTGATCTTTCTAAAATTTGAATTTTTTTTAGGTTGGTGTATTTTTTGGTGGATTACCTATTCAGAAAGATGAAGAAGTCTTAAAAACTGTATGCCCTCATATTGTTGTTGGTACCCCTGGTCGTATCCTCGCTCTTGTACGGAATAAGAAATTAAACCTGAAACATCTGAAACATTTTATACTTGACGAATGTGACAAGATGCTCGAGTTATTAGGTATGGTATAAATAATTTAAATATTATTTAACATAATATTTTATATATTGTTGGAAAGAATTTTTACATGATGTACAAAACAAATCTTAGTTCACATGATGACTACCCTTTACCACTACCCAATTACTGAGCAATTATTTAAAATTTACTTTTTTAAATATTTTAAATGAGATGCAAAAATAGTTATATTTGCACTACAATTATTGTTACAGATATGCGCAGAGATGTACAGGAAATATTTAGAAGCACACCACATAGCAAACAAGTCATGATGTTCAGCGCCACATTGTCCAAGGAAATACGTCCTGTCTGCAAAAAGTTCATGCAAGATGTAATTACACAATCTTCCTCTTCACTTCAATCTACAATTGCTTCTACTTCGTTGGTCCCATATTTGTATCCAGGACAAAGCTCAGCCCACACTATAAATATCATTATCAACGCATCCGCGGGTTAGGCGACTTAAACGTCACTTCGAAGAAGTACAGAATTTGGGAATGAATCCCATTCGGTATCTTTCGTAAACGGCGCACAATCATATGCTCGACACTCATGCCTAACATAATGTCTCCTTCCAAGCCTAAACTTTGTATTGGATGTGTCAACATCTGCATACATATATATATATATATTTATATATATATGGAGAGCAAGGATATTTGTTTTTCAATTGATTCTTTGACCGTTCAAAATGGCATATTTGAAAGATCTGATTTAGAGTTTTGATCAATGATAAAGTTTTTAATTTGTTGATTGCTATGCATTTAAAGAGCAATATAATACATAAAGATGTGTTAGAAATAATGGGAAAAAAGATAGAGTATAAAATATTTCTGCATTTCTATTGATAATTGTTATGACTTAATAGGATAGAATTGAAATATGTACAATTAACTTGCAATATGGGTGGGGGGGAAGGGGGGAGGGCCCAAGAAGACTTCAAGACAACCTCAAGACAGAAGAGTGCAAGAAAGAAGATACAAGAGGATACCCAGGGGGATAATTAAATTAGGGTTATAACTAGGGGAAGAATCTAAAATGAGAGCGTAGCATATATAATTAACATATATTTACGCGTTCATTACAAAACATTAAAATTTTCTTTATGCAAAAATTTTTATTGCTCTTTACGGTCTTAAAATTGAGGCTGGACGAGAAGACGAAAATGCCATGTATAAATCGAGCAAGCTATTTCTGCTATAGAAAGCGATAAAGTCACGTGAAAGCCAAACGCAAATCTTCAGGTATCACGATTCTTTATTTTGCACGAGTGAAATAAAATCGAGTCGCGAGTCTATGGATACCGAAAGTGTTAAAATTTAAGTGAAAAACCGAGAATATATGCCAGCTAATTAATATGAATCAATTCTGGGCATCTTCTCAATGTGCCAGAAATTTGGGAGAAGAGATTTGGCATCGAGTGGCCAGCGGATGTGATTGGACGTTCTCTCACGAGTGCGTCTTCTTAAGTTCAATTGGGGTGAACTGCCTGTTTTCGTTGTTGACACTATCCAGAGGTGGAACTCGCCGGACCGTATGTAATCTGTATGATTAATCCCGATCGACGAGATAATTCCACATTTATTCTGCAATCAAAACACGAGAGAGTCTATACTGAGAGACTTTCGACATTTTACAGACGTGTATATATATATATGTATATATGCATATATATTATGGATATATATGTATATATTTATATGATAACTTACGAATATAATTGCATCTAATCGTCTCCCAAGAAAGAAAACAAAAAGTAGTACTTTTTTTTTTTTTTTTTTTTACACCTCAAATATCAACTCTTGTTACAGCGATATGTAAAAAACAATATAACTATATCAAGGAAGTAGTATTATACATTTATTTTTATTGATTTTTAATCATTGTGTATGTTGTCTTTTCAAATACTATATATTTAATCACGCGATACTTGGAGTATCAGTATACAAAATGACGTTATAGAATCACAAAATCCCACAGTCTGAAAATTAGATAGGCATTATAAATTGATTTTTGTTTATCTCATGGAAAAATAACGTTCTTTGTGCAGCCCATGGAAGTCTATGTTGATGACGAAGCAAAACTCACTTTAAACGGTCTGCAACAACATTACGTTAAATTGAAGGAGAATGAGAAGAACAAGAAATTGTTTGAACTACTTGATGTTCTTGAATTTAATCAGGTTTGTTTTGCAAATTAGGACAATCTTGCAATGCATTTTTCTTATTGGAAAGAATCTTTATATGATGATTCAACAATTTTCTTACTTCATCATGATGACTCTGTTCTACCACTATCCATCAAATCTGACCCAGATTCTTCCAAGTATCTACATCGAAATTGTCTTAAATTAATTGTTTATTACGATAACACAGGTATCTTGAAATATAGACGATATGTGATTTATGAATTATGCTCTGTATAGGTTGTCATATTTGTCAAGTCTGTCCAAAGATGCATGGCTTTAGCGCAACTCTTGACAGAACAAAATTTCCCTGCAATTGGAATTCATCGAGGTATGACACAAGAAGAGCGATTATCTAGATATCAACAATTTAAGGATTTTCAGAAGGTAAATGATTTAGTCATCGAGTTTAATAAAGCTCAATTTAGAGAGAATACATAATATAAGTAAGTTAAACAAAACTATAAATATAAAATATGGAATAACATTATTTTCAGCGTATTTTGGTAGCGACAAACTTGTTTGGACGAGGTATGGACATAGAACGTGTGAACATTGTATTTAATTACGATATGCCAGAAGATTCCGACACATATTTACATAGAGTGGCACGCGCTGGTCGTTTTGGCACAAAGGTAATAATTTAACTCTGTAATTTCCAAGATAAAATTTGATATTCCAATCTCTATGTATATATGTGAAAAATAGTTTCACATTTTCTCTAAATATTTGAAGAAGATTACAGGGTGCCCGGTAATAGTCACGTCAACCGTCGTGTGCAGGTAGAGCACGTTAAACTGAATAGAAACGTCTTATACTATTTTGCTAAATTCGCAATAATTATTGAATTATTAATTAAAATATCTAAGCGAATGAGCGATGGAAAGCGGTAGGCCAGACTCGGTGGGCATGTCGGATGGCTGTCGCTTAATAGCAAAAGTATCATTTTACTTTTCGGCGCCGCTACATTGTTCAGCGCTCGCTGTATGACGCCGCCTCTCGATCATATAATGCTTTTGTTTCTAAGCGACTTAAATAAGTCATTCGACATGTCCGCCGAGTCCGGCCTACCGCTTTTCACTCGCTCATTTGCTTGGATATTTTAATTAATAACTCGATAATTATTTTAAATTTAGCAAAATAGTATAAGACTTTTCTATTCAGTTGAAGTGCTCTATCTGCTCACGACGGTTGACGCGACTATTACCGGACATCCTGTATACAATATATATGTGTACAATTGGTAATCTATATTTTTGAAATCTGTATAAAATTTATGAATTTTATTATATTTTACATTATGCTGACAAAATAAGAACAAAGTATTTGATATTGGCTTATTTTTGGAATAATCAATTTAAATCGCAGGAATGATTCTAATCTGATTAACTTTTATGGTCTACATTTTTCTTTTTTTAATATTTAAAATATTTAATAATTTAGGAACATTTTGATTTCAGGGTCTTGCCATCACATTAGTAAGCGATGAAAGTGATGCAAAGATATTGAATGATGTTCAAGAAAGATTTGACGTAAATATTACAGAATTACCGGACGAAATCGATCTTGCTTCATACAGTAAGTATATATATATATTTTTTTTAACTACCATATGTCTAATGTCATATTAATCATTATTTTTATTTTTAACAGTTGAAGGGCGATGAATTGAATTGTACTATCACAATAAAATCTTTTAAAACACTATTTAAGTGAGTATATTTATAATTTAATAAAAAATAATATTAAGCATAAAAAATATATATTCAAATAAAATATTTTTTGGGGTGGTGCAGAAATATTTTATTCCACCTATTAACAAGAATGGACACGAAATAATGATTGAAGTAATTATGATAAATATATAAAAGAATAAAATAATGTTGCACACTCTTACTGCAAAAAAAGTCATGTATAAGTGTATTATTTTAATAATATGACCAATTCACATAATCATACAATTACTTTGAAAATCTACACAATAAACTATATAGACATAATATATGTAGAGTTTCTAGAGTGTTTAACAGTAGAGGTCGAAATGCACGCAGAAAAAACCACTGTTTCGTGTTCCCTTGCTTCCATGCGAGGAGCAGAATGAGTCCTTTTCTACATGCATCTTTATTTCCATCCCTTAAAACTAAATACTCTGTTTATACTATGTCTAAAAACTAATCTTAATAAAAATGTACATTACACATTATATGTCTTATTCCATTAGATTAGACTATATTAGAAAACAAGTCCTATGTATAATAAATTATTGAAGAGTGCAGTCTCCTTACATTTCACAATCCTTTCCTGTGAAAGTATTAAAGTACCAAAATAAAAACTTTTTATAATAGAAAATTCCTATTTATAATTTGGATTTAAAGATAAGGATTAAAGGAAAAGATTTTTTTTACAATTTACGAAACAAAACATACTATATATTCCATAAGAAAAATATACTATGATCATATTGGTTTCCAATTTAACTCTTACAACAATAAGTTTTTATTAATACTTTTATTGCCTATCACACTACTGCAACGTGCAGAAAGAAATTTAACATAATTTTTTTATATACATCAATACGAAGATTTTACATACACACATATGTATATATGACTCCCATTAGCATACGAATGTACGATTAAGATCAATGTTATTGCCATGAATAAATTGTCTTTGTACTAGCATTACATAAATCCAGTTGCACCAAACTTTTTTATATATAAAATTATATAAAACAAAAAATTGATTAAAAGAAGCTTTCGTAAAAAGTTAAATGATATTGAGGTATTCATAATGAGTTAATTGCAATAGAATATAAATAATATAATTAGTTTTATTTAGGTCTTGGTTTATTTTGTGATTTATTCCCAACTTGTGTACCGCCTCCACGGCTTAACGGTGCTGGACCTCTCCCTCCTCTACCAAAAGTACCTGTAAAATATAAACATGTACCAATAATTCAAAATTTTTAGAATACATATTGTAGTTTATGATTTACATTTTTTAGTTTTTTAAATCTAATTTTCAAAAAACTGATTTTTTTTAATTTACTTTTAATTTAAAAAATTATTGACAAGCATTTGATATTTTTGCTATGTTTAAAATTTGTCAAAAAATTTACAACTTGGTGATAGAAAAATAAACAGAGAAATATATATTGCAAATGATTATGGCTAGTTTAAAGACTAATGTGGCAAGCAATGCGCAAATTGTTCCTACATTTAATATTCAGAGCCTACCTTTACAATATATATGTGCATGTAAAAGATTAAATTTACTACAGCATTACCTCTTCCACTACCACGACCTCTTTGACTCTGGCCTCGACCTTTCATTTCCCCACGTCCTCTCGATTTCATTTGTATATCTTCTTTCACCATGTCTATTACTTCATCAGGAATTCTCAAATATTTTATTGTGCTGCCTCTTATATAGCACTCGGGCATCCTCCAGAACTTGTCACCATCCTACAATACAATTGTTAAATATTAATAGCAAATATTTATAAACAAAACTAGGCTTTTTGAGTTAGTTCCAATCAATTTAATGCATTTCTAGATTACTCATAACATTATTCATTTTTTTCAGTTTATTGTCACATTTCTTATATAAATTACACTACATTATATTACTACAAATAAATTATACTACATTATATTAAAAATTAAAGATGCATGTAGGATAATCATACCCTTGAAGTACATATAACTTCTCTGAGGTTTATGTTCATCCAGTTGTCGCAACTAACTAAATGACCATTATATGTCTCTCCATTCTTTAGCTCTACCAACTACAACAACATTTAATTTGATTACAATATATTGCAATTTAAATAAATATATACTTTTTTTCAGAAGATATATAAAAATTCCAAATTTACCATGGGATGATTTTGCGCCGTCTTTAACAAAGTTAAAGGTAACTGAAAAATTAAAATCATATATATATATTAAAAAGATCGAAATATTACCTTTTTCGTTTTTACATGAGAATACTAAACATACCATTGTATTTATAAAAATGATATATTAAAATACACTCTATACATAAACACCTTCTTGTATAGGTTATGCGTCAATTTGAAAATAATACTTCCATATATTTTTCTTTTCTCTACAGTCCCTAGACTCCCTAGATATTTCTGCACTTGAAAAAAAGATGAATATATATAGATTTTAACAAGAGAGAAAAAACGAAAGACTACTGGTGTAGAAGCGCAAGCAAAACGAACGGACCCAAGTTCGATTAAACGTCAAACCTCTGATTGGTCAATTATGCTAGTTACTTTAGGTATCGATCGCTGTGATTGGTTGCGTCGAAACATGTATTTAAACGAAACGCTCTCTACCGGTGTTACTCTCACTTACGAAACTTTATAGTTTTTGGCTGAATGCGTTGCATGCACAATAAATTATCAAAAAATTTTGCAAATTGCAATAATACATTTTTTATTACAAGATTTTGAAGTTCGGCAAACAAATTGCAAAGAATGTACGTATACATATATAATTTAATTATCTAATTTTATAAAAGTAGAAGAAAAGATTATAATTTTCCTTTAAATTAGAAAAAAAATTTCATAAACGGAATATTATAAAAGATATTTAATTATTTCAAAATTTTGCTATAATATATATATATTATACACACGCATATTATGACAACTATAAATAGTCATATATTCAAGCTGCACTCATCACAATAATAATAATAATAATAATATATATATATATATATATATATATATATATATATATATATATGATATATGGGAATTGCATAAATATATATAGAACATACATAGTTTTGTGAATAAAACAATCTCGCAACGTTGTATATATATATATATATATATATATATATATATATATATATACTATCGTCTATATACTATATGACTAAGATCTTGAAGAACATGTTTTATCGTTTTATTATGTAAATTATATATTACATTAGATTATTTATAATATATATACATTTCACCATTAGAGTTTGTTGGCGTTCCTTGACACGTTATCAGACGTGTTTCGTCTGAAAATTTTTTTTCCTTTGTGTTACAAATATACCCGCTGATCGTGCCCCTTAATCAATTTACTTTTTAAATATCAATTAATTATAATCCGCTGATGGCCGAAAGTCGTATTGAGACTGGGTCAAAAAGAATTTATAAGAAGATTTCACCATTAATAAGAAAATGTAGAAGAAAATTTTACATTATATGATAGCGGTAGATATAAGATTATATTAATATTATTCAAAATTTATTTAAATATAAATTTTTATCGTAATATGAGTAGTTTAATAAATTTATTATAATTTGAGAAAATCAGTATAATATTTCGAAATATAGAAAAAAATGGATATAAGAATATCTTTTGAATTTTGTACGCAGACCGGCAAAATAATAGTGTGCTAGCTTTGAGACTTTATAATTATATACGCCAATCACACGCGCGGGTTGCAAACAATAATTATACGGATGTTATAAACTACTAGTATATATATATATAATATATATAATAAATGTTGCTGAATTGAATAACAATCGAAAGACGATCACTTGTTTGAAACTTTGCGGTATCCTTTGCAAAGACGAAGAATGGCGGTATTTTTTAATCAGAGCCATTGTCTCTTGATTATATTTACATTTATCAACAATGTTATGTTGAAGTTAAAACGGATGTATATACGAGCGTGCATACATACATCGGTATACGTACGTCCTCGACCAGTGCCGATCTTCGCAGCACGCAAGCCCACCACAGGTAAGGCTCATATACTCGGCTTACATATGAGTATCTCGCCCACGACGAAAAACAAGTCGCGTGCGCGCGCGAGACTCCGACATTATTGTCACGCGCGACAGTCCATCGCGCCGTTTATCGCGTCTACCGGCATACAATTGCTCGCTACCAAATTGGAGAGAGAGACATTTCCACGTATTTTTCTTTGATGCATGTCTGACAATTCGTATGCAAAAAATTGTAAGTATATATAAAAAAAATATCGTCATTCTTCTCTCGCCATTATGCGGATTTTATGTTTATTCATACTTTTATGTATATACGTGAGAAACAATGAAGAAGCATAAAATAATATCGATATAACAATAATTCTCGAACATTTTTAGAGTTTCTGCTACTAATTATTTTTTTTAAATATCAAATCTTTATTTTTTAAGAAGCATTATAAATAAAGTGTTCGCTTCCTTTTCGATAAAAATCGCCCAATGTCATGTTTAAAAGTTATCTGTACAATATATACTATACATTTACATATTTGAGAAAGGAAAAATTATTATTAACTAGCCAAAGTTATACAATTTTCACGAGAATTTGTCACCAAATTTGTTTGTATATATATATATGAGATATATTATTAATAATAATTATATCTTATATATATATATATATATATTTAAAATCGTTTCTTAATTCATGATGCATTTCATAAAACTCATTTGTTATCGTATTTGAGTGCTATATAATATATGTAATAAAAATACAATAAAGATAAAAAGTTTTTTGAGAAAACTTGCGACAGTTTTCACAATTTTATATATCATTTCTGTAAAAAAGAAAGAAAATTTCTATCAAAAAATATTTGTGTGATCACTATAAATATATATATATTCTATATAAACAAAGTTCTCTCGCTAATAAACGCGCGAAATCAACAATGTATCATATGTTTGAGATAGTGAGAATGTTATCGGTACGCTATAGACAAAAATGTGGATTAACAATAACAATATTAGATACACGTAGTATTAATCTAGAATTTAAAAATTATTTTATATCTATATATGTGACTCTCTCGCGCGACATGGAAAACAATTATTAATCTTAAAAAAAAAAAAAATTACGAGAAGAAGATATGCACAATTTTAAGTATTCATTCATGTGTTATCTCTCTTATTACTAAAATGATATTATCAGTAAGAGAGTACACGTCGTATATGAAAAAGATAAGTGCGAATCACTTTTTCGCTGATAAGATCGCAAATTGTATGAAGAGACACGGTATATTGAATAAAACGAATAATGACAATATAAATGTAATATGTCAACGTGTAATATGAGGATATATAATTGTCAACAATTTAGATTCAATCTATTTTAATATGCAGTGGAAGAGAATGTCTCTTTTTCTATCTCTTTCTTTCTTCTTCATTTATATAGAGCCTTTTTATTTTAAAACAATAAAGTAGCAAAGCTAGCGAGATCTAATAATGCTCTTATTTTCAATACATTCCTATCATTGAGATTCTCGTAAACTCGTGCAAATTTTCGATAACGACGATATATAATTGAACTAAAAGAATGATAAAATCCAAATGTAGATTAAAATAGGGAAATACGTATCGCGTGATGCTCCGATGAAAGATTATAATCATTCATTTACAAGTGTAACACGCATAGTCGGCACGCACATATGCATACTGACAAAAATATAATAATGGAGAATGGATGCGTGCGTGAGTCTAATAGAAGCCATTTTAGCCGCGACTTGTTCGAATATTCGCTCTACGATGACGTTATAGTCACTCGCTATCTATATGACTGTAAGAGACGGTCATAAAGTTATATATATGTACATATAGGTATACACACATACACCTACTTACATATACCTAGATATTTCGCTTTCGTTTCATCGCAAAATAACAGAAGGTTCGGTCGAAACTTGTGTGTTACACTTTTCCGAGGTATCGACTTTTCCTGCCTAGAAACACAGACCATGATTATCTTAAAGCCATGTCTCGCGAGTCGGACTTTTTCCTTTCTTCATTAAAAAAAAAAGTCTTCAAGATTATATTAAAATATTATATAATCAAAGGCAATTTATAATATGATATGTAGTACTTAAATATCTATATAATCCATATCATGTAATTGTTGATGAATTTTTCACTTTTGTCTTTTCAAATTTCAGATTAATCTCATTAAATTGAAATAGTTTTGTAAATAGTGCAATAATTTCGGTAAATTTATATCAAATTAATTTTACTTTCCCGCATTTCATTCATAGGAAACTGATCGTGTGTGTTTCAATCAAAATTATATGTTTCTTTAAAATCTTATACTTGAATCGTGGTATGAAAATTATCATTCACGTAATTTCGATGTTTTCAAATCTAAAGACTTCATTCAGAAATTATTTAATTGTCTGCGCAATTATAATCTATAATATACTATATATATATATTGTTCTATAGTATGTATTCTACACACAGAGAATAGATATTCGCAGTACACCTTCAAAGTGTGACATTTGGCTTCTTTCTTAAATAATTAACCGTTCACATATACATGTACATATATATGTATATACATAGAAAAACACCCATACACATATATATATGCGGGTGAAATCAATCTCTGTTCATTATGGTATTGTTGATTGTGTTGACGTTTGAAAATATTGACGGATTGCCAAGTTAATCCAAACTATTTCTAATATAGATTAGAAATCGATCGATTTTGAAGAAAATGACAAAATTTCTTTGCAAATATCGCGATGATTGTCGGGATATCTGATATGAGACTTTATTATCGCGAGTACATTTGCATTGTGGTGTATAATCCATTGTGCTTTAATGGTCTTAACGGTCGTATTATTATTTCGAATAAAGAGAATCGAGTTTGTCCTCGACGATGGAAGTAGATTCTAAATAAAGTATGAATACTTTGTGAAACATCACATGTTATATGTGTATAGTAGGAAGTAACGTGTGCGCGCTAATCGAGGATACGCATAATCGTATATAAACTACACTGCGACAAGTGAGTCCTTTACCTTAGCCATCTACACGTTTTGATTTAAGGGTAATTTAAGTATGAATTGTGTTGTGTGTATGTGTAAATTCTATATTATTTTTTACTTTAAAATATATGACCACATATAAAATGCACGTGTATATAAAATATGAAAAGCAAAGTATCTCAGCTCTATTTTAATTTTAAATCTACATTTTTGGATAAAGAAAAACAATTCCACAGGGATTAAATTGATAGATTGAGAAAGCGTCCAAATTATAAAATCGATACACGGAGATACGTATTATGTCATTAACGATTTCCAATATCTATGAGGCACATTGTCCTTGTGTAACTACGAAAGGCTTCATTAAGTGACCTTATATAGTATGCGGTATATATAGTATATTGGTTAATTCTCTTAGGCACGTAAATATGTGCAAGATTTAAAATTTAGTACACGTGTTTGCTTTACAAATATCGCGAGGCGCGCGCGCGATGATATAACGATGAGAAAAAATAATTAGCAACAAATATTATATATATACATGTAGCTTCAAAATATCGTTCATTTCGATATATATATAATTTACTAGCAAATCAGAGAATGAATGAGTAAGAATATCAAAGTAAATTATATAGTTTTCTTTACGTAAATATATTAAATTTTCGCGTCGCTGAATAAAATTCATATGTAAAGGGAAAAATGCAGTTAAAATATATAAATGAGTTTTTATTTTCCTCGAAAGGGTTAATTCGATCAAGGACTGAAAAATTGTACGAGACCTCGCACGCGACGTGAGCGTCGCTCATACAAAAAGAGAGAAAAAGGGAAAGAGAGAGAAGAGCGTGCGCGCGTCTCGGCACGCATGTGTCGTCAGCATTCGGCATGTGGCCTCTGGCCATTGATGTGTGCGTGTGCGCTAATCGCGCACGTATGTACATAACTAACATATATGTACGCGCATCGACGCTCGCATCACATATATCCACAATCAACCGCATGACGGCGCCACAAGAAACGGCGTCGCGACGCTGACGGGCCGTCGTAGTCATCGTCGGGCGGCGCCGATCGCGGGGAATGTACGAGTATGTGGGTGGCGGGTAACGAACGGGGAACTCGGGGAAGAGGTAACAGCGCCTCCGTCGCGTTTGGTAGTTGTTTTCAGTCATTTTAATCGCCGCGCGTTTCGATCGCGTTATTTTCATGGCTCATCCTCGAGACTCTTTCGAGCAGAAACGCACGCGCGCGCTTCTTCCGCCGGCTGTCGCTCTCGTTTTCTATCCATTCCGTCTCTCCCTCGCTCTCTCTTTTCCTTCCCTTCCTCGTCCCTTTTTCCCTTTCATTCATACTTTCTCGCATTCTCTCCTTATCATTGCCAATTATTTTTCTCTTTGACTTTCCTCTCTCTCTCCCTCTCTCTCTAAGACTGCCTTTTATAACGCAGTGGTTCGCGCCCACTCGGCCTATATAGTTAGCCTTTTATTGTGAGTAGTAGCTTCGGTGCGAAAAGTCGGCTCCGAAAAAGAATATGATATCTATTACTAGGAATTTAGGGAGTAGCCGGCGTGAAGAGCGAGCGTGATGTCTTTTGCGAATGCACGCGATGCGATACGATGCGACGCGTACATGTGTGTGTGTGTCTATGTACTACATGTGTTGTATCATCGTACCGGTACGAGAGACGCACGACTCTAACGTCTTCTTCTTTCCGTTGCCGTTATCGTCGCTGTGTGTCACCCCGTTCTAATCACCCCGCATTAGTGACTAATTAAATTTTGTAACGAGACCAATCCTCGCATGGCTGCCGCATCGCGTGTCGGCGATCACGTCGACCCTCGTCGTCGTCGTCGAGGAGACACCTTGGAGCTGCCGGCAGCAGCAAGCAGGTACGATGCCGTATGTCGTATCGTAACGCTTACCCCATTGCGAACAAATGCCGGTTCCTCTTCATCTTCTTTAATCAACAATCGAGTATGCGTATGCATGCATGTAGTACATATGCACGCCTTGTTGCGTCCTTGTATGTGTGACAGGCTGACAGGAGGGGTGCAAGTGTCTATCAAATATATTTGTCGTCGAACTCGTCGATCAAGAATCCGCATTCTTCCTTTGTCAGTAGAAAATACTTTATATCCCACAATGAGTATATTTATGTCTGATTTACGCTCGTTCACGTGTTCTTTGTATGCGAGTTCGTATAGCGCGAAGGTGCTGGCTGCGTGTGCGCACAATGAAGCTTTTAAATCTGTGAGAAGAAAAAATCGTATTAGAAAAAATTGATCTTTTGCATTTAATATGATTGTGTAAAGCGATTCAATGATTAAAAGTCTTGTGAAATAAGTGGACGATTTTTATACGTATATTTATAGGGCGCGATCTCATGTTTAAAATTGAAAAATGAGAAAATCTTTATAAAAAAAAGATCTAAAAACATGGTAATATATTATGCTGATCCAAAAGTAATTTCTACTTCATGATAAGATCTGTTCGTTTTATATAGTTGAACTGGTTGCACTAGTTCAAAGTTTATCTATTCCCTTCCAATGTAAAAAAGTCTCAACTGTAAACTTAATGCAGTCATTTCAACTAAAACAAACAGACTTAAAATGTCTTAATTATTAATTATTTAGGAAATTATTCATTGGACTCACAAAATAAATTTTAACAATAAGCTATTCACAGATTAATAGTGTGCAATGTGCAAGTTTTCTAATATATATGTATAAAATTAATATTTTAATTATATATTAAAGTAAAATGGATATTCTTTCGAACAATATCAATTATTGTATTATCGCTGAAAAAATTATCAGATACCGATAAAATTTTTTATAATAATCTCTTCCTATATCAAAGAGAGATATATATATTCGCCTTTCTGTTATGCGCAAACAGAATATTCAATCGCGTATTGCATTCACCTATGTCGTGAGGTCTAAGAATCAACGAAGTACTTTTCCAATTCTTGACTTTAAACAATTTTGTGTTATGTATTTTTTAAAAGTTTTGTAATGTGTAACGTACACACTATACTGGTAAAAATCTCAATAGTCTTTAGTCATTGTGTCATCTTTTAAAGACGTCAATTGTTCGAAGCCATTAAATTAGCTGGACAAAAGACAAGAGTTACATATAGATACATAGGAGGAGTTATGAATGCTGTTGTGACTCATTGTGTGTAAAGTTGTGTATGAATGCATCTATCGAGAGGACATTTGCAAAGTATGTATATATATGTGTTCCCATAACGCATTTGTATCTTAACGAGAAAGAGAGAAAGAAAGAGACAAAGGGGGGGGGGGAGGAAGTGCCATTACTTCTATTAAATGCAAGATACATCTGCGAATTGTGTGTATATGTGTGTAAATGCGTACAGGAGAATCTTTGATATATAAGAACACACATATACATGTATATATGTATATATTCACTTACAATACGACGAAGATTGTGACTGGTGCGATTAAATGAGATCACTTCAATCTGTTTTTTCTTCATTCACTTTGATCTCACCTCCTCGCGAGTGCGCACAGTCACCGTTAGTTACACCGTTGCATCAGCGATATTCCTTTCAAATATGTTTATTTCATCGAAGAAAAATCCAAAACTTGGCCTGAAAAAATTTATTTGATTAAATCTTGTAAAATCAGTAATTAACTGATTAAAAATATGAAAAGTATACATGTATATATGTATAGCGCAATATTAATATATCCTATTTAATATAGATTACGTCTGTGGAGATTCCTAGGAATTTAATCATCTCTTTGATAATACTCTTTTTCTCGATTTATAAAATCAATGTCAATTACAAGATAACTTTGTGCAGTATCAACGCTGGAAAAATAATTGTTTTTTTTAAATACTAAAATAATTTAACAGACGACACATTGTTAAAAAAATATATAATTTTCTCTAATATAATAATACATATCTCTCATGAAATCAACTCTTGTAGCGCTTCTAGTATTTGACCACTATAAACGAAAGCAAAAATGCTTATATGGCGCGACGAGCAAAATTTCGCGTGTATATAGATGATGACGTACACGATACGCTGTTATGGCGTAGAAATTGATCGATTACATTGTCGTGCGTGAGCACCTTCAACCCTTCGCCTTCGGTTTAATTACTGGCACGCGATTATTCGCTGGCTGTCGGCGCATATTAAAAAACCAGTTCCTATTTTCAAAGCTCATTCGATTCGCACATATGCCTCTGCGATGGTCTTCCGGAATTTTTAGTCCTTCTGAGATAATGATCTATAATGCACTTTACTCTATTATATCTTCCTTTTCCTACACTGTAATTATCAATCTTTTTTCATTACATGATAAAGTGATTTTACCTTTTGCTACATCGTGAAAAATATATCTTTATGTAATAAAACTTTAAATTAAAATTTTAACAAAGAATCTAATTGAAACTGAAAGATATGATTTTATTTTATACGAAGAATGTGTGTGTGCGTGCGTGTGTGTGAGAGTGTGATTTTATCATCTATTTCGATATCTTTATTTTTATCCATACACTAGAGCTACAGATATGCAATTCGATATTTTTGAACAAAATCGACTCAAATTAAAACTTTGTAATTAACAGATAACATGTACTTAATGAAGAATATTTTGTACATGAGTTTAACATTAAAATGTGACTTCGATGCTAATAAACTATTACATTAAAATATTTTTTAATTGCTTCTATCATTTTTCGCTATTATTATTTAATATGTCGCGTTGTCAAATTAAGATAACTTTCACGTGTCACATTTAAAACAGATTTTGATTCATCGATTATTAAGAATGTTAAATTACGCGTATAACATTTTCTCGTTTTTTGTCAAGTCTTTTTTCAATAATTACTTCAAAACGTGAAATGCAATAGTCGAATTACGATATTCGCGTAAATGAATTGACATCTATAAATATATATTTCACAGCTTTACGTTTGAGATCTGCAAAAATTCGCAGATATACAGAAAATATCGGAGCATATTAACATTAAAAAATGCATCGTACGAATCTGTTTCCAAGAAAGAATACCACACGGTATTTGCAGAGCCATAAAGACAAAGTAACGTTGTCGCGTGTAAGTGCCAAATTAACCCACTTTGTAGTTGCGTAGCAAGTATAATTCGTGGTCTACTAGAATTTCGTGTTCCTGACACAACGATATTGCAATACATAATCGGTTGTATCTTAATATGTGAACAAATGACATTATGTTCACAGTGTGCGCGTGAATATCTAATTACGTATGAATCATGTATGAGCTGGTAATATATCAATGTAGATAATATCACTTTGTTGTAGATTTATACAAGACATATCCCTTATTAAACGCAAGACCTTTCTTGAATAGCAGGTTCTCTCTGATCAATTTTTTATCGATTTTTTTTACAGAAAATTGTAAAACACTAATAACGTTTTGAATAAAGCGATTGAAAATGAAGGATTTTTTGAAAATTCAGAAGAATCGACAGAAATTATATATTCATATCAAAATCATATCAGTTAATTTCATACATACTTCAGTTCAAGTATATACTTTAGTGCGATAAGGATTTAATTTAAATTGCAAATATATACATAAATGTATATATAATATTGAAAATACGAAAATTATACAAGGTGATACTTTTCGATATTCTTGTTAAGAAAAAAATTGAGCAAGGAAAATCTGAAAGAAAAATTCTAAAAGTGCGAGGGATAATCCGCATAGAAATGCATTATTACGTCGATTATTTTCTTTGCTACAAAATAAATATAGAGATTATTTTTTATATGTACTTATATATTGGGAAAAGCACTCAAATTATTTGCATCTGATAATACGCGCGAGTGTAACTATATTTTATCTAACAACATTCGATGGCTTATTTATTTACAGATATTTGCCACAACGTCCGATACCTCGGAAAATACGGGAGACCTGAAAGAAACAGGTGAAGAAGAATTCTAAATCTCTCTCAGGATATATAATGCGCAAACTGACAATTCATAGCTTCATTAGACGGACAGGAGTAAATGTCAGTACGTAAATCAGTACGTAAAAAAAAAAAAGCTGTTGCATCTCTATTTCTTTTTCTACGAACGATACACGACAGTATCGTGTCACAATGTCGAAGGGCGAGTCTCGCGATATTGCGCGCTCAAATTTTGAAAGAGCGGTAGAATATCACGTTTAGAATCGCGTAAGAATATATTTCGGCTATATATTATTATAAGAAATATGGAGGATATAAAAGTGCCGAACCTGGGGCAAGCCGCATCGGCCGCGTGTTCTATGGCGACCAATTTCTTGGCTCCTGTGAAGACTGAGCGCCAGATTTATGAAAACTCGATGCTCGAGGATGATCCTAATGCCAATTCGGTAATACCAACGTCGCAAGAAGATAAGACCGTGCCTAGATGGGGTCCGAATCATAAAGGTGCCCAGGAACTTGCGAATCTGTACAGTACCGGTACGTATTAGATAAGGCTCTCATTGTACAGCTGTAGCTCGGTTTCTCGTATATTTCTGAAAATATGACAAAATATAATTTTTGAGAACATATAAAATTATATTTGCGTAGCAATGATAACGTTCAATCGCCTTGAAATTTATTATATCACGACTTACTGTTAATTGCTTGTATCGATTGCAATTTTTGCTTCGTCAAAAATACAGTGAGCACAGTATTAACAATGTATGTACAAAATTTATAAATATATATTTTGTCTAGTGTAAAAGCGAATAAATTTATGCATTTTAGGATGATGCTTTTAACTCTTTGAAAATTTTTAGAAAACATTGTCTTACATATTAAATTAGTATTAAAAAATTATTATAGAATAGCTACTTTTTCAACAAATTCATAAGAAATAAATAATTATACTATACGATAAACAATAATTACGATATAACATACTTTCAGGGAAAAGAACGCAAGAGTGTATCTGCGTAGGGATTTGTATCACACTCATAGCCGTGAACTCTGTGCTTGTGTTAATCAGATTACGATTGGAAAATTTAAGTTCTATAGCAATGGCTGCATTATGCGGTATTATCACGGCTGATTTTGGATCCGGTCTGGTTCATTGGGCCGCGGACACCTGGGGATCCATTGAACTTCCAATTCTAGGGAAGGTAAGACACTTTCACGTTAGAAAAATGTGTGCAAATCGTAAAATTTTGAATTTACAAAAATATCGTCTTCTTTCTTTTTCTAGAATTTTTTAAGACCATTTCGTGAACATCATATAGATCCTACCAGCATAACGAGACACGATTTCATAGAAACTAACGGTGATAATTTTATGGTCGCGATACCAGTACTGTCCAAACTCACATGGGATTTTCTGACATTGCCCGAAGTGGAAATGCAACAGAAATTTGTTTGGACATGCTATTGGTTCTTGCTCGCCATTTTTGTAGCAATGACTAATCAGGTAAATATCCAAATAAATTTATATCTAATCAATTTTAATAATATGGAATATATAGAATAATATACGTTTACAGATACACAAGTGGTCACATACATATTTCGGATTACCTACTTGGGTTATTTGGCTTCAAGAGCACAGGATCATCCTGCCAAGGAAGCATCATCGAGTGCACCACGTCGCGCCTCACGAGACTTACTTCTGCATTACTACAGGATGGTTAAATTGGCCTTTAGAAATACTCCACTTTTGGTACATTTTAGAGGTGATAATCGAAAGGACTACTGGTTGTAAACCTAGAGCCGACGATCTGAAATGGGCACAAAAGCGTTCTTGAGAATTAATAATTGCCCTCTTTTCGTTATTGTACATTTTATTATACGATCGAGATGTTTAACAGCCAAATGTTGGAACGAAACTCAAACATCGAACTATGAAATAGAAATTAAGTGAAAAGTTTATATGGGCAATAGTAAACAGATTCGTATATACATGGAATCCTCGATTGCTGGAAAAATATATATACACACTCACACACATGTATGTATATACATATTTTTTTAAACTAGTGTGAGGCCTTTTCTGAAGATAAATAGCGTCAGCATAAGGATGAGATTATTGGACTTTAAAAGTTTACACGTTTTTAATACGTACGCGCAATAATATCTATGTATGTGTATATACATGCATATATATGTTGTGTGTATGAAACAAATAGGTTTACAAATTTGCAATCTGATGATTCCGTCGACACCACTATATTGATAATATTTTAATATACCGCACAATCACCACGCATCAAATTGCACAAACTATGAACTTATTTCAACACAATATACAAAGCAATTTGAAAAAACATCTGACATTAATGATCAGATATACAGTAGGCTAAAGTATCTTAAAATATCTTTTGAAAAAATGAATTGCATTTTTCTAATGTGTGGTTAAATGAATAAAAAGCAAAAGTAAGAAATTATACATAATAACACGTGATAAATACACGCATATTTGTGTATATATGATTTCGGCATATATATATATATATATATATATATATATATATATATATATATGTTATGTATGTATGTACATACATACATATATAATTACATGTATAACAGGATTTGAAAATTATTGAATCGATTAATTTTATTATGCAAACTATCTGCAAAATATTATTAATTTTTTATTTAACATTTTTCTTTTTTTTTTTTCATTATAATTATAACTCATTGTCAATTGCAACACGCATTTACTCTGACTTTTAACTGCTCCATAATTTCGTCTCTTATATAAGTAAAACTATTGTAAATGCCCTGAACCTCTTGAAAATATTTGTATGAGATTAATCAAAATTTTTTTATAAATACATACAAAGAGAAATACACAAATATACATCGATTGAAACTAACATTGCCAATTTCAAGTTTTGAAATTTTATAATTTTTTAATTAAGTTTTTCTAATTATTATAAAAAGTAATTTTAATACAACGAATTATAGAAAATTTCATTATACTTGTTGTTAATTTTATTAGTTTACTATATATACTTTTCAATAATTTGAAAATTTGGTTGTTGTTATTCTACAAGCAGACTTATTTGTGCGATCTCTTGTAATATCTTAAAAGAATATTAATTATTAAAATTTGGAGCTAAGAATTGTATAATAGTATGTTAGATGTCTGCTTGATAGTAGTACGTACGTATTAATATGAATAACAATGTAATTATTCATATGCATATTAAAATCGCATAGCATATTAAGAAATATGCATACATGCATGCTATAAAAATAATTAAAAGCGTCTTTTATTGTAGAAAAATATTTAAAACTAAGAAAGAAAATTACAATACATAAACGATTGATGAGAGAAACAAAGTAGAAAGAAATAATTATACAAACAAAAGAATGGAAAATTTCTACACAAAGCTAGTAATGTTAAAATTTTGTTGCACGCATATTTGCATCTTGCACACTCGTTACATTTCTTAGCTCGAAACGTATAAATAAGAGGATAATAATCTCGAGGTGCTAACCAAGTACAAGTCGTAGGTCGTAGGTTCAGGGACCAAAAGCGACTTACCGCTCTATGTGTAACAATCTTTTGAAAGCTTAGTTTAACTTAGATAAAGCTATAATATGTGCAGTTTACTGTACGTGTCTGTGTCGATAAACTATTTAACGATATTTTCGCTCATTTACGAACACTTTACTTTTGGCTAATTTTGGCTAATGTCAAAGCATATAACTGCAACACATATGTTCAATATACTTTCAAACTTGACCATAATTTAAATTCCTTATGTGCAAATATCTTTTAAAGGAAATATTATTTATAAGGAATCGCAGTCACTGTGATTATTGTAACCATTGTTATTGTTACTGTTATTGTTATAGAAGAGACAAAGTGTAAATTTCAAACAAACTGGTCAGATTCAAATCCAGCTAGATTTGAAACTTATTCTTTATTCTCATATACAATGAGAATTATTTAATATCGCTGTGAAATATTAGGCTCAAAGAGATAACTTTATTTATTTACTTATTTATTTAATTAAATATTATCAGTATATATGAGATATACTAATTATTTTCTTTTTGAATCCTATTACACATGACGCTTTCTCACGTGCGATAAAATAATTTTGTAAATAATTCAAATGCGTTCAAGTCAAACTCTAATTTCAACGAAAGAAAGAAAAAACAGGCTTTATACATATATAACAATATAATTATACGTAACATGAAAAGACAATGCTGTAAAAATTTGAATTGCAGTAAATGCAAACACAAGGCAGAAGCATTTATTAAACTATACAAAATGCTGATTTAATCAAGTATTAGACATTTCTAATACAAATAGAATTGTACAGCTATTTATAATAGATCATAGAGGGAATTTGATAAGAATCTATCGGATTAGCAGATTTTATTCTAGAAATCTACATTTTTAAAAAGAGAACACAATAACATTGGAAAAGCTAATTGTTTAACTATAGCAACATTATTGTAAATAGTCGATATATACGACATATGTTACTGAAAATGTTGGAGATTTGAAATAATAGCAAAACACTACCGCTACATGTAAATTCTACAAACGAACAAATTTGCTTATTCATTCCTGTTATGTGACATAATATAATATAATTTACGTTGCCATCAATATGTACATGATATAAGGCTATAACTTACAATGCAAGCGCTCAGATCTATAACATAGAAGCTGTTTAAAAATAAAAATCTAAAACTATAAAAAAAACTATACTACATTTAATTTATTCATATATATAATAGTAAACGTTGTGTATGTGTGTATGTGCACCTTTGTATACACAATATTACACAAGTTCTAGTTATATATGAACGGATTAAAATGTAATATATATTTTTAGTATACAATACACACATTTTTATATGCGAGGGATAAATACTGTGTTTCGCTTAAATATGATTCTTATGCTGAATAAGAATAAAATGTAATTAGATATATGCTGAATGAAAGTTTGATGTGTAATGCAAAAATTTGTATAGTTATAAACAAAATAGAATGTTGATGATGTGATAATATTTGACAAATAAGATCAGACATAAATATATCTGATCTTAAAATTATAAAATCGTGGAAGTAAAGCAAAATTTTACAAAACTAACGGTATAAGAAAAAAAGAAGATAAATGCAAATACGCATTATTCTAAATATTTTATATAACCGAAATATTTATATGTTATTGCGCGCACGACAACGCATAGAAAATAATCGAAAAAAAATGCCAAGACACTAAACTGCTATTTTCATATAATAATGATCATAATTATGTTCTTATTTTTTAATGATGTGGGAATTGTATTATACTGTGGCCTTAATCTTTCTAGAATACTCTACTTTGGTGTGTAACTTTAATTCAAATTTTATTTTTACTTAAAAATGTTAAATGCATTAATTGAATACTATTTATTTCACAGAATGTTTATATTTGCACTCTGCTATTCTTTTTCTTTCATTGTAAGTAACTCGAGTTATCACAATTCTCAGCAAAATTATATAAATAATAAAAACAAATCATATATATAACACACGAACGCATTTGCTGCTGCTGCTGCTACTGCTAAAAGTACAAAGAGAATAAAAGACAAGAGCTAGCTGTGCATATATTATAAAATGTATGATATTTGTGTAATATTTTGCATATGTTATCTATATATGAGTCCTTTAACAATAAGTATACCTACTAGATTGAGAGGACAAGGAACAATGATATTTTTATAATGTAATCTTTTTTGTTTATCAAATTGTCAACAAACAAATTATATGTACTCTTTTTAGCAATTAATTTGCGCATGAAATGCTATCTGAAAAATAAGCAATCTGCTAAAATGATATAAAATTAAAGCAAACTTTTTATTACTATAAGAACATTTTTTTATGGAATATTAATATTTAAGGAGCTCATGATGAATAAAAAATTTAAGAGCAGTATGTGTTGCTTAGGAAACAAGTACGTATATGTTAAAAAATTAATAGATTGACGAGTATACATATATGTATATATAAATAAACAAAGAGTATCACATTTTAATCTTTCCGTATAATTATCTCAGACTATAATAATTTATTAGAATTATTTAAAAGATACAATATATATCTACGCAATTGAACTATCTTGTTTTGTCATAACATAAAATTGTGCTTGCTAGATTTAAAAAGTAATCAAATCTAAAAAAATATTTTATTTAAACGTAATATATATAATATATGTATATATGTGTTTAATTATAAAAGATTTTTCCCTTAAGAAATTTTATAATCTGATACATTTTTCTGAACAACCATTATATAAATATAATTGCTTGGAAAGATTAAACACCTGAAACACACCTTGTATATATATATGTATGTATGTGTGTGTATATATATATATATGTATATATATATATATATATATATATATATATATATATATATATGTTCTGTAAGGTTACTCGTCATGAGTTTGTTAAAATAATAAAATGATAGATCGCGCGGTAAAATAACTATTTTAATGATCCACTGTGTGTGGAACGCCTTTGATATATTAATGAAACAATAAAAAAAACTATCTCTTCAAGGCAGAAAATCGTGTGTGTATACTGTTATAGGATAATAAAAAATTTATTCTAGCTAGTCGTTATACACTTTATTTATTAATATATTCACTATTTTTCATCCTTTTTTCACGAAATTTACGAGAGAGTTTAAGGTTAAAGAAACAAATATTCAAATAAATATATGAAATTAAGATTTTCCATACCTTTTCTTCAATATATTGTTCAATCTTTATGAAGAATTTTATTTTTCTTCTCAAATTGCATCACTTATTGCTTGGAAATATTGATCAACAATATGTTTATATGCGATTGACTCAAGAAATAAACGCGCGCACTTGAAATGATAACAATTTGAAAATTTTCTAAACTTGCGTGCAATGCAGCCAACATAAATAAACTTTAAATACTACTGTCAACAGCCCGATATAAAGGTTTATTCACACAAATTTGTGTATGGATGAATAATGCATGTAAACAGAAAAATCAATCAATCACTTATCTAATACGAAGAAAATAGCAATATAGGACATCCTATACGTCCTAAAAATTTAATTGATTAATTTCTTTATGCATACATGTATTATATAAATTTATGTGGAATGCGGATAGACCTTAAGGACCTGTTTTGACGTAATATTTGTTTCGTAAGCGCTATCAAGATAAATAAATCTGTCCCGATTTACGTCCAAACAATAATTTGCACTGTCATTGGTAACAGCTAATCCATCTAAAAATGAAACGAGAAAGATATGTCATGTAAGATGTTTCCCCTCCTCCAATAACAATTTTTTCCAACTCTCTCTCTCTCTCTCTCTCTCTCTCTCTCTCTCTCTCTCTCTCTCTCTCTCTCTCTCTCCCCCTCTCTGTTGAAATTAAGATCTCTCCCTTCTCTTTCTTTCTTTAAACATCGACAACTACGTCGACCTAAATATTTTTAAAAGTATTACATATAGTATTTATATTACATATCATTGCATATCACCAAATAGCTACAAATTATTTTACACTCAATTAAAGTCAGTGCAGCTAAAACGAACGAATAATATAATGGCTTTTGTACGAAGGACGTGGTTGGATTTTTGGATTAATTCGATAAGAGAACACAGAGAGAAAACTTTTTCCAGCTTCTCTTTATAATTGCAAATGTGATTTTTTATAAAATTCAAGTTTGTCGCTTATTTTATGCAGCTATCTCAATCAAATCTTTAAAAAGTATATCCAGACACTTTTTTTTACATGAAATATTGTGATACTTTTTAAACTTATAAGAGATTAAAAAACAAGTTTTGCATATTGAAATTGAGAAGAGGTAAGAAAAATGTTATGGTCTTATTGTTACTAATTAACTTTTAAATCTCTTCATCTAGCCACATTACCTTTGGTATTTCCTGCTTTTTATGATATTTCACAAGAGTATTTTTATAATATTTCACAAGAGTATAATAAATCAAATTGACAGATTTATATACTGGGTGAAAAGATGGAACAGAATTTTGGATTTGTGGATATGTTAGAAGAGAGACGAAAGGATTGTGACTTCTTTTGGGCAACACGTCCCATGAATCCTTTATTACCACACATGTTGCCAACGGAATTAGTTTATAATAGGGATGAGATAATACAATCTGTTTTGCTTGATGCTCAAGTCAGAGCTGTAATTGAAACAATGGCAAAGACAACAGCAGTTGACGTAAAAGATGTTGAAAATAATGCTCGTGCCATGATAAACGAGATGGCTAGTAGAGCAGATTTGGCAACAGTTCGTTGGCTAGGTATAATGAGTTTGTGAATTCTTGTATTATATTTTCACATTATTTTATTTTATAACTTTTTTATAGTCAACAGAATCAGTATCTGCATATAGTTCTTATCAATTAATAACACATTTGTTGTGTGTGTTATATATTTATATATAAAATTATATCAAGTAAAAGTGAAATAATATCATAACGATAGAGTGTTATTTTAGCAGATGTGGTTCTACTATAAATATCTCATATGTTCGAAAATTTCAGGTATTTTCATTACAAAAGCTATGAAGAGAATGTTCTGGAGAATTTATGTAAATGAAATCAATCTTTCCAACTTGAGGAGGGAAACACAGATATCTCAGATACAGTATGTTTATGTACCGACTCATAGAAGTTATCTGGATTTTATTCTGCTGTCGTACATTCTTTTTTCTTACGACATGGCATTACCGAATATCGCGGCTGGTATGGACTTTTACAATATGAAAATAATTGGAGAACTATTGCGAAAAACTGGAGCGTTTTATATACGACGTAGTTTCTCTAACGATTTATTATACAAGCAAATTTTTCGCTCTTATATCAACAATATCGTTAGTCATAGCGATAGAGCGATAGAATTCTTTCTCGAGGGTACTCGAAGCCGTAGTCAGAAAAGCACAATGCCGAAATATGGTAAGCAGTAGACATTTTCAAAATTGCAAATAAATATTATGTATCCTCTATTTTTTAGGTCTTCTAGCCATTATCTTGGAAAGTTTACTTCAAGGCGACGTACCCGATATACATTTTATACCTATGAGTATTAGTTACGAACGACCACCAGAAGAATTATTATTTACTTACGAAATACTAGGAGTTCCGAAGCCGAAAGAAAGCACAGCCGGACTTTTTCGATCATTTTCTATATTACAGAAGCCTTTCTCTTATGGTCGCATTTACTTTAACATTGGAAAACCAATTTCTGCTCGTCAATTTGTAGATACAGTACATCGCAAAAGGAAAGTCATAAATCCCTCTTTCAAAATCTCATCATCGATTGTAGAAGATGTAGCTTATCATATAATAGAATCGCACAAGAACAATACTGTACTTATGCCGATCAATATCGTTGCCTTGCTCTTCAATGAAAGACTCCAGATGAAACCAAAGGAACCGTATACACTTGATTCATTGACCAAAGATTATCGATGGTTTAAAAACTTTATTACCAAAAAATTGAGAGCGTTAATGTATGAAACCAAAAAAATGTAAGTATATTTGGTTTATAATAATCATTTAATGTTTAAAATTAATTAAATTATTATGTATAATAAGTAGACTTTGGATTATATGCAAATTGCATATTTGTTACTTTTTGCATATTCTATGAAATCATTAATAATGTGAACAAATTATAATGTTAATTAATGTTTATTAATTGAAAATAAGAAATATATAATTTGCATATAATCCAGTCTAATAAATATTAATTTGTTTGCATGTATAAACTACATTCTAAATTATTCAAGTTCTTAATACTAATTGCCTTAGCTGTCTAAGCTATAGATTTGTTCAAAAACAACTATAATATTTTTAAGGTATATTTTGTGACTTATAGTAATGATTATATATTTTATGACTTTGTTATAGCAATGATAATGATGAAATCAAACAAGAGATATTAGAATCTTTAAAACCACATGACGAATTAATTGTATTTGATTCATTAAATACATTAAAACTCAAACAACGACATAAAGCAAGTAAATTACTGAATCAATCATCAAATATCAAAGGACATTCTTTATCTGAACGCACTATGCAAATAGCAGTACCTGCCATTAATATTGCAATTTATATCAATCCAACTTTGACTTTTCTGGCAGAAACAGCTTTCTTTACTGCAACGATAGAAGAAAATGGTACTCAAAACGGTAATAATAGTATTTTTATTTATATATGATATAATAATAAGATATGATGTAAACAATTTTCAACTATTTATATATATTTTCTGGTAAATGGAATACATTAGATTGATCAAAGGGCCTGTTTTCTTACTTTTTTCTTCTCTTCTGTATAGTACTTATATTAACAAATAATTTTGTTTTTTTCATCAATCTTCTATTTTACTACACTAGGAATAGCTTTTGAGCGATATCAGGTACTAAGAAAATTGCTCAGCACTGAGTTTGTAATACGTCCGAGTGAAGATAAAGATTTAATTAAAACAGAATGGGAAAGGACATTGAATATATTACTGTCGGAAGATTGCTTATATATAGCGAAAGACTCGATTCGTCCAGGAAAAAATACGCAACTGTTTTCTATTTTGCATAATGTGATATTACCATTCATAGACGTGATATATGTGATATGTACTTTATTATTCGAGGTAAGAATGAACATTTACTAGCAAGAAACATACTGTGATTAAGAAGAGATAATCTGCATTGAATACATTTGTTTTAAAAATGTTATTTTAGTGGAATGAAAGAACATCAGACAAACTCACGGATCGGACGATTCTTGTGGAAGCGCAGAAAGAAGTTGAAAGATTAATGCTCGAAACTAGAGATTGGTGTCAGCATCCCTACTGTTTATCTCTTGATCTCTATAATACAACATGGTTCAATTTATTATCGCAAGGTATTATTATTACACACCCGGAACGTAGCAATATATATCAAACGGATAAAGCGAAATTAGCATATCTTATCGACGTATTGCGTGAGTTACCATTACGACGTCCCGTAGGAACCTACGTCGACGCGCTACCTTTCATTATTTTAACGTCATCGGTGAATACACAAGCTAAATTGTAATGTTCATTTATTGCGAAATAATAACGGTTTCGGTATGTTAATACTAACAGTGATGTAATAACACTAATTGACAAATTGATTAACTTTATACAAAAATTTAGATAGGAAATGGACTAATAAGCCAGGCACAGCAAACTTTTCTTAAAATATCTTTCAATCAACATTTTGGTCCTTTCTTTTATTTGGGCCATTTTTTCATTGTTATTTGATTAAGTTTAATTAATAAATATTTTGAAATACATTATTATATAATATGTACATTCCAATTTTGCTCAACAAAAGAATGATTGATGATGAGATACCGATATCCATATACAAATATGCTCTATTATTGATGATACAATGATGAGAATCAAATGTTTTTTCGTACATGTTCTCATAAAAATTAATATTGGAAAATTGGAACTTAATAATTATCATAAAGCTTGTATAATTTTTAACCATTTATTGTTTCATATAAAACGTCCAAACGTAAATTATTTCGACATTGACTATGAAGATATTAGTAACAAGAGAGAAAATTTTAAAAAATCTTATTTTAAAAAATAAAAAATAATTGAAATTATAACATGAATATTTGCAAAATATTAAAATTATTTTTATCCTTCTAAGCGGACTTAAATTTTCATCCATATTTAAATTATTATTTTGAAATAAATTTATCGATTGGTCACACACACTTTACTAAAAATTATGCAAGTTTAAAAAATAGATGAAAGATATTAACTTTCGCATTTATTACTTTTTCTCTCTTTTAAAAAACATTTTATTCTCTTTTTTCGACATATTATGTTTCACATTGAATCATTCACTCTCTATAATTGTATTCCCACTACAAAATATTCAAATTTAAAAGTCAGAAACAAAACTATTCATATTATTAAGTATTCTAGCGGCGTCGTCATCGAGATCAGTGGATCTTTTTCTTTTACCAAGAAAAACCGTTGCAGCTGTTGTAGTTGTCACAGTATTACTCATATTCCGAAACAGGAGCTGCAAAGATTCCATTGTCAATAACACGCCAAAGAAAAGAAAAAAATATAGTTGTAGCTAAGGTAAGATATTCTAGAAGAGAGAAAGAACAAAATGTATCTGTGTCGCAAACAAAATATTTCTTACCATTACTAATCGAACAAGATAAACGGCAAACGTGAGGAATGATATAGCCATCAGGGCTCCTTCTATCGATGGAAATCCTAAGGAATGATCATCGTGACCGTCATAGCCATGTCCGTGATAATCCGCACCTCTTACTTTTCGACTTGGCGACATGGTAGCGGTGAGGCGAGACTCTGTCAATGAATTAAAATGTAAAAGCTTTAAAACAAAATCATACTGCTCGAGATACTATAAATCTATTTTTTTTTCAGCTGAACTGGCTGCATTAGTTCAGAATTTATATTTCCTTCCAATGTGTCAAAAAGATAAACTCTGAATTAACCAGTTCAGCTAAAAAGAATAAACCTTCCCAGATAGCAAAAGTAGTCATTTTGACTACTTCAATGACTACGTCAAATTATGTTATTTTGAAAACACGTCAAAATGATGTCATAATTACTGTGGCTATCTGGGTTATGTGGTATCACAAAACGGTACGAAAAGATTTTACCTATTTCCGACATTAATGTTTTTTCAAACATTTTGAGAAAGTGAAGTTTTCCTTCGAATGACACTGGCTGCGACTTCAGGGTACGATGAACATTCTTAAGTACGTCTATGGGCAAATATTGAAATATACCATCGTCCCTTTTCAGTGTGTAGTTGTAGTATTTATCTCGTGTTTCTTCTTGTTTGTGCGTAGTAGTAATAGTCGGCGATGATTGAGTTGTAAATGTATTAAATCCCGTCGTATCCTTTGTCGGTGAAATTGTATTATATCTGTTACTTAATTTATTCTAAAACATTAAAATTGTTTATAATAATTAAATTAATATATATATATATATAATTGAAACAAAGTTTTGCTTTGTTGAACAATCATCCTTTCGTTACCTCAGTCACAGAAATATCACTTCTCGTTGTCGGGCGATGTTTACTGATCTTTGTCAAATTTTCGCCTATTTGTTCGGGAAGTAAATTCGATAATGTCGTCGACATTATGACAGAATTTATTTTCTTAATCTCACTTTTTTTCTCATCCATCAGATCTACAGTTTTAATAGGATAATTGTCATAAGTTTGACTGCTGTTTCGTTGATTATCGGGA